GCATGGAAAATGGTTCATGGCACATGCATGGAGCATGCGTGAAAACGGATGAAAACGGATGCAATGATTGGATATGAAGGGAAATGAACGGAGGTGACGAGAAATCACGGAAACTTCAAAAAATGCAGGGGGTTGGAGAGAAAGGCATGCAAATGAACAAATGGGAAGGACAGCGAATGAAGGGACTAAAAGGACATAAAGGGCAAGCACGAAGGGAAGGAAGCGAAGGGAAGGGCGAGGTGCCCAGTGGCCGGCTATGTCGCCCAAAGGGGCGCGTGCCTAGGTTTTGCCTTCCGACTGACGGTTGCTGCCGTCGACCCCACGCATAGCGCCTTTGCATCATCACCGCCCGCGCAGCCATTGGAGCTCGAGTTGGGGAAGGCCCAAAAACCTGCAATTATGGGGCACCCCGGCTGCATTGACAGCATCGCCGGCGCTTTCGCAAGCCCCTGTGTTTCGCGCATCGCCTGCATCCCTTGCATCGCCCGCGTTTGGGGCCAGCCTTAACCAAGCCGCGCGCGCGCAGCACTCACGCACGTGCGCAGCGCGGCCGCACGCACACGCGCAACCAACCAACCAACCAACCAACCAACCAACCAACCAACCAACCAACCAACCAACCAACCAACCAACCAACCAACCAACCAACCAACCAAATCCCTCCATCCCTCCATCCATCCCTCCATCCCTCCATCCCTCCATCCCTCCAATCCCTCCAATCCCTCCATCCAACCATCCATCCATGTCATCCGCATTCGCCGTCCGTCCATCCATCCATATCCGTCCATCCATTCATCCATCCGTCCTTCCTTCCGTCCACCCGCCAGCCAGCGCATCCACCCACCACCCACCCACCCATCGATCCATCGATCCTTCGATCCATCGATCCATCGCTCCATCGTTCCAGCGTCCATCGATCCATCGATCCATCCATCCATCCATCCCTGCATCCATCCATCCATCCATCCATCCATCCATCTATCCATTCATCCATCCCGTGCGGCGGACAGCGGAGCAGTAAAATTACGGAATTACTTTCGGGACCCTTTGCAAGACATCACTCACACAGCGTTTTATGCCCACCATCCATGTTCTTAGGTGTTCCCCATTAGATTGCTTTCCCTGTTACACGTTGAGCAACCCTCAAACCAATCCAGAAAACACCATTGAACCAGTCCACCAACACCTAAATCAAAGAGCGAAACTGTTTCAATGACCGGGCGTCAGGCATGACATTCGCAGCATTGAGATCTCCATGGGCCAGGCCTCAGGGTCTTCAAGGTGTGGTATGCTGGGAACGCAAGCCCTCCCCAGCCCGTATTCGTGCGGCAGAAAAGGCTTGTTCTCCCAAACAAAACATAGTGATGGAACAAATCTGTCAAGTCCATCCCAATTGGTGTGGGGTTTTGTCTCGGCAAACTACAGCAATACAGAACCAGAAAAAGTAGATCCCCAAGCAAGAAACCTTCAGGAAAGGCCAGCTAAGCACATTGTATGCTTCCTGGATACATAAATGTATTTCCCCTTTCCGCGATGACTATTATACATATAACAGTTGCTACAGAAACTAGCTAGAAACTAGCTATGTAGTGGATAGCAAAAACATGGTTGTAAGTTAAAGTACACTTCCCAATATTCCAAATAACCTCTGGCCAAAACAATCCCTGTCCTAGATATGTTGATACCCCTGTTTTGACACAGGCCCATACAGAGTTTATGTTCAAAGTTCAAACACGTGCTGTCTGAGCATCCAGGAGGTTTCCTTACATAGGGGCAATGTTGCCATGATTTCCCACTCCCTGCCAACCCTTGGCCAGACTTGGGCCCTGCAAAAAGTTAACTTTCCAAGAAAGCATAAACCCCCCCCCTTACCCACCCCGCTTTGAGACACGCTCTGCTATTGGAGTGTTATAGTGATGCTAAACTCATGCTCGTCCGCTCGCACCCCTTCCTTCCCCGTCCCCCTGCCCTTCCGGTCCGCTCCCCCGAAGCTTCAGGGGGGGACCACCCTTGTTTCATCCCCAATTTCTCCTCCCCTTTTGCCCGAAGCTTCCCCAAGGCTTGCGGAAGCTTCCCACCTATTTGGCCCAAAGGGGGGGGGCCAAAGGGGGGAGGGGGGTTGAGGCTTCAGAAACTTTTGCTGGTTGAAAGGTAAAGTGCTGCAAAACCAAAAAGGCACAAAAACCAACAAAAACAAGCTAAGTATGCGTGCAGCTCGCGTGAAAAAACTTGATCTTCGCAAAGACAGGTCGGGACTTGTTGCCGCCTCAAAGCAGTTGGAGCGTGCTCCCGAAAACTTGATTCACTTGCCCTTTGACTGGCTCAGGTTCACAAGTCCACCTTGTTTGGGTCAGAAAAGCCCAGTTCGCCCAAATGTTTAACGATTTGTTCAGTATAAACAAGCAACCTGTACCATTTTCATACCACGACCAAAAGGCATCCTGGGCTTCTGGCCCACCAAAGGGCAAAGGTTGTGGCCAGTCTGCGCGACAGAGATGCTAGCCAAGCCCAGTCCAGTCTGATTCCCTGAGCTTGGTAAGATATCAGCTGGTCAAAGATTTTGGGAACCCTCGGGAGCTGTCCTCTTATATTGTCTTAGAAAGGCGTAACGTAGCCACGAATTGAAAAGATAGCAGGATGTTAGCAAGAAGTTAGCCAAACGCCAGTAAAAAAAAACACACAAGTTCCAAATCGACCCACAAATGTATCAAAGAGTGATTCATTCTAGCGAAGATCACGCTTTATACGCTTTGTGGTTTTGCGGCTTGTCCTTCTCACTAAGATTTGAAGCAAAATCAACCCAATCCAGCTGAATTGTACCATTCAACGATCAGCATTATGGACCCCAAGGCAAGAACGGCTATGGAGGGATCCTACATCCCCCCCATGTCAACTTTTGCACTCATCCACACTATCCAAGCCCGAAAACGGTTTGCTCATTGCGTGACCCACGGTGAAATCCTTGCTCGAGCCAAAAGAACAGGGAACAGCCACATTTGCATCCAAAATTCACCCTCCAAACAGTGCTAACCACAAGAAACAAAGAACCTATCGCAAACGACAAGTCGTTTATCACTGTTACCCCATAGCGACACGTCCTGTCTCATCCAACCATCTCAGGACTCATGCACGGTATCCCAACTTTGATCCACCAATGTTTGACTGCCCCAGTAGACACTCAAGGAAAAGCCACCGAGTATTGAACAGCCCTGGTCGTGCTAGAGCAATTCGTGTTTGTTTTTGCAGCGTGCCTGGTATGCACGCAGGCTGATGGTCAAACTAGCCGGGTCGATTCAACTTCAATGTGACACTCTACCGACTAGCCCCTGCAGTATTGCAGTCCTCTTGGCAGCAAACCGGAACTGTCAGGCATTGTCTCGACTCCACCAGAAAAACCGCCGAGAGCTCCGGTACCAATCCAGAAACATTCGGTCTTCTCTTCTTCGCGCCTCGTCAGCACTAAGACCATCGGTCAGTTCAATGCAAATCGAGCGTCGGGTATTGACAAGATGCTGGAGGTCGGAATCAGTTGCCTGGGACCACTCATCTTCGTGACGCCGAAGCCGCTGCTGTAAGAATCGTTTGTTTTTGTTCCTCTTGATGCTCCGTTTTTTGATGAAATGCACGATCAGACTAGATTGCGTGCACTCATACCAAGTCTGAAATTCCAAATCCGACTTACACCCACGTCTTCGTTGGTCGACCAAAGATTGGAGATCTTTATCTGATGCTGTTGACCACAATTCTAAATTGCCGCGTGGAAGCTTCCGCTTCAGGAACTCTATGTTATCCTTCCTCTTCTGCTCCACGTTCTCAACAAGAGCTTGGAGCTCTTCGTCTGAATACCCCTCCGGACGCGAAATGTTTGCAATCCTCCGGTAGGCGATTTGCATGTTCTCCTTCCTCTTCTGCTTCACGTTCTCAACAAGAGCTTGGAGCTCTTCATCTGAATACCCCTCCAGACGCGAAATATTTGCAATCCTCTGGTAGGCGAACTGCATGTTCTCCTTTGCCTTCTGCTCCACAAGAGCTTGAAGCTCTTCATCTGAATACTCCTCCAGACGCGCAATGTTCGCAATCCTAAAGTAGCGTCTGAGCTCCGGGGGAAAGTTCCTCCCAGGCTCGCTGACACGAGCAGCACTGCACGCAATGCCCCTTTCGGGCATGGCAGTGCTAGTAAAGCCCCTTCCATGCCAGCCCGCAAGGAGGAGGAATGCAGACAGAAAGCCGCGCACAGCTTGGTAACGTCCAGAAAGAGTCATGGTTGCCGTTGGAATGCAGACAGTTGAGCACCAAACAGCTGCTATTAACAATGAGGCCAGGCGCCTCTGTGTTGACTGCCCAGTTAGGCTTCAGGGATGTTACAAGAAAACAAGCAAGGCACGTGCCACGCAAGGAACGGCATCGCAAAGGGCTCAGCCAAGGGCTCAGCAAAGGGTATGAGAAAGAAAGGACCCTGTCCAAAACTGTCAAGAGCTTCAGGTGCAAGGATGGCAGGGTTTGCAGTGTGGTGGTTTGACCTTCCTCTTGCCGTCCTCCTATATCGGTTCAGGGAGATCTCTTTTCATTCAGTGGTCCTAACTCGACTTAAACATTCAGCTTGCAAGAAGGAATCTCCACACAAACACACAAAAAAAAAGCGAACTAACAGGACCGTGCAACCAAGTCCATACCTTCCACCTGGAACATGTTTTGACCTGATATGCTGGTTGTGAATTTCCCTGTGGGCAACCTGGGTGGGTCCTTCCTTCTCGTCCAGCGGACTGTCCCATGATGTGTCAGCAACTCATATAACCATAGACACTCACGAACAAACATTATATCTGTATATATATATATATATTATGTAATATACATATATATATATATATGGATTGAGTTTGGCCCCTTGCTCACAAACCAGAAGGGGCAGTGCAAAAAACCAAGGAAGAAACACGCCCATACAACTATATAACAATCCATAGCGGGTTCCTGCGGGCGGAACCCCTCCCTGTAGTAGCCTCCATCTTGGCCAATTCCTCCAACTTCGGGCGGATGTTCCCATTGACCAGGACCTGCGCTTGGTTTTTGACTCGAGTCGAGTCTGGTTAAGTCGGCCAAGGGTGAGATGCGGTCGACCGAGGGTGAGACGTTCAAGGCTGGTGGAAAAACAAACGCGGAGGACACAAAAAAGGGTCTGAAGGACACCAGAAAGAAACCAGCATCCTCTTTTGGTAGAGGATGTCAACAACGGTCAATTCAACACCAAGGTTGGGCCAACCAAGTGTAACGGCTTCCCTCATGGGACCAAGGCCGAACCAACCGACAAAAAGCAAATCCTGCTGTTGGGGCGCGTTTGCCCGTGGCCCCTGTTTCTAAGGACCCCCGGTTACATATCGGGTAAGTTGGGGTCGATGGAATCAATCCGAGGGCTTGGCATTTGAGCCCTTTCAATGCAGGAACCCCCTCCGAAAGGATTTCTAGACGAATAGAGGGGGTCCGTCCAAAAGGATTTCCACATTAGATAGGGTTCCTGCATTTTGCTCTTTCACCGTGGTTGGCATTCGACCCCCTAGCTGGAAAGTATCCCTCTCAAAACCAAGGCCTTTTGCACGCTTTGCGCCTGATTCCCAACACCAGGTGCCAACCAGCACAGCGACAACCACTGGACATCCATCCCCAAAAGGACCAATGTGACCCTGAAGCAATCTGGGCTCCCGGAAGAAACCAACACGAGCATACACAACGGGGTGCATAAAAAATGTAATCATATTGGCGAGGGGGTATCAGGGGCTCCCTCGCAAAAAGCATGCCCTTGTATCTAACTGAGCATGATCTCGGCTCCATTATTTCCCCAGAACGCCTTCAAAACACAGGCCAACAGCTGGTTGAAAAGAACGAATATTGAAATTAATGCTGAGTCAAGCGATGGAATGTAAGCCATTTAGCTCTTCCGTCATTCCTTAACCAGCCAGCACTTTTCCAAGTGTGAGCCCAGGTCAAAATAACTTGCTTCTCCACGAGGAAGGAGTCAATTGGCGAGTCGCCTGGTTTTGTGGGACAATTTTGTGAGTTCCTCGGCAATTTTGACCGAACCTCAACCCCATGCTCCTTCCCAGGTGGCATTAAACGGACTTCAAGCCGACTTCCACAAGAAGTGATCTTGAAAACGATCCATTACAGTCACAACCTGAAACTTATCCTCCCAGAGGTGGTTCAAAGGTGAACCGCCCCCCAAAGTTCTTGTGCGAACTCCTCAGAGTGCCAAGCTCGCTTTAAGGGACCCAGCGAGATCGGATCAAGCGTCCTTTTTCCCCAACTCCCATTGGGTGGAGAGAAACCCAACACTCTACATCCGACTTAAGTAAACTGACCAAAATCGGGAACAGACAGTTCTCAAATTCACCGCAGAGTTCCATAGGGACACTCGCCTTCAAGTCCGGCGGCTCGCTGCCAAAGTACTCCTTGTACATGCGCCGCATGGCTTGGTCCTCGGAAGCCGACGTCCAGGGACCCTACAAACCAGCTCAAAGATGCCCGCAGTAGCTAGGGGGTGGCCGTGATTTAAGAAGGCTTAGGGTTTTCACAAGCAGGGTTGTAGGGTTGATGCCCTGATTCACTCCCACAACCTCAGACCTCGCAAATCTCCAGACAGTATTTGTCCGGAAGCCCTGTGAACCCTATCCAGCAACCGCTCCATGCCATCCTCCAGAAGCAATCCAACAACCCTAACCTCCCGTAACTTCCCGGAACCTGCTTCCCACAGAGCTGCCATGGACTCCGAAGCTTTTCTGGGCAGAGCTCTGCCTACCTCTCCGCTGAACAACAAAGTGCCCCCATCGGCCGATGGCTATGCAGCTTAAGGCTGTGGCTGGAGGGTACTCGCCTTTCTTGGCGACGAAAATGTTATACCTGCGGAGTGACAATCAATGACAATCAAAACCTGATGTTCGGGTCGACCCAGCCCTTTGGCCCATGTTTCCAATCAAATGGATATGGCAAGGGGACTCTCACTTACAAACCTTTATTTGAGATCAGGCCCTCTTTCAATTGCCCTTTGGCTCCTTTCGGGAGCGGAATCGAAAAACCATCCCTGGACATGGGCATTGGGGCTTTGACTGCACCAGTCGGACATCGCTCCATTGATGCGTTGTGGAAGGCGAAGCGCTTTCTCTGGGGAAGGCCTTCAACCCTGAAGCCTCTTTGGGTGGGTTTCCCTTGAACTTCGTCAGTGTTCAATCCCAAACCTTGGACCCTGCCGCCAATAGTCGCCACAATTTGGAAGACTGTCTTAGTAGTGGTTAATATTTGTGGGTGGGGGCAGTGTTTAAAGCCTAAACTCAGGACAGGAGCTAAATCCGTTCTACCATCATTCCAGCAAAAGGCAAGGAACCAGTATGATGTGTGAAGATATTTGATCTGGCCAAACGTTGACGAGCAACTCAGAAGGACTGCCCAACAGCTTGCCAGAGCCACCCAAACCCAAAAGGTCGGCACCTTCAGTTTGTCCAGGCTGCGAGTCAAACAGGGCACCCCCAATTCACCCTGGTACTTTCTGGACACATGCACTTTTAACCCCGGTTGACACAAAAACGCCTTTTGCGGCGTTGACCACTTTCAGTTGAGAACCCGCCACCTGCTATTTTGGGAGCCCGCCAAACGAGGCAATGGGGTGGAATCATCTGGGAATAAGCAGCCCTAAGAGGAGCAAGCTTGGCGGAGCAAGCTTGGCGCACTTGCTCTCCTTGCCTTTGAGCGTGTACCAGCCTCAGGCAAGCAAGAATCTTCCCTGGGAACAAAGCAAACATCCATCCATAGGAAACCTTCCGAAGACACCTTCTTAAGTGTCAAAGTTACTCTGGGGAGCTTTGCTATGAACCGCCATGTAGAGGGCAACTTTGAGGACATTGCTTTGCTATTGGCCCCAGCTGTGAATAGAAGCCTGTCAAAATTCGATCCATTCGCACCGTCACATCACCTTCTGTGGGCTGTGGTCATGCTTTGCTTAATAGGAACCATGGCTGTCGAAGTTTCTCAATACTGCCATGCAAACGAACATGGAACCCAACAAACATAATTTGTTTGAGAGGAGTCGCTTTTGGGACAACCCTTTTCATTCTGATCCATACAATGTTAAATCTGCCCAAAAGGCAGGCATTAGCCCAGACTTGTCGCTGATGCAAAGGAAGGCATGCAAGTACGACTAACACGCAAGCTACTCCCCTTCAATGTCACAGACAATGCCCAAAAAAGGCCCCGGGCCCGAGATCAGCGGCTTGTCGATGTTCCGGTGAAGGCCCGAGCCGCCCTGCGTGCTTTCAGTCCGTGCGAGTCATCGAAGAAACCAACACGGGGCTGGCAGCGAAAGCCCATGGAAATTCGGGAATTCGAAGAAGACCCGTGCCCTGTTGGCTTTGTGGGTTTTGCCATGGGCTCGGCAGCACCCAGTGCCACCATGGTGGTTGCATCACGGGCGAAAGTAGATGGGTGCCTCACTTCCTGAGCTTCGCTTGCCACTGACATGGTCTTCCCGCACAGCGAAAAGCTCAGGAACACGGGGAGTGAGGAACAACTCCATTTGCGTGTAGGCAAGCAAAGGGGATGATCAGCTACTGTCACCCAACTGTGACCACTGGGTTGTCAAATGGACGCTTGCTAACTTACACCTTTTCTGTGCCGCTAGGGGGGTGACTTTGGAGTCACAGTCTACCCAAAAAAAGCTGGGTTAGACTGAATTTTCTTCACGTTGGCAATGTCCTGGCAAGCTTTACTGAGACATAAAATGGGCCGATTCCCTTGTGTGGCGCTGCTTACTTGGAGTGCGATGTCATATGACTACCACAACACGAAAAGCAAGAAAACAACAATCTAAAACAAAAAAACACGGACCAAACGACTTGAACACGCACCAAGCACGCCAAAGTGCTGCCGCCTTCCGCAACGACGACACAATGCCACCCGGACCAAAGGTCTCCGCCTTGGTCGATGCGCTCGAAATGAAGTCTCTAAGATGGTTTCCACTACCCTCCCACCCACTAACACGGCAACTGGCAGGAGTCTCTTTGGAAGCAAAGCATACCCCAAAGCGACTACCCAGGTTCAGTCGCATATGCAGCCACTATATTATGTAAAGCCGCTAAGAGTGTGGAACGTTTGATCTTTGCGCGGCTCATTGGGGCCACTGTTCGCGGGCCATACCATGTTTGGCTAATGGTTCACCAATTGGCACAAGATAAGCAAAGATACATGGGGAAGTGAGGCTGACCTGCAGTGCATCGACTTTGGGCTATTGTCTAGAAGGGTGAAGGTCATAATCTTGCTTTAATCAAACCAACAATCATGAGTAGTCCTGCATAATACCAACTTGGCTATTTTCCAAAAGGGTAAAAGGCCATTTCAACACACATGTACGTTCAACCCCCATGCCGATTAGCACCTCCTGCTTAACCCGAAGCCGCGAAGCCCCGAAGCAGAGGCTTCTGCTATTGCTCGGTAAGCGTTCAGTCACCACAAAGCAAAAACGGCTAACTGGGATATGTCAAACTAGGAGTACCCCCAAATTGGGTGGCTTTATGGCTTTTATTTTAACCAACCGGAAAATGGCAGCCTCAAAACAACGTGCACACAGACAGAGGTGCGTTCCCGGCAAAACAAAGAACCATGGCCCATAGCGCCCTTTGTGCAAACGAGTGAGTTGATCTGGTCAGCGACCATGTCTGAACCAATGCCGATTATGTGGGGAAGAGAAAGGGCACCGAAACCTCTCTGCCGTGGAAACTTCGGGCCGCTTCCCCCAAGCAACACCCCAAGGGATCACCTTGGGAAGGCCCGAGCAAGCTTTTGGGGAACAACCCCGTACCAAGGCCTTCCAGCTTGATTCGATGTTCAATCAAACCGGTCGGAAGGGTAAAGCCTGCTTCAAAAACAATTGCACTTGAAGGTTAAACTCCTGGGACCTTGAACATATGGATTCGAAATCGGGCTACCCCCGAACTGGCGGTGTGCCTTTTGATTCCCCTTTAAACCAAAGTCAAGACCCCCAAGACATACCAGCACGTCCATGGGGCTGGGAGTGAACATGGGAAAGGCAGCCCTTGAGCGTGTCAGAGGCCGCCCAAAGGTTCTGATCCAACAGCTTTTGATATACATGTGTGTATATATATATATATGTGTATATGTATGTATGGTCACCCCAGCCTGAAACCCATTGCGTTATATGTGGCATGCAAATGATGTACCAATGAAGGCGTGGATCATAGGGGGGTATATATATATAGAAGGGTCTCTGAGGGAGGCAACTATAGTTGTTCAAACCAGGGCTCGCCTTTTGACACGGGCGCACTGGAGGTCCCTTTATCTTCAACCAAACAGGGGTTCATTGCCCAAATTTGAGCAGACCCTGCGCTGCCCTGGCTGATTACCTGCCGCCCCCGGCCAGCACGCTGTTCACGTTCCCGAAGGGCCGCATGTCGTCGCTCCCCAAGAGCGCGGTGCTGCTCAGCAGCATCTGCGGACCGGCGCGACCGTTGGCGCAGCTCGAGACTCTTTTGCATGAAGGGCGCTTAAAGAGAAATCAAGCCAAACCAAACTAACATAGGAGTCTGCGATGGTTTTGTTGGGGGGGATGGTGACTCTTTTTTGGATGGGAGGTCCTATCTATATACCCCAGATGGGCATACCCTGAAATCACAGGCTAGAAGTGGGTTACACAGGGGCCATCCACCAAAAACATCCTTAGATATGGCTTAATGGTGATTTGCTTATTTGCGGTATGTAATAAGTAGGGCCTCAGAGTACATGGTGTTCAGCGGAAATCAGAAGGAAACCAAACGGAAAAGAGGAGATTCACAGACTCCTTTCTGGGATGGTGTTTGAAGAACAATTAATTATATCAGCGACTCCCTTTGAATGGAGTGTTTGAAGGATAAACACAGAGAAAACACCCAAGGCCCAGTCTTTGAGAAAGTGGCTGTTCCCTCTCGACTGAATGGCGTCATGAGCCACACAGGGTCCTTTCCCAAGGGGGCCCGCGAAGCCTTACAGAGGCCCAGTGCTCCGGCCGTTTAACACATGCGGGTCAGTTCCTTGGTGACTAGTTTCTAGACCAATTCGTTGGTATCTCTCCCACAAACTATGGAGACATTCACCCTGATTGCAGCAATCTAAATATTGGGGCGGGCCTTCTGGAAGAAGGCACAGTCAAAGTCTCCGCTCCGAAGAATTGCGGAAACTGGTTCACGCAGCGTGCGCGTCAGGGCAGGCCCGCGCCCCACACAGTTGTTGTGTGACTTGGAGCTCAAAGGCCGTGTTGGCCGCCGCCCCGTCAACAAAGACGAGGTTGACAAGAACGTCCGCCCAGCCCGAAGATTCCGCGTCGAAGCGGTCGCTCACAGTCTTGACGCCGGCAATGCCCCGTACGTTGTGTCTACAAAGGGCACCAGCCATTCCAAACACTGCGCTGTGTCACTCATGTTGTTTGGAATACCCTGAGGAGTACTGTCTATCAACATGAGCAAACTAGCGAGTTCCCTGGTCTTGTGTTTGAATCCCCTGTGTCCATCCCAAAGGAATCATAGACTACTGACATTTTGAGCGTTCATATGTGCAAGCCTGACAACTTGCAAGTAGCTCGAATGTGAAGAGCACAGCAAAGGATGCCAAACAATGATGCCAGTAGTAGATCCAACAGCTAACCCAACTTGCACATGTTCTGTTTCAATTAGAAGCTCTTAAGAGTGTCTGTAGTGAGTAAAGCAACGCTGGAAGTCGATACAACACATGCTATATGCCCCAGGCTGTGATCAGATCTTATCCGCCTAGCCCCCGGTTCAAGCTGGCAAAAGGGTCCGAGTCCCAACCCCAGCATGTCAGCATAATACGCACTAGTTGTTGCCCTTCCATTCAAAATGAACAGAATCAGCCAAGCAGGAAAGCTGTTGAAACGATGCAAATACCTGTGAAGGGGCGGTCTAATCGTCCCTGCTCTAAATACGGCAACAAAACGCCCAACAAAGGGAGACCTGGGTGTCTGTTTGTTGAGTTTGTACCCTTGCTTCGTTTACGAGAAACGTCCACATAGTTTGTAGATGATCGTCGTCTTCACTCGAAATCAAGGGGCAAACAACAATTGTCTCGGTTTGTCAAACTGGCCTGCAAAGAGCGGTCAAGTTTTGCGTGTGGTTGGACACGTTTTTTAGAAGTTGACAAATGTTCGTCAAATCACAAGGCAACCAAGGATATTGGCTTAAAGTTCGCAGTGCACTGAGGAATTCCAGTGACATACATAACTATAACGCGAAGTTGGGAAAATCGAACCAAAGCGTGACCAACATGGTCAAGTTCATGCAGTTGAAATCATTCAATGATTCAAACCACTGCTGCTGATGTTGCTTAAATGAACAACAACACCATGTTACTGTTTGAATGGGGTCCATATTTGTCTGGTTCTTTGCTTTTGGAATGCGTTTCTTCATGGAAACCAAGGACACTGCCCTTGGGCTCTTAAAGTTTGAGACAAACCCACACGCTGCAAAGCCATCCAAAGCCTGCTCGCTCTCATAGAGCAGAAGGTCTTTGAATGTGGACAGCAGGCTGGAAGAGCCTCGCACAAAATGGCAGGGGCCCTGCCAACAGGGGTCTCTTGACTTTCTGCCGCAGCCATTCTTTACAAACAAGCTTGGCATGCCTACAAGCGGAATCCAGTCCATAGCTCACGTGTGAGTTTGCCACAACCATCCCCAGAAACCCAACAAAGTAACTAGCTCGCAACAGGTGGTCCTTTTGCCTACTGGGTATAATTTGCAAGTAGGGACCCTTTGTGGCATCGTTTAGGTGGAGATTCATGTCCACCAAACACTTTTGAGGTGGTTTCCCATGAAAAATCGTAGCCAGCTATGGCCAGGGTTCTTTCATTCCTAGGTTTCGCGCTTCCCCTGTCTTGGGTGAGCAACTCTGTCTGCCGATGCCTTTTGTTAGAAAGGAAATGAATGGCTCGAAGCCCTAACCCCCTTAAATGCTCTGAAGGAAACTTCTGATCGAAGGTGTTCTGGTTGAATGGTTCTGAAAACTTTTGTGGCGGGTGGGTCCCAACGTCTCTGATTCTTGGTGGGCATGCTTGGCAACCCTCCAAGAAGAATCCATCCCTATTTTTGTGGAGCAAGGTATCTATCATCTAAGAAAACCCTGGGCCAAGACACCACCAAACGCTTGATTCCCTGAATAATGCGAGTGATCAAACCATGGTCGAGTGCTGGGTCGACCTTTGTTTCCTTATGTTTCACCTGGGTAAGTTATGCCGACTGCCAACTCTGATGGACCCCCTGGAAAGGAAGCCTATTGGGGGCCGAGGTTGCAAGCCCCCGTCGGTGTGCATGCTAAAATGCGCCTTCCCAAGAACCAAAAATTGAGGCGATGGAATTCCAGGGATCGCCCTCGCCCCCAATTCCATTTGGCTTTGACCCAGGATCAATCAACCCCGGATGGATCCGAGGGGAGGATTCTTGAGGAGTCCTTCACTTTGAGGAAACCACTCCGCATTTATCCGCCAGGTTGATCATAATAAGTGGTCAAGCAGGATTTGTCCCCAATATGGTGCTCCACAGGAGTCTGAACGCGCCAAAGCAGAAAAAGCAGACTCCTCTTTTGTGTTTGCTGCAATCATGCAACACAAAAACTGACCCTGGCAAGTCCAAAGAGCCCGGATGCACCGCATGTCACCTGGCAAATTCAAGACTCTCAGCACCGAGACACGAAAATTGAGCTGCCCCTGGTTTTTGCTGGCAAGCTTAGTGAGTGGCCCCATGTCCCTCCCAAATTCACCAGAATCGGGAGGCAGTCGTTTGACCTCGATGCAAACCTCCAGCTGTCTGATACCCTCCCACACACAAACATGGAACCTGAAAGGGACCCCAAGACCATTATGTTTCTTGTGAGTCCCATGCTTATTTTTGGGAGGGTACATCTTGCGTTTGTTTGGAGTTTTTGCACTGCAGCTTGGCATACAGCACTGTGGATGGATGAAATCCATTTCGCAACACCCAAGAAACCCTGGAATGACAACGATTTCCCATTGTTTCCAGCTGGTGCTGGATTTCGCCTATCCACGGTAGCATCTCCCTACCTGAGCTTTTGCCTGCTGAACGTGATCTGCTTGGATTCTGATCTTTAGCGAACCTGGATATACAAATATAAATTGGATTCATATTTAATAACGTGTGAGGGTGCTCCCTAAAATTCATGCTATAATACTATTAATGTGGAAAAGAATTCGGCAAACTACAAAACCGAACCACGCAATGTTCTCAGGAATCTCCTTTGTATCAAAACAAACCCCAACCGTCTGCGCGGGTGGCCCTCAGTGGAAATCGATTGCCTTGCGCCAGTTCCGGGATGTTCCAGCAGGCTCCCGCCAGTTCCAGCCTCGCCCAACAAATCAGGGCACGACACATCAGGTTTTTGTTTAGCCCAGACTGCATTTGGAGAAGAAACACGCGTCTAGGGGCCCAATCCCATGCTTCGTTTGACTGGTAAGAAAGGAAAATGGTTGCTCCTGTTTATGATAAAGGGATTGAATCGATCCCATTCATAGCACATGACGTTGTCGTCTTGAACGGGATTCCCCAATGGCAGAAACCAGCAACCTAAATCCACATATTCCCCAGCTGTGGCCACAAGTGTTGAGGAAGTTGAACCAAACCGCCGATCCTAACTGTTGCTGGCAATCATCCAACAACAAAGCAGTCAGTACATGCCCCTTGCATTTGTACCACTTAAATACTCTGCAGCAGGCCGTTCGGTTCTGCATGTCGTGAACTGTCATCTCCAACCATTTGGATATCAGGGGTTCCTCACTAACAAGGGTAAGAAGTGGTCGTGGCACAGAAGGCATGCTAAAAGGTTAGACTGTTTGTTGGTTTGTAGGGGTGATGGCCATTTGTCTACGAGGTAAATACATGTCAATTGCTGAAGGTCGAATCGTGTAGCAATCAAATAAAGGAGTCATGGTTTTTGACATACATTTGGCTACAAGCAAAGCTTCAGACTCAAGCTGGAATTGAGGTGCCGGCCGCATTGCTCCAAACTCTTGATTCTCCTCGCAAGCCAATCGAAGCAAGCCACCCCCTATCTCATGCGCAACTTGGAATCTGCATGGTCAGACTCCGCGTGGCCGCGGCCATGGTTCCCTCAATAGGACTCTGGTTGTCAAACCTCCCCATAGGTTGATGACCATCCCAGCCAGCCCCAAGCAGAGCAAAGGTCAGCTCGGTCGAAACGTTTGGAGCAGCCAAACTCGTTGTGACCTGTATGCCGCATTTCTCCGATGTTGAGCCATGCAAACTAGCCAAGCCGAGGCTTCACAAGCCGCTCCGGTGCAGTTGTGTCGCACTCATAGGCACTTGCAAACGACCTAACTCGACAAACTTATATACACGTAAACTTCTTTTGCAGCAATTTGGGGGGGCACTATCCAAAGGGCTTGAAAACCAAACCGTTACGCTATCCTTTTGGGATATTGACTGAAATAAACATCGGCCAACATTGGAATGATCAGGTCAGGTAGTCGCTTTAGTTGCAAGTGAGCTCTCAAAATGTGTCCTCTGCATGCTGGGCATGGCCTCCACCACAAATGATTGTGAGGCGGCCCAAACTGTGATATCTTGAATGAACCCGGCAAACGCAAACACGCAAACACAAACACCATTATTGAAAATCCCCGCCCCCGCCCCCTCCCACCTAGGAAAAAGGCGTTGACTTCAACAAACACTGCAAGCAAACGTGTCACAAAGCGGAAGTCTGAATCTTAGCGCAGTCCTTGTCCCGTCCGTAGACCGCATCGCCCAAGATTCGGGCGGCGCGGTCCGGAAGGGCCTGGGGCAATTGACGCAGAGCGGCTCAGGGACCTGCTCACTGGCCAGCCAAAGGGCATTCTTTGTGTTGGTCCTCCAACAACTAAGACTGAAACAGTTGAAGCTTACGAGTTCAACGTTCGGCGTCCGCATTCTTCGGTTTTGATGGGCAAGAAGAATCATTTGGAAACACACCAAAAGCGAAACTGCAACCATGAGCACAACATGTGTAGTAAGAGAAGGCAACAACTCAACGCTACCAAGAACAATGGCTTCCTGGCTCTGGGTCTCCCCTTAGAGCGCCCTTCCTTTTGACTCGACTCGCGACGTCGCGCGTGCGGCCTTGAAGACGTTCTCGGAGTTGGAGGCCTCCGTGCGGATGGCCTTGCCTTCGTCCAGCTTCACGATGCAAGGCCTCAGGTCGAGGGATCGAGCCCCTGGAGGTCAGTCGGGCATGGCTCCTTTTGTTGCAAGGGATGGCGCAAGTTCCTCTTGTAAAGGGGATGATGTCACGGGGAATTGTGTCTTCTTTCGCCCAATGGAGAAGGGTTCTTAATTCTTGTTGTTTGTTGTGTTCGTTTTTGAACGGGTCTGTATCACTCCGAAAGGAATTTAATTGCGCACTGGCCTTACCAACAGGCATCACACCCTGCCCTCTCCCCCTCACCCAATTACAAAACGAATACAACGCAAGACAAAGAAACCCCCTAAACTGGGGCCCAGCTTCCCTTTGATGATTCCCTTATCTCCCTGTAAAAAAAAAAAAAAACTCCACGGGGTATCCGCCCACCCCAAGGCTCCTCCCCCGCTGGGAATCCCCCGCTCCCCCGGCCGGCCATCGGCTTCAAAGGGCTGCACCTCGCGGGCGCAGCCCGGGCACGCTCGCGGTCGCACGGCTCACTTTCTGAGTGGACTGGACCAAAAGCTCCTTCTGGTTCCCAGTAATTGTTCTGGCTTCATTTAACACACACTAGGTCTTCCAGATTTGAGAGGTTAGAAGAAGTTGGTACCCCATGTGTTTTTTCTTCTTTCTCTGTAGTCTATTTTAGCAGGGGAACCCTCTCCCAAAAAAGGGTGAAAGGGCACTGCTGGAGGACCTAGAGGGTCATCAAACGTTTTGTTTTAGGTTTTGTTTACCACTAGAATGAAGGTCGGCCACAACGGCAAGTCAGGGAACTCAGGGAGTGGGATGAGTTCCCTTCTCCAGGAAACCGGGTTGGTTGCCACGTTGGTTTCTTGGGATGTCGTGCAAACACCCCAGGAAACCGGGTTGGTTGCCTGCCACCCGGCCAAAGCACCGCAAAAACTTTGCCAGAAGGAAATAAGGGATTTTCAAAGAAGCGGGTCTTGATCAGGAGCTCGTTTTAACCCCCCCCTTCCCCTGATCCCAAGAAACTTCACTTCGTCTCTTTGCCTCACAAATGGTATTCCCAAAGAAAGTCCATATGCTCATGCGGAAAATGGGCAACATCCTAGGATCTTTTCAGGTGGCGAAGCCCCAGGCGCAGGGCCCCGCTCACAGTAGCCTCGAATCCATTCGGGCGGTGCCAACAAAAACGCCCCCGTGTTTGTGCCTTGGTGCCGCCTTGTGCTGCCTGTTAAAGGGCGTACCAAAACCGGGCACCAATTCTTACATTCAACCGTATCTCCGCGCTTCAAACAGGATTCCGAGAAGAGTATTTAACCGGGGAGGTAAGTAGAACACTGAAGAAGGCGATCGGCAACTTGGTAAGCGGTGAGTAGTGGCACTTGGCACATCGATCGCCTGCCCAAGAAGAATATGGGAATCCACTGGCTGTCCAATGATCGAAGGGCTCAATCCCGTGCCCGAGCCTGAAGCTACCAGGAGAGATGCCCTCATACTCAGCAGGTGTCCCCCAATGTCGTTGGATTCTGGTGAACCTCATTTTCTCATTGTAGGTTTGGAGAATGAACCGTTTGAGATCGCCAAAAAAGACACACACACACACACACACAAGGGACGGTACAGCTCCAGGGCGCTCGTTTTCCTAACCGGCAAGATGCCCCGTCCCGTCTGCGGTGCGAGCCCTGATCACCAGAGAGCCGCTGAAGCCTCCCGTCAGCTTCTGGGCCTGCCAAACGCCACATCCGGTGGGTTAGTTGGAGCCACCCTCCAAGGGATCTCCCATGCTGCGCGGCCAAACAAGTCACCCCTTCAGCCCTTGGAGGGTGCGGGTGGGTTCAACTTGAAGAGGAGCAACCCAATGGCCTGGGAGTCTGAGAGAGCTTCCAATCCATAGGATAGGAACCAAAGTGACAAGCGTCTTCCTTTGGAGTGGTTTACAGCGCAACAAATCTTTCATTGTGCGACACATGTCTCTGACATAAAGTGCTTTTCCTCAACCCCAGGTCCAGGGCCCTCTCCATCCTGTTCGACGAACCAGGTAAGCCAATCTCGAACTACCACAACGGTAACCATGGTTGTAAGCTATTCACTGTGCGGCTTGTACAGCCTCCCTTCCATACATCAGTTGGTGGGCGGGGGCGTGTTTTTGCCGCAAACAAGAGGCCAGTGTGTTCGAGTCATCTGATCCAGAGCCCGTTTCATACGCCCCTGATCAACATGAAACCCAAAACGGCCTCCTGTGCAGAGGAAACTCCTCTTAAGAACCCCTTTTTTGGGCAACCCATGTTGATTAGCAGCGGAGTAACCTGCCCCCATAGCTCCATTGAAATTGCTGCACAAGATACAAAACGGAGCCCAAAACGTGTCCTTGACTCCCATTTGTGGCAGCCAATGAAAAATACTCCGCTTTGGCTAGTCACCGTGTGCCTCTAGCACCAACTGGAAAACACTATTTTCAAGCAAAGGGGAAGATGCGCAAGACCACCCTTATCACAACTTTGAGCAGAAACATTGTGTCGGCAAATGAGCACCAGAGCTTCGTGAGTGAACCACTGTGTCCCAGGGATAATTTGTTGAGTAGACCCACATCCCACTAGTTGGGTATGTTTTCGTGAGTCTACCGCGCAGCATTGCTTTCATAGTTGAAACGGGGAACCCCCCACAAGGTGGAAAATTGAAACCACTTCTGTGATAGGGCCTTCTAAATATTTGCTTGAATTGGAAGGTTCCCTGGTAGCGTCAATTTTGGGCCAATCCGAGGCGCTGTATCACTCAAGAGCGGCTGGCCTTTTAGTTGGGAATCAATGGATGTTGGAGGATTACTCTGATTAGTATGGTCGTCCAGCCTAATTCGAAGTTGACATTGTGCCAAGAATGACTAGGGTTCCCATCTCCTTGTTCCAACACGCCCGAATCAACATAAAACCAAGTAGCTGCAACTGGAAAAAAACACATGGGCTTAGGGCAAACCAAATCGAAACAAAATTAAAAGGAACCAAGAGCACGCGTTTCAAAGGAAAACAACAGTGAAACCGACTGGGGGTTTTGCGACTTGTGACAGACGTTGCCAGCCTCAAAGACCTCAAACATCTGCAGTAGCAGCCTGACGCAGAAAGCGCGGATACCCTCGGCTTATCGGATTCCAGGCGGGGAGGCGCCCCCCTCCAGAGTGAGTGGGTCTTCCATTTCCCCGTGCATGAGCAATACATCGCCCACAGCGCTTCCGCTTGGAGCTCCCACCCCCAATTGACTTTGAGGATTAGTCGACGTGGCGCAACTGCGCCCCCAAACGTGAGCCGGGTTCCCTCTAAAACAGGTGCCCCCCCGAAGTAATCAACCGGAAGTCAACAAACATACACTGGAAACTTGGCCAGACTTAGACCCCTGCGAAAAGTCAGCTGGTTGCTGGCGAAAGGGGCCCAAGCTTTACTCAACCTGGACGTCCACTTCCCCTTGCTGGGGCGTTTTTTTGGAGGCCAAAAGAAACCCGCTCAGTTTGGGGCCCAACAAGTTTCCGATGCCTTTTGCTGCAAAGCCCGAAGTCTGTGAGGTTCGCCAATGAACAAAACACCAAAGGCCAGCCCTCGGGCTCCGCACCTCTGATAGATCTCCGCTCGGGGATGGTCTTTGAACAATCTCCGGCAGGTCTCCGACACATCCTCCCGACTTGCGAAATCACGAGGAGAAGTGGCGGGACAAATGTTGCACGTGCTACCTATTTGTATACAAATCTATATGTAGATATGTTCCATATGACATATAGACGTGGATTTCCCTCAAACAAGGGGAACCGCCCAAAATGGGCTGTGTTTCTTTCGTCTTCAAATGACACACCCACGTTTGGTTCATTCGAAAGGGAAGCAAAAAACAAACACACATCCGCTCGTTTTGGAACAAGCCCTATGTCAGCGAATTCAAGGCAAATTTGGCCTGTACCCCATCGTGGGTGAAAGCCAGGGGTTGACGCAGGGCCTCATTTTAACCATGGAAGCTGTTCATAAGTCCTCGCATATCCCTCCCAAGTGGACCATTCAAAGGCTCCGTGCTCAAAGCAGTCTAAAAAGCATCTCTTAAGGCGTTGAACATGTAGAGGGTGCTGGGACTTTTGGAATTTTGACCGCACGTGGCAAACTGAGGTGAAGCTTTCCTCTTGCTTGTCATAGGTATGAAAAATAATCAATTACTGGGTGCGTCATTGTGTGGAGGCTACAGTTTCGGCAGTCGATTCAAAGGGACACAAAGGAAATTGACTATCCAAAGTGGATTCGCTAATCAGCCTGAGTGAATCCTTGGGCAATCTCAGCAATCAACTCCCTTGGGGTTGGGGTTGAATGGACCTCCACTGGGGTCCTGAATCAATACTTCTAAAAACCACCTGCTTTGCAAGGAGGTCCTCTAAATGAGCTGGTAAAGGTGCTTCTCTACCTGGCCCCAAATAGATAGTCTCTATGGGAGCTGCCCAACTGGAATCGTGTGGTAAGACAAACACCTTCATGGGTAAGCTCGATTCACCCCAACCTGCACAGCCTGAGGCTAGATAGTTGGCCCTAGGGAAGCCATAGGAAAGCCGCTCAGCACTTTTCTGCCCAAAGGTGATTTGATCGTTCGGAAACGGAGCAACCCTCCCGCATTTGCGGTTCTTTGTGCAAGGCACCATTTTGCCAAAAAGAAGCTTGGAAAAACCTTCCGAAAAGAGAACCTGCTTTGGGTTGGAGGGAAGACCAACTCGCTGGATTCCAAGTACATCCGTTGTTTTCCAGCTGCATCTCCGAGAGTTGGACACTTCTTCCCTTCCGCCTTCCGAACCACGTGTTGTGGAGAATCACCCCTTCTGTGATACTAGATCGGGCCATGCCTCTACGACTGCTTTGCCCACGGAATTTGATACAACCCAACTTTCCACGAGCTGAGATCGCTTTCCCCTCCTGAACCTGCATGCTGCTTTTGCCCCCGGAGGCTGCATGCTCCTCCGGGCACACTCTCTCTCTCTCTCTCGTCGCTCCAGAAGTTCTCCCGCGCGGTAGGGGGCCTTTTTTTGGCTGCCAAATAGGGAGGCCTGGAAAATCAACAAATTACCCATCCCCTTGTGGTAAATAAAGATCTATGGGCCATGTAGCACCCAGTTTTGGTGCTCCCGCGACTCAGACCGGCACTAGGGTCTCACAAGAGACAAAATAAAAATAAAAATAAAAAAAATCGTGGCAAATGGGTGTCCTCTGAAACAAAAAACACACACGCAGTCACATGGAACTCCGAAAGGGTGCTTGTTTTTGGGATTCCAAGCAAATCTGCAGGGGAGTATTCGGTCACAAGAACATGCGGAAATGCTGGCTGTACGTTCCATTTGAGGTTTTTTGCAACCGCCCTAGCACGAAAGATTGCAAAAGCCAACAAGGCACCGTCAAGGCCGCCCCGCAGAGACTTTGGGTTCAGCACTTCGAGGAATTCTAAACTCTAACAGACCGCATGTGCGTTCTTGGTGCCACCTGCAACATATCATTCAGTCAGGGTGATGTCCCCGAAGAATCAACAAAGAAAAGGACAAGTCTTCAGAAAATCTACAAGGGCGTGGTTGATGAGCCGAACCAAGTCTGATCATCTGCATCTACTCTGTCCCCCAGAGAAAGGAGCGCTTGACTACTGTGTTCTGGCGTTGCACTCAAAACAAAAATGAATCGACCCACAAACGCCCCACAAACGCAGGGGTGCCAACCATGTTAAGCTGTTCCGCCAACTAAGCCATAATTACCCAAAATCATGTAGTTAAGAATCTGCCAGGCCGTGCCAATCTATCTGTCCACCACCAATTAGAAGTTCCCAGAGTTCCCTCGTTTTGATTCTCGACTGCTAACAACTGGCTAAAGGATGCCAAACAAAGGAATACTTATCAGTCATCACAATTCCTTCGGGGGGAAAACACACATATGAACTCAACTTAGCTTGCCAAGGGTTCCCCTACACCGACAAAGGGAAGGGGGGTTGGGGGAGGGTCCGAAGTTCCGTTTGTTGAGTGATCCCAAGGAAAAAAAAAAAAGGAACCAGAGATGGAGCTCTCCGAAGGCCATCCACCTGCCCATCCGTAACTGCTGTGGACCAAATCCTGCACCAGCTGGGACCTCTACAACCTCTTTGAATACGCAGGATCCAGCCACAGGGATACCTGCACCCTCAAGCATTGCCTCCATTGAGATCCGGGTGGTGAAATCGCCCATCCTGAAAGCTCATTTGCTCGTCACGCCGGCCCTGGAAATTTGGCTCGTCACCCCTTGCCCTCCCAAAAAGACCAGAGACATACTAGGACCTTTTATGGAGACCCCCTGGTTGGGCTCTATATTGATCTCTGCCAACTCTACAATGATTCCAAAATCTGAAATAAAGGATCCCCGAGTAAAGGACCCTCATCAGGTTAAGCTTGTTTTAGCCAGAGGTGAGCTCGCCACTAGAAAAACAGGCGAAGACAACTTGCCGAGAAGCAGGCAGAGGAAGCAAGCGGCTTCCCTGGCCTTCCAGTTCTTGATCTTGTCCCAGCGCCACAGCCGGGTGATCACGCTCTGCTCATCCACGGCATCCTCGAAGCAAATGCTCAGCCATCCGTCCGCCAGGGGCTGTCCATGATTCTCTATATGTCCTCCCTAACCATCTGCCCACCAAAACGAAACTCGCGCAGAATGGCCCCCACCGCGACTATCTCAAATGCAGATTGGAACTTGGACCCAGCCAGAAAAAAACTTTGTTTCATCCAGCAAGAGGCTATCTCAAAATGGAAGTGATGCAAGCTGGAACTTGCAACCCGCGCAAACAATGGTGGCTGCCTTTTGTCATTCCATCCTAGCTGTCTCAACATGGAAGTTGGAACCACCTCTCTCTGCCCCTACCACCAAAAGAACGGTGGCTCCATGTTGGCTTCTTTTGATCGCTGAACCCAACAAATCCGTTCCAGGTCGCACGGAAGTTTGAGCCCCATCCAAAAGACACGCCTAGCAGGGGAAGCTTCCTGGCTCTTTTTGGTGGTGCTCCGCCTTAGCTTGTTTTCCAGGACGCCCAAAAGGAAAGAAAGCGATCCATTGCGCAATGGTCAAGCCTCCCCAAAAACCTGCAGGCAGAGAGGTCCATGACAATTCCCACCAACCCAGTGAGCAAGTCTGTGACCATTCCGCATTTCAGGTCTGTTTTTCAGTTCAAGACAGCGTTGCTCACAAAAAGAAGCATCCTAAAAGAATGCATCATTAACAAAAATACTCACAATGCATCCCAGGCCAAAAGCCAGGGAACTCATCTCAAAACGGGGTGCCCTCCCTCCGTTCGCAGGGAACCATTTTCCTCTAACAGGGGCCCTTTTGTTGAGTAAGTGGGTGGGGAGTGAACCCTGAAAAACCAGGCCCACCGTCATCTTGTCACTTTGCCCATTTTCCTCCAAAAACAATAGACTCTGGTGTCAGTCAGTAGGGAGTGAACCCTAAAAACACGTTGCGGACGCCCACAAAACATGCGTTCCGCGATCCTTGGACACCGTGGAGAAGGACTTGCCCCCCGGAAGCCCGATCTTGGCGAAGAGATCCTGCCAGAGCAAGGCCGGGTCAAAACTGTGCATAAACCACCTCTAGGTCCTCCACTAGGGAGGTTAGAATAAGGGTACCCTTTTCTTGGCAGTCTATTTAGTAGGGGAACCCTCCCCCAAAAAGGGCAAAAGGGCAATAGTGGGGGACCTAGACCTCTAACAGGAGCAGGTTTTCGACCACAGTATAGGTACGTGTCCACATCGGGATGTGGACTGGGCCTCGGCTTTCCATTTCGTTCCCTTTACACTGAGGTGAACGGTGAAACGGGTACCCCTAAAATCACACGCACATACACACACACAGTGCATGCACACCCGCATGAACCCCCGACAGTTCTGCTTGTCGGAAGCCAGCTTCCAGAAAGGTCCAACATAGCAACGGGTTGTGGGTGCATACAATCAGCCTTTGATGACCTAAGGATGCGATCGGCGACTGAATGCAGGTGCGGCCGCGTTCTGTGAGTCTCACCCGGATACTTCAAACGTCGATCACGGACTCAACCTGGCAAAATTAGTCGAGGATTTCGTTTAGACAAGACTTTAACGGCGAATCCGATCTTGAACTGGGGTTGTAAAGGAACTCTGTTGAATTGTTTGTATGGTGGGGAAGCCTTCATTATCTCCAAAGAACGCAACATTCTTTGCAGTGAGTGGATGCGTGGTTGACTCTAGCCTTTCTCAAGGAGTTTGCGCGGACCCTTCCAATGAATCATGGCTACATAAGACAGATGCATGCCCAAGGGTTACCGCCGAGAGAGTCCACGCAAAACTCTTTGGAAAAGCAGCAGCCAACACACACAAATGCAAGGCACATGCCAAGACTCGTGAAGGGCTCACTTACCTGAGACCTAGGGGGCCATCACCTCTGGTGACCTTGCCACATTTGGACAACCACAGGGTCAAAAGGTCCCTTCACTGAAAAGGCAACCTTTTTCCTTTGGGGGTGGGATCCTGCCCCAGCTGGAATGACTGCATAAATACTGGCACAAGCCACCTGTCAACTCATGCACACGAGTTTGTCCATCCACAGATGGGCACGTTTTTCTTCATGGAGGCGCCCTTTGGTGGACATCAGTTACCTGTGGATTCATGTCCACCCGCTGTGAGGGTGTTCCAACCACGAAAACTCATAGGCATCTAGGGGTTGATTCCCCATTCTTTTCAACCATCGTTCTTTTCGAAAACCAGCCGCTTTCCCTGGGTTTCCGGAGGTTGTCTAGAAAGAAGGACCCCTGGAAAGAATGAGGAAGGTATCCCTAGAAAGCAGCCAAACCTAAAGACCGTCGTCCTTGTACAGCTCCACCTCCTTGTCCGGGATCACAAAGGTGCCCTGGCTCGCCCTCGGCTGCAATGGGCAAGCTCAGTCCCAAAACGCGACACCGAGAAAACGAGTCTGCAAAAAGGAGGGCTGGCCAACTTTGAGGAGATTCCAGGTGAAAACAAGGGGAAACCACAGCAACTTAAGGTTCCCGCTGTTTTTTGTTACGAACTCAAATGGCAACTGCCAACAGGGAAAGTCCTCCAACTGGGTTTGTCTCAAAATGGGGAAGCCCAACATGTGCTGTTGCTGAATTTCCATCTGAAACTACCCCAAACAAATGCACTCGGCAAAAGGACACACCCGGAATGGCTCCCTCTTGATCATGCGGCGAGGTCTCATCTCCAAGCCGTTGCGGCGGCGCTCTAATGTCCAGACAATGCGATTCTTAAAGGCTTACTTGCCCAATGGACTTAGAACTACAAGGCACACTGTTTGGGAACTCGACTAAACACGGTTGCCAAAACGGGAAAGCCAAAAAGTCATGAGGTCGATTCGCTTTGGACAACTGAGCAAGATCACCGTGTCGCATCCCTTACCGTCTGCGGCCGCAGTGCTGGATCATGCAGGCCAAGGGATAGGCCTCCACAGGACAGTTGTGAGGGTACCCTTTCAGAGTTGCATTAAAGGCAGACCAAAAGAAAACAACCCTTTTGGCGTCCCCTTTTTGCTTGACGCATAGCCAATCGAGGCTTTTTGTTGGTCTGGATTGCGGGATTCCTTCTTGATCGGCGAAGGGAAGAAAATCGGTACCTGACGAAAACAAACCGAATAAAACCGTTCACCACATATTCTACACTTGCAGTTCGGACGTGTGTCAGACAGATTCAGACAGGGTAGCATGTCCCTTGAACAACATGCCGCTGAAAGGGAAGCTCGATCAAACACAGGCCCCAAAGTTGGCGTTTAAACTGACGAACAAGGCAAGTACAGGGACCCCGGGATGAATTCACGAATTTGCAAGGGTGAACTGTTCAAAGCGTGCACTTTAACTTTCAACCTTGTCGCCTCTTTGTTCGTCGTGGCTATTTCGCCCCTGCCCAACAAGTTTGCCATGCAGCAGTCAACACCTTGTCAGTGTGGGTTGGTTATGTGTTGAATCGGCTTGGAGCAACCTGCTCGACTTCAAACCAACTCATCATGAAGTGGTTGAGGGTCCTTCCGATTTAAGCTAGGGAAGTGCGACAAACTTCGGGCAAATGAAGGTACCCTCTTCCCCATACAAGTCAGCCCTTTTTGAGATGGCAGTCCCTGTCAAGTTGCTTCCAAAAACTCGTATGAACGTTGGAAAGGACAATTACGTGGAAATGGACGGGCTTCTCCAAAAGAAAAGTAGCCCTCCAACAACCTTTTGTCAGCTTCGAAAACTGTCGGGAGGCTACTCCCCCAACCTCACCTTTAGAGTTCATCATTCATCATACCCCTGCCGCTGGACCTGCTATTTCCACCCTGCCCCGGTGACCCTGGTGGGAACAGGGTATCAGGCCACTCTGAAAGTGGGTCCCGAACCCAACAAGAACTTTGATTGGAAAAGGCCTGGAATCATTGCACTAGGGTTATACGGGTCTTACCCTAAACCCCATGACTTAGGTAGGCGGAGGGATCTTGAGGGGTGCAGGGTGGCTCGAAAGACCCAATCGGCACAGGCTTGAGCATTGGCCTCTGATGAAAGAGATGAAAGGAAGCCAAAGGCAACCCTTGGGTGTTGATTATCTTTTGGAGGCTCGGATTTTACCAAACCAATTATATTGCAAACCATTCACCTCAGTTCTACTATTCCGAGGGTGGCCAAACAAACGTCGGCCAAACTTTGTAAGGACGTCGGTCAACTTTTCAAGGTCCACCAAACATGTTGGCCACTCAAACTGGATCCCCTCAGTCCGGAGGAAGCCCTTCACCCCAGTTGCCCCTGGCAACCCTGGTAGCAACACATTTGGAACCCTTTCTCGGGCAGGCTTGGACAATGACATCCAACCGCTGCATTTCCCGCCATGGTCCTCGTGACGTCCTCACAGGAAATACACTTTGACTCGTGATTAAAGAGGGTAGCCGACCCAAAAGGAGCTTTGAAAACCCCTCAGAATGCAACCACTTTAAGGCACCCCGACGGGTCAGATTTAGGCACCCTACATTTCTCCGGCAAGGAAAAACGCGGGAAACCCGAAAGGGCATACGGATGTCAAGAGATTAGGCAAGAGTCGGGTAATGGGGCGTAAAGGCTCGCCTAGTCTCAGGAGTAGCACCCCCCCCCGGGGCCTCAGTGAGCAGGCTCTGCTGCGGCGGTGCATCCGGCACATACACCGGCATCTCCTGACGGGAGATGCAGGCAATCCCAGCCGCAGGTCCAGTGTTGCCCAAACTTTTAAACCAACCCACAAGCCACTAACCACTGATCACCTGAAAGGAAGCTCCTGCGCAGCAGCAGGTCTTGGGGGTCCTTCTGTGAATCTGCGGAGCAAACCAAGCACAAGCCATGTCTGCATCAAGGGCTGTTCTTTGCCATGGATAAGACCCCAAGTGATGTCGGAAAAGCATCCCTGAAGGAGTTGAGCATGGGGAGAGGGCGCCCGGATACTTACAAAAGCTTGAAATTGGCCCTTAGCTGTTCGTGGCAGCCCAACACGGAAGCAGTTATATTGCTTCTTTCACACCCTCCATTGTAGAGGTTTTTTGAGGTCCAAGGAGTAAAGAGCACCCTTTGGCTCGAAGTCGCATGTAAACACCACGAAACAGCTAAGGTTCAAAGATTTACAAAGCAGCCAACTTGGGTTGTACAATGTCAACTTTGGATTGATCCGGAGGACCATACCAATCAAGGGTCCGAAATATCTTGGGTCAGTATGGTCCTCCGGATTTATCCGAAGCTAACATTACACTCTTGCAAATTAACATGGATCGTTTTGGGAATGGCGTCTCCTTTTGAGGCAAAAGCCTCGTTCCATTATGAGGCCCTAATTACACACCAACAAAGAGCAGTTGTTCAGTGACCTCGAGCTTGCTAAAAGCAAAGACCCAAGTAAGCCCCAGTTTGTCAATATCTATCGTTGCTCATATGGGTCCAGCTCCTGGTTCCCTTGATATGAACCTCCATCCTGGTTGTCTAATTTCTGCAAAGGGGGGCCTGCACAGCCAATCCTAGAAGGATCACTTCGCAGCACCTAAGATGGACGAAGGCCTACAAACACGGGATAAACCATCGCGGTATGTGTCGAAATAGGGAGACCCCTAAAACTGTGATTTCCCTTTTCCTTTCCCTTTACAACAACTTTCAAAGGGCACCCTCAAAAACACACAAACACCTATCAACTGGTGCCTGGCTCTGATTCGGTCAATCCGTACCGGCTGCAACTTGGGTTTCGCCTGTGTCTCGATGTAGGGCGAGATGTCCACCTGCCAACTGCACGTGAGGGACCCAACACCCGAGACATGTGGCTCTGACGAGGGAAGTTGGCACCCGAGAAGTTTGTCCCTAAAAGAACCCAATCCAGTTTATCCACCACAGGTCATGATCATCTTTTGGGGACGGCTACAATGCCCTTCTAGAACGCCTGGTAGCTGGCTCCCTCTTTGAAGAGACTTTCGATACCTTGAAAATGTTCACTTCGAGGGACCCGGTAGTAAGCCTTAGAAAGGCCAATTGCCGCCAAATAAGGCCTTACCGGTTGGGCCCGGGTCTTTGGCGGTCTGCAGGGTCCGTGAGCAAGTGAACAATGCCTACGCTCAGTAAAAGAAAGGACCTTTCAGTGAATGGCCGAATTGCATCTTCAACTTTACTTCAAGATCCTTCATCTGTAATCGCCGCTTTTGGCCTCACGGGTCTTCCAATTTGAGATTCTGGTTCAAGCTTAGCCAACCTGGAAATAAAAAATATATTGCAAGGAGTCCCCAGTACTTGGCCTTCGCACGGAATTTTGGGACCAGCGCTCAGCGTGGAAGGAAGCAGCGCCTGGAGACCTGTCTGAAACCAGCGGTCGATCACATCCTGCATGTTGTCCTGGGCCGCGCCGGTTCGGTTGCCATGGGCAGATTTTATTTGTTTTGCCGGTGCGTTTGTGTTTTGTTGTCCCCCCCCCCCCAAATTGACTCAAGAAACTCAAAAATGGAGGTGCTCCAAAAGATTGCGACCTGCATAACAAATGAATAGCCAACTCGAGCCTTGCGGAAGACTGAGAAACGCTGTTTGTTTCAGGAAAACTCAGAACAAGACTGGGTGGGCGGACAATAAGTCACCCTTTCTCAGAAAAGAGACTTCGAAATATGGAACCTGAACCATAGGCGAGGTCGCAAACCCCTACTGTTAGGCTGGAGAACATGGGATTCCAAAATCCTCATTTCCCAGACTCATCCCCCTTCTGAGGTTTCCCACCTGATTCCCAAAGCGGCTCCCTCGAGGGTATCGCAGCAACTTCCTTATGATCCCCAGCTACCAGGGAAAATCAAGAGCTTTAGCGAGGTTGCCCGTCCTCCACTCTCATCCGCACTCCGGGGAGATAGTTCCGAGTGCGGATGATGTTGCCGTTGCTCCCGTCTTGCTCGTGGGACTCCACTAAGAGCATGTCGTTGTACTTGATCATCAAATAGACCTGGCGACGGCTTGCCCTTTTCATGGGAATAACATTTGGAAACCCCAGGTGTTTCTCTTTCAACAAGCCCCAAAAAAGGTTCAACTCCGCAAAGAACGCACCCAAAGCTTCGTCAATGGTTCAATGTTTAACCCTAAGCCTGGAAATTATACATGTTCTTCCAGCATTTTAACACTCACCATGCAACTATGAAATGGGGGCTCCGCAGCTGAGTCATAATAATCGAAAACTGGCACTCAAGGGGTCTACTCAAACCAAGTGAAGAATCTAAGGGGCGGCCGCGCCTACGTATGTCAAGGGGACTTCTTACTAACCTGCACGGGTGTTGATTGCGGCTCACCTGAGAACCAACATGTTGGCAACAGCGTGTATTTAACTTTGTGCAGTTTGGTGGGAGAATAATATTTTACCCCCAACAAGCTAACGGTGACCAGATTCAACTCAGTCTGGGCCACTTTCTGGACCCGCCAAAATATGTCGCAGCCTTCTACAATACCCTTCCAAGAAGGTTCTACAAACCCTCCTAGGTTGTAGGGGCCCTGGGTATTCCCCTACCAACCGCATTCAAGGCGAGTTCTCGGGGACTTCGGCTGCTTCAGACTGCCAAATGCTGGCGAGTTGCCATGTCCAGGACCCGGACAATACGCCCATGGTCATTGTCCTCAGGCCGAAAAGATGGGCCTTGGGGGTGTCCCTTGAGTTCCCTGTTAAACCACCCAGAAATGGTACCAGCTCAAAATAGAAAACCAACCCAGTTGATTTATACACCGCTGGAAGTAGATGGTGCCATTCCCTTTATTTGGGGGAAGCAAACGGGATGCTCAAACCAACATGACCAACATGCGAGAAATGTGCAATCTAGCATCACCCAGCTGCAAATAATAGATGGTTTTGGGGTGTCCCCTCATCTTTGGCACACCATCCGCTTTGAAAGAAGGATCGTCGCGCTGAGAATCCACCACAATCAATCCAATTAACCTGGTCTACCGCAACTTTTGGAACATGTTTGATGAACCTGAGCATGTACAACCACCCAAAAGGGGGGTCAGTCCCCTGGCTTCTGCGGCTGTTTGTCTTAGCGGCACGTATCTGCTACGTGCCGAGCCCCCAAATAAGTCACAATCAAAACTTGGAATTCATGCGGCCCGCGCAGGACTGGCGGCTGCTCTACTTTTAGCGGCAGTCTCCTACTACCCTTCACACAAAACAGCCTCAAATGCCTGAGTGCGAGACCCGCTTACTCCGCAAGGGTCTCCGCGCCTTTCACGGGATTCCAACCTCAAGCATATACAGTACTAACCTGAAAGAATCACCGACCCGCTGGCAATCCCCACAATCCAAGACTACATGCTTAAAGCAGGGTTTTAGGGCTAGTATAACAAGCAAAATCAGTCAGAATCACAGAGTGATTAGTACTAATTTAGACCCTTCTGGAACCATGGCTCTTGTTCCTTCAAGGCACTTGGAGCCAGCTCGCTCCCTGGTCGATCTCCGTCTGCAGGTTCCGGAGACTCTTGAAGTTGCCTCACGGGCGAAAGCGGGGGTACAACCCAACTGATCCATGGCCGCCAACCTCCGCTTTCAGGCGCTTTGTTAAGGTTTGATGGTTTTGGAGAAGGATCAACAGTTCAAACCTCTCAGCCCTTCCACCAGAATCCCCACCCCGCCCTTCGCTTTAACATCCCAGCTCCCCGCCAAAACAAGTGGACTGAAAGGTGTCGACTGAGGGAAAACGCCGCTGATTGAAGGTCTTCAAATCTCTCACCCGCGCCTGTGCCAAACTTGTTGGTATCGATCCCATCTTTGTGCAATATCCGTTTCAGCTCGTTCTCGTCGCGCACCGGGATGCGCCGCTGCTGCTTCATCCTGCCGGCTTCCCGAAAGGTGATGTTTAACACCACCGGGGGGATATTATGTTGTAAGACAATCATTATGGAAACGGAAGGGGTTGGAAGGCTACTTTCACTTTGGGGTAGGCATCGGCCTGTAGACGTCGTCTGGGTTCAAAATGCGGAGGTTCCCAATCTCAATTCGTATTCATTCCGTAGCGGGACACCCCTACAACAAGGGACCCAGTCTGGCATAAGAATTGAGGATTGTCTCTGCGCAAAGGCTTATGGGCAAGCCGGAGCTGAGCATTCTGCAGAATTGCTCATAGGACCTGAAAGAAGGAATCCCCAGGTACAGCACCCTTCATACTTAGCTCGCTCTTTCCTCACTCAGTAGCCCAAAGGTGCCCAGCCAAGGCATGGTTGGTCAAGAACCGCAGCATGACCCGAAACGGCAGCTGGGGGAAATTGACCGCGAGATCCCTTTCTCGAAGGGATCTGACCGCTTCCTGGGCTTCCAGGCTCGCTTCAGGCGGGCTGGATCCCTCCAACTTCTTATTTGAGAGCCAAGGGTTTGGCTGCTGGGCAACGGGATCCTCTGAAAAACACTGCAACGGCTTCCCTCAAGAACCTCTCAAACTTGGGAACATCGCAACGGTCCCGCGCTCCCCTCCGAAGGCCAACCAAGAAAAGAACGTTGATCATGCTTTCCGAAGCCTACCACGTTTTCCCCTTTGGAACATACTCACTTTTTTCCCATCCCCCTTAAAACCGCTCTAGAGAGTGAAAACCGCTCTAGAGATCTAGAGAGTGAGGAAGCCGGTCAAGAAACCCATCAAATCACCCCTAGCAACCGGCCAACTTCCCATCTAGACCAATCAAATCCCCCCAATGACCGGTCCAAACTTCGGCCAAATCCCGAACCGGCCAAGTTCCCCCGCTCAAAGCCTGCCCAAAACTCCCTCTAGAAACCTGTCACATCCCCTTTAAAAACAGGTCCAACTCCAGTCAGATCCCCAGAAACCAGTGTGCGGCTCTCGTTCTGGCCCTTGAAGCCATGTGGGGTCCCATGTGGAAAAACGCACCAGCACGCATTTCGGCGCCGACTCACTCACTCTAATAAACACAAGACTTCAAGGCAAAGTAAAGCACTGTTATACCTCGAAGCCAGCCAAAGCGGACTGGCCGAGGCGGGCAACACGAAGCGTTTACAATAATCCCGGACTCGAAGAGATCAAACGCTTCTCCTCCGGTTCTCTTCCATCAGCTGCTTCAAATGCTGACCTCGGAAGCGAGAGACATGTGCAAATGCAAGTGAACACTAACCACAGGTGTCTTGCTTGAAAGGACCTGGACATTCAAGGCGAACCCTTTGGAACTTTGAACAGCATGGAACCCACAACCTGGAAAAGGCAAACGTTACAAAAGCTTGACAAACAGCGCTCTGAGAGGCACTTGGAAAGCATAATGAATCAAAATGAGTAGCCCAAGTGGCAAAAGTAGCACTAGATTGCTCGAACCCATCTTATCGAATGCGTGATAGCACGTCGTGCAAATGTCGCCCATATTCGAACTGCCACTCATCTAGAAAGCAATTCTTATGAATATTCTGTGTCGATACTGGTCGCTAAACAAACAAATTGAAAGCCGCGATCGATTTGACATGTCCAGCAATGACATTCCAGAACAACCTGCAAACATCTCTACAGGTCAGCTCAGCATCTGCCGACTGCTGCCAAGGCATCACCATTGAATGCGCCGATGTGTGGCCGTGTTCCGTGCGAGGGTAGCAAACATCAAGATCCATTCAACTGGATCCAACATGACACCCTCAAAATTACCCTCTAAATGCCGGGTTAAAGGGATTCTGCCTCCCAAAAAGTAATGTTGAGAAGCCCTCATATTCACCTTCAGGGACCTGGCAGGACAGAAAGCAACCGGCTGCGAGGTTTCCACAACATCCTGCTCCACCCAGGAGAGAGACATGAGCCCCACCTGCCCCGCCAAAAAACAAAGGTGTGGGCAGCTTTCTAGCTGTGAGAGCCATGGTTTGAATGGGTAGCTTGCTAGCGTAGGCCTGCCGCCGAACAGACTGAGAGAAAAGAAGCGAAGATTTGGGATTCTTAGGGTACCTGTTTGGGGGTTGAAGGAACATCGAAAGGAACACCATTTGGAGGGTCCCTATTTCGACACATACACAAAAAAAGAGATAAAGTCAAATAGGTGACTTTGGACAGTGTGTGCCAGGTTCATTTATTTACATGTGTATAGAACTTGTAACTTTGCGTTGTACAAACCTGTCTATGACGCAAATGAATGTCATTGTGTAACAATTTGAGCCCTAGCTTGAAGTTCCGTAATGGATCAAACTGAAAAAATACCCCTGTGCATTGTTTCAGCGATGAAACTGAGCTCAAGATGTATGCTAGAGACCTTGTCGACTTAGACAAAGGCTCTTTTGAGAAATTCTTCCAATGGTGGACCCACTTTGGGTTGGTATTTAAAGGCAAACCAAAGGGCTTGGTCGGGATCCCAGTTTCAGCTGTTGACCCTGACCTCGTCCACATGAAGGTTATACTTGGCACCTGTCTTGGGTTTCTAGGGTTCTGCTGACACCCTGGGACGTGTCCCTTTTGGGCTGTTCTTCGTTTTTTGGGGGTGCTCTTGAAAGGAAATCCAAGGGACATCGACAACCTTCCTTTTCGGGAGACGCCCACGCTTGAAAGGCCGAAAGGCCCAAGTTCTGCAGTTGCTTCACCAGAGTGCCGTTCTCCTGCGCAGGACTGGACTGCAGCCCAACAAAAAGCTCTGGAGAGGTTGGTCTCCCTAAAATCCCAACCTTCCGCAACCTGAGTGAAGGTAACAGTGGAACGGTCAAAAAAGTGGGGCTCCCCAACCCGGCCCAGTCTTTTCTGCAAACACAAGGGTTCCAGATTTGCACCCTTCTGATCATACCCCTCCGACAATGATGTTCGTTTGCAGGAGTTGGTCTTGCCTGTACCAAGAAACCTAGCAGAAGGACGTGCCGGGTAAAAACACATGGAACCATGTCCTTTTTAAGTTGACCAACACGTTTTGTGATTCCTTTCAGACCTGCCTTCCTAAGAGAAACACCGCGATATGGTCACCTCTTGGGAAAAACTGGCATACCTGCAGTGTATCTCAAAGACTTGCCTCAGGAGTCTGGTGGTGCAACCTGTGACAACAAAATATGAAGGGTCTAGAATGTCCTCCAAAACTTGATACTTTCATATTTGTCATCCAGAGAGTTATTCATGCAGGGCTTCTATTAACTCGCAAACTTGGGGGAAAAGAGATAGCCCCACACAAGGAAAGCTGTCCAGTAGCGACCGTGCAGTTGGAAATGGCCTACTATCCGACCACTTGCAAAGCAGGGCCTGCCTTGTGTATACCTGAAACTACCTCTGACTCTGACGAAAGTTCGAAGGGCCCGCCTCTTCTTTGTCTGCCAGCTGCTTCTGCACACCGATCAGGGATGATCCCACGTCGATGTGGTCCCCCTGGCCGCGCGGTCGATTTGCTCAAGGCGACGCACAGAATGAGCTCCAGCATCCTTAGGGTGGGTTTTAGGGGTGGGTTAGCCTTGGCTTAAGGCGTCGTGTTCAGGGGCGGGTTTAGGCTTGGTTTAGGGTTAGATAGCTTTCCGGGGTCACCATAGTTCTCTGGTCACCAGATTTCCCTCTGTCAGCTTCTGCTTAGCGAGCTTCTCTCGGTTTCCGCTCAAAGGTAAAGAATCTGTTGCGGTGGTGGCTGAGCCTTCCAACCCCTATGTTGGCACAGACGGAATGATCTACAAATGCCACAATCATTCCAGAACCTTTCAAGCCAAAGCAAGGAACAAAAGGTGCGCAACGCGAGCTTCGCATGGCAACTTTAAGAGGGCTTATTGGGGTCCAAACATGTCTGGCTTTGGCACAACAAACCGGATCAACCGCTCGCCGTGCAACCAGCAGAGTCGGACCCGTGCACGAACCTCTGGTATGAATCACAAGGTTCTGCTCAAATTGACCGCACTGGAAAACTGAGCACATTGATGTTAACCCCTGTTTGCAAAGCCCTCAAACAGGTGTGTGTGTTGGAAGCAGTGGCTGAAATGATCAAGCAGGGCTCCTCCAAACTCAAGCCTTTCGCCGTCCCATGCGAGGGCTCAGCCCAAGATCCGCACCCGTCAGCCCAGCGCCTGCGTCGCCAGCAACTTCCGCAGAAAGTAATTGTCGTCCAGCATGGCCTGCCAGCAGGGTGCGGCTTGTGGGGACCCTTTGTGGGTTGGCTCAAAGGACACTAAAGTGGGAAGAGTGGAGCCCCGAATTTTGGAGAATATTTCCCCCTTAATAAGGCGTCTGAGTTCGCGAACCCTGGTGGCGTGGTAACAAAATGTGTGTCTGTGGATAATTTGGAAGGGACGTGAGGGGACTCACTAAATTTCCCACAACCAGGGACGCACTGACTCAATCCTTTCCCATGTCCTTTAGGATCACCGCATATTGTGCCCGTTGCTGAAATGGGCATACTCCGTAGGGGTAAGCCCGTGGTCCTGCAAGAGCCTGAAGCACTTGTGACGAGGCTGAGTACATTGGCGGCGTTCAAGCGGCCACAAATTGAATGCAAACTCGTGCAGTGGGTCAGCTAAGTATGAAGCACAAAAACCAGGTACAAGTTGCTTCCTGCACTAAAGGAAACCGAGTTCCAATTCTCTGCCGCTCTACCTGTGTCAACAAAAAGGACTTGGACCCCCAAAATGATAGGTCAAGGTGCCCTTTTGCTTTCCTCGTTCATCCTTCCCAACTGGTGCAGGAGTCCGACCGTCTACAGTATGGCTTGAATATCCTTTCTCTTCAAAGGAAACCAGGGTCTGGTTGTTTAAACAAATTGCCCAAGCTTGTAAACCAGGCCTCCACCGGATTGACCTTTACTAGGTACTTGTCCAGTGCGACACTGTCGGGCACCGTGTTGCCGTAGTCGTCCCGGCAGTCCACAATCCTGCCGCCACGGTCACGACTTGCGCGAACTATACGGCTACACCATGAGACTGGAGTCGTAACTAGTCATAGCCATAGCAATGGCAGCAAGAGACCAATGCACATATTTGGTTTGCCCCCTTGCGTTAACCTACTGGACATGGAAGCACGCTGAATCAGCCAGTAAAAGCAGCATCGGGAGGGATGCAACGGACTGGCAAAGACCCAGCTGTCGGGAATCAACATATCGCCTCCACGGCCCATGAACTACCAAAGCCGCGGAAAGGTCTGCCACGGTCTCCTCGCATCGAAGGGCTCGATGTTGTCATCAAAGAAGACTTGCGCGTTGTCCTGCGGGCCAAAGGCGGCTGTTGTCAACTTCATGCGTGAAAGACGGCACAAGACACCACTCAACGATAAGCGGACATGTTCCAAATTGGTTCAAAAGGCGGCGCGTGGCTCACGTTTGGCAAACTGAGGTCTGTGAAGCCACCCCCAACTGACTCTAAAACCCAAAGAGGGTGGCAGCGTCAACAAAGAAACTGCCTTATGCACATATTGTGCTCCCTGGCTCATCAGGGCAAAGGTTGAGAAGCTTTATCAAAACCAAATAAGGCGTTCCTGATTGCGTCCCTGATTGGACAGCATCGCCGCTCGAAATCGAGAACTCCGTGCCTTTCTCCTCAAGAGAGTCATGAGCTTGCCACCATGAGCCTGACAGGAAGCACGGCCTGCCGATGTTCAAGCACTTGAAGCGTTTGTTGGTGTAAATATGGGCAATCCTTGCAAAAGTGCCATGCTTTTGTGTGTTGCATGGAAGGCACAACAACCGGAAGAACAAGCAGCTCCCCTCGCACCAGGGAACTATGAATGTATCAGAGGCCCTAATAACCCTCATCGCCAAAAAACAAGCCAGGCCAGGGGTCCACAGGCCACTGAACATGGGAGGGGTCTTGGGTTGATGTTCTCCGAATATGGCTGACTCTGACGCGGGTTGAACATCTAAGCATCCAAGTATTGCAGTTCAAGTTGGAAGCCCTTCCAGATCCACTCTGTGATCCTTCAATTCGCTAAGTTTACGAACACTAGTCCAAGAGGGCTGACAGGCTAAGACACCCTTCTTCGGAAATGAGTCGTGATAAAACCTGCTAGTGGGGGAGTCTAACTCAAACCAATGTTTAACTTAGTGGCTTCTTGATCCTTTGCTCAAAGTTAGACCTGTCTGGCTTGGTATGGCATCGCTTGGTACTGTATGGCCCAAGGTTGGAATTCGAAGAGCTTCTTGCCACCAATTGCCCAAGTTTCAAACGAGGGCGCCGTGTATCTCTCTCCCTCGCGGCATCTTATCAGCCGCCTTTTCAACATATTCTAGTGGAGTTCTACTCCGGGGACCTGGTGACAACTTTGGATGTTTCTGCGATGTCTAAGCCTCAACCAAGGGATCCGATGCCAATCTCAAAGGTAAACCCAGACAAGTGGCACTGAACACCAAGCACATACGCACTCTTTGTAACTTATTTGGAAGGAAAACCCTCTTCAAGCCTTCAAGACAAGTTAGAACAAGGGCACCACTGGAGGTCCTGTAAGAAGCGCAGTCCAAAAAGAGATTGGGGGTTGAAGAAAAAACAAGTTGGGCCAAGCTTAGCCTCTTTTTGAAGGGAAACGGTTGTCAACCATTGTTTGTTGCAAATGCCCCCACAACATAAACCATTCGGCCTGCTCATTGTGAAACTGCCACCAAGCCCAGTCATCTTTGATGGCGGCGGTGGCCTGTCACGAAGCGCGGTGGAATCAATCGTTTTGGCGAACTGTGTTTCTTTGAGGCTCAGTACCCCGCTTGGGGTTCTGCAAAAACAAAAGAGACACCACCCATTTTGGGGAGTGCCCTAATTTGACGTAGACCCGAATATCTTCCGTTTAAGTGCAGGGTCGACATCATAACCGAAAAATTGATATTTGGAGCGGGGGGAGCAGTTTGGAAAGCCTAGTTGGGTTTGTCTCCAAGTCGCGGGGGCTCTCAAACAAGCTGTCGATTTATGCGGGCATGTGTAGGTGTTGCGTGGTAAGAAAGGCCGCCCACGGTTGAGACCGTTTTACGCAAAGCTTCACATGCCGAAACACGAGCCAACAGAGACGATGTCCGGCCAGGGGTCCAAGTCAACCAAGAGTTTTCTCATGGGTCCAGTACAGGAACAGCCTCAAAACCCTGCTCGTTTCAAGAAAACCGAAAAGTCATTTTGAGATCCCTCGAAATCTTCACATACAACTCGGTAACATCAGATCTAAATGGAGCACTGCTTCCCAGCTCTTGGTAAATCAGAAACTGTGATGATTGAAATCGACCACCAGTCGTCGTGGGAAAGAAGGATACCCGTTTGTTTTGTATACATGTTAAAAGGGAATTCCCTCCAACAGGGAATCGCCTCCAAAAGGAACCCCCCTTTGAAGGGCACCACTGGAGGTCTAGGGACATGTGCATTGCTAAGTGGACAGAACCCCAAAACCCAAAAATAACATGCTGGATTAGCAAAACTGACCCTGCAAAATGTGTAACCATTTGCATGTGAGTAGGTGGATCTTCGGCATTGTGTCAGAGGTGCTTGATGCATAGCCTCTGAACCATCAAGCCCTTTGGTGCACCTCGTCCAAACCACTAATCCAGATAATCCAATCAATCATCATTGTACAAACATGGCAAACATTTGGACCAGGAGCCAAACACAGTGCCACTTGGACAAAACCACTTACACCACCAACCCAAACCAACTGAGGGTTACCTGAGAACCAGCAAACCAAACACGTCGAGGCCATGGTGGTTTCCCGCCTGCTTGGCTAAATGATCTGCGCAGAACTTCCGGAAAGCGGTGAAGCCTTCGACCACCTCAGGCGCGAGGCGAGAGGCGCAAGGCTGAGGTCGAGCACCCGGAGGCACTCAATTCGATGCCCCGAGTTCTGATCAACGGGTTACGGGTTGCCCTTAGGGACAATCAATCCTGTGAAGTATGGGAAAATGTAATTGGCCTTGTTTTGTTGGTTGATTTGAAAGGACTTTGAAACAAAGGAACAAAAGGGCGGAACTGGTCAACAGGGGTTGAAAGGATAAGAAGGCAGCAGGGAAGAGCGAGGATTCCAGCCTCTCAGCTATCCAGGACCTTTTGGGCCGTGACAATGGATCAAAATTGCAAAACTAACTGAAAGGTCAAAAAGGTCGGTTCGCTTTGGGCAAGTGAGCGTGCACTGGTGAGGAGGTCGGATGCTCTTTCTGTCAGGACGAGCGGCTTTCGACTTCAGCACCTGCTTCGTCCAGCTTTTGCCTCGAGAGGAATGCCAAAATGAGCCTGTCACTTTCGGTCGAACTAACCTATGTTAAAGAACAGTACGGCTGTGGGTCAAAACCAATGGTGCCCTTTTGGGGTCGGTGCACCACCCATGTTAGTCTATCTCAGTGGGGATTGGGATGTTCACTGGGAGTACGGGATTTTGACCCATGGCCATATCACCATCATACACCACCATTATATCCGCCGACATTGCTCGGCGTGTCGGATACTTACTAGAGGATAGAGAATAACCCCCCCCCTAACCCCCCCCCGCCCGACGTCTATTACGTAGGTTTTTGGGGGGGGGGGGGGGGTCCCCCACGTACCGCGCGGCAATTTGATGACGTTCCACTAAACGTAGTCTTCGGGGAGCCGGTGTCGCAAAACAGGGGTCCCAGGCTCGATTCCCCCTGCCGGCTTTTTTGCTGGCTTGGGCTTCCTGCATCCTTTTGCCGAAAATCTGGAAAAACTCAATGTTTTTGGACGTCCTCTTTGCGAAAACGCTGGAAAAACCGTGTTTTTTTGCGGGAAATACTGGGGAGCAAAGGGGAAGTGCAAGGATACATACATACATACATACATACATTACAGTACATTACATTACATTACATTACATGACATTACATGACATTACATACATACATACATTACATACATACATACATGCATACATGTATGTATGTATGCATGCATGCATGCATGCATGCACACATACATACATACGTACATACATTACATGCATTACATTACATTACATTACATTACATTACATTACATTACATTACATTACATTACATTACATTACATTACATTACATACATACATACTTACTTACGTACTTACTTACTTACTTGCTTACATTACATACATACATACACATACATACATACATACATACATACATACATACATACATACATACATACATACATACATACATACATTACATACATACATTACATACATACATACATACATACATACATACATACATACATACATACATACATACATACATACATACATACATACATACATACATACATTACATACATTACATACATACATACATACATACATACATACATACATACATACATACATACATACATACATACATACATACATACATACATACATACATACATACATACATTACATACATACATACACACATGCATTACATACATGCATACATACATACATACATACATTACATACATGCATAACATACATACATACATACATACATACATACATACATACATACATACACATGCATGCATGCATGCATACATACACATACATACATTACATACATACATACATACATACATACATACATACATACATACATACATACATACATACATACATACATACATACATACATACATTACATACATTACATACACATACATACATACATCATACATACATACATTACATACATACATACATACATACATACATACATACATTACATTACATTACATTACATTACATTACATTACATTACATACATACATACATACATACATACATACATACATACATACATACATACATACATACATACATTACATACATTACATTTACATTACATTTACATTACATTACATTACATTACATTACATTACATTACATTACATTACATTACATTACATTACATTACATTACATTACATTACATACATACATACATACATACATACATCACATACATTACATACATACATACATACATACATACATACATACATACATACATACATACATACATACATACATACATACATTACATACATACATACATACATACATACATACATACATACATACATACATACATACATACATACATATCATACATACATACATACATACATACATACATACATACATACATACATACATACATACATACATACATACATACATACATACATACATACATACATACAAACATACACACATACATACATACATACATACATACATACATACATACATACATACATACATACAATACAAACATAAATTACATAAATACATACATACATACAGACATACATACATACATAGATACATACATACATACATACATACTTACATACATTACATACATACATACATACATACATACATACATACATACATACATACATACATACATTACATACATACATACATACATACATACATACATACATACATACATACATACATACATACATACATACATACATACATACATACATACATTACATACTTACATACATACATACATTACATACATACATACATACATACATACATACATACGTACATACATACATGCATACATACATACATACATACTGACTTACTTACTTGCTTAAATTACATACATACATACATACATACATACATACATACATACATACATACATACATACATACATACATACATACATACATACATACATACATACATACATACATACATACATACATACATTACATACATACATACATACATACATACATACATACATTACATACAACATACATACATTACATACATACATACATACATACATACATACATACATACATACATACATACATACATACATACATACATACATACATACATACATACATACATACATACATACATACATACATACATACATACATACATACATACATACATACATACAAAACATACATACATACATACATACATACATACATACATACATACATACATACATACATACATACATACATACATACATACATACATACATAACAAACATACATACATACATACATACATACATACATACATACATACATACATACATACATACATACAATACATTACATACATACATACATACATACATACATACATACATACATACATACATACATACATACATACATACATACATACATACATACATACATACCTACAAACATTACATACATACATACATACATACATACATACATACATACATACATACATACATACATACATACATACATACATACATACATACATACATTACATACATACAAACAAACATACATACATACATACATACATACATACATACATACATACATACATACATACATTACATACATTACATACATTACAATACATACATACATACATACATACATACATACATACATACATACATACATACATACATACATACATACATACATACATACATACATACATACATACATACATACATACATTACATTACATTACATTACATTACATTACATTACAGTACATACAAACATACATACATTACATACATTACATACATACATACATACATACATACATACATACATACATACATACATACATACATTACATACATACATACATACATTACATTACATTACATTACATTACATTACATTACATTGCATTACATTACATACATACATTACATACATACATGCATACATACATACATACATACCTACCTACATACATACATACATACATACATACATACATACATATGTACATGCATGCATACATACGAGAGAGGGAGAGTGGGGAGAGAGAGGCTTGGGGGGATGGGGAGGATGGGAGCAGAGGGAGGGAGAGAGGACGACAGAACACACAAGGGAGACAAGGAAGAGAGGAAGAAGGAGAAAAGGGAGAGGACAATGTCGGCGGACTGAGCCGGAGGCTCTAAAGTTATTACCATAAACCATTACCACCATTGACCAAAGTGAGTAACCAACAATATAACCACCCTTAACCTGCACGCGACCAACAAAAAATCAACACCCAGGGGCCAAGCATGATTTTCCAAAGGACAGCCTGTTTTGGGACACCCTCATATCGCCCTCGTAACTTGAATCCAAAAAGGAGGACCGGCACACATGTTCTAAACCGCGCTTGTGGAAACACAGGGTGTGTGTCCCACTTCGGTGATTCCTGGTGGCTTCCCCTTTAAATGGCATGTCCCACAAGCCTGCGCTCACCTGGCTGGTCAAACTGACCACTGCAACAAAGTGGACGTTTGTTTGCTGCTTGGTGAAGCATTTAAACATGAAGATTGAATGAGGAAGTTCTCAAGAGACCGGCGCAAGAGTCGAGGTCTGGGTGGAAACAGAAACGAAGCCAATCCAACTTTGTACCCAAGGTGCTGGCATCTGTTGAACGTTCAGAGCAAGCTGGCAAAGGAAAGCTTCCTTTTTGGGACAGTGGCCACAAATTGGCTATGGACAGATTCCCTTTTAATTCCTCCCTCTATTTAAGGAGGTCGGGAAAGTCCATTTTTCCGGAACGACTCTCGGCAAGCCCGTAGGGTCTGCGAGCAACCTAACTGAAACCTCGAGGCGAAGCGGCGGGTGTCCGTTTCAAACCCGAAAAAGAGTACCAAGTTTTGGGTTGCCCGGATCTTGATCAGCTGGTTCAGTTGACAGGCTGGAACAGACAAGCTTACACTTTTTGGGCCTTGACCACAATGATGAAGACGCCTACCAACAGAAAGCCAAACAATGATAAAGACATCGGCCGAAAATCGAGAACAGTGCAGACAATGCCCACCGAACACAGTCTATCCATTTTGTACGTAGAGGACTTTTACCGGGGGGAGGCTGTTTGTTTTGAGCTGGTTTCTTCTTAAGTGTTTTTTTTGGTTTGAGGGAGCCTCTGTTGATCAATACATCCCTGCATGGGTCCCTGGTCGAATTAGCGCAGCTCCGTTGAAAGATACACCCAAGGAGCAGCTCTGGCCCTGGCTCCCATTCAAAAACCACCCTGAAGAAGGGAACACCAACCCGCCACACCCGCCCCCCCACCCCAAACAAACAACACAGAAACACCAAATTCCGCCCCCCCCCCCCCCCACCCCAAACAAAAAGACCCGGCCCGAAAACACCCAGCCAACGAGCGCCCTCGCCACTCCGATCCCACTCGGCCCGGGCGCCGTTCCGTGTGTCCGCGGTGGGCTTGGGCTTGGTGCGGACCCAGCTGTCCCAGGGGCTGTCCTCCGGGCCGTTGGTGAAGGTGTCCAGCAGGACCATGGGACCCGAGGCGTCGCCTCAAGGACGAAACAATCCGTCTGAGCTTCCGGCTGGATGTGTGTCTTGTCTCAAATGGGAACCGGTAGAAAAGAAGTGGCCAAGATTCCGAAATAGTGAGGGAACGAGAGAAAGATGCGAACCCCGAGTCGGACCCAGCTAATATGGACCACATATGAGCTGAACATATGGATTCCCCATATTGGGGACGATATCCGGTGGGTCCAACTTTCTGGGTCCGAGTTTGGTCCCATTGAGTGTCTGTTGTCTTGCGATATGTGTTGTTTTGTTTGGTGTTGTATTCTTTGGCGTCGCACATCTCTGTTTTTGGGGATTCGATGCCGTTGTTGCTTGTGTTCTGTGTTTTAGGTTTGTTGTTTGTTTGGTGTTTCTTCTGATGGTGCTTAGATGAGTCTCCTTGTGGTGTTCGTGTTGATCTTCCCAGATTGACATACCAATATCAGTATCAGTGGCGATAAATGTCTTGATAGGGGCCATCCAGGGAAATTAAATACACCAAAAGCAAGCCTTATACGGCTTGCAGGCGGGGTAAGATATTTCTGGGCAGGTAAGTGGGGCCTTAGAGGGAAACTTCGGATGGTTTTGAGGGAAAGCATTGCAAGTTGCCCTGGCTCTAACTGAAGCAACACAATGACACAAACACGCCAGCAGGATCTATCCGGGCTCTGACTATGCAAGAAGGACCTCAGAGTCTGTATTTACGAATCCCGCCTTCAGCCTGAGGAGCGGTGCTGCCTATAGAAACATGTGTCGACATTCCCCACATGTGTCCTAAAGGGGCCCGGGTTGGACTGTCTTCCCTCAAAACCAGCCGAGGTTTCCCAGGGTTGCTCCACCCTTGTGGCTTGGTCATTGTTTTGAGGCTAAAGCAAGGCTTTGTGTTTTGCTCGAACACACCGTGTGTTAGGCCCCCTTCCGACTTCCCTTTCCTTGTTCATGCCGTGAAAAACAACTCGGCGGCCAAGGGCACGGTACAGCGTGTGGATGGAGTGGATGCGGCGATCCGGGACCCCAGGGGTGGAGCCGTCCATCGGCCCGATGTCTTCGATGAGCCGGCTGAAGATGGGGTGGCGCATCTCGCAGAAGGCGTTCCTAGCGCCCGCAAAGCGCACGTGGAAGCCCAGTGGCTGGGTCCAAAGTGCCGGAAAACCCTCTCATCTGTGATTTGGATCGATAGTTTGGAGGCTTCCGATTTACCCTCTACGGGACAGCAACCAGGATTCAAATGCCCAAACCACCAATCCCAGGCACCAACTACGGGTTACCTAATGCTGGATCCATTGAACTGACATCCTGGGGCCGAACAGGGGCGTTGCGGTTTTGTTTTCCCAACTTTCCTTGAGATTCTGCCAAATTCCAAGCATGGGGCTGGCTTGTTCCCACTTAAGGGACATTGTCAAAATTACGCCTTTAATGGTGGTAAAAAGGGGTTTCCAACTCCTAAAAATGCTCACGTTCAGGAACCCATCAGTGTTCACTCCCAAACCTAGCTGCATGGTTCTACCATTCTGTTCAACCGTCGATCTCTTCGGCAATCATGTGTTTTCCCCTGAAAACTTGTGGTTTTCCGGAGAGGGTTGGGCCAACCCGCTGTTCCTGTTTAGATATATTAGAACACTTCTTGTTTAGACAAATTTGTGGTTCCTTTCAAAGGGACAAGTGATTAAACCAAATTTGTCCAACCCTGGTGGCCAGTGTTCAATCCTAAACCTAGCTTAGTGGTACAGTGACCCTTATTTGTTTCACATAACCCTTTCTGTGATACCAAAGTGGGATTCTCATCCCCAGGACTACTTTGCCACTCTAAAGGAGATTTGCAACGTATCCAAGAAAGTTGTCCTAAAGCCCAGGTGTCCATGTAGCATTGATCCCTTGCTAAAAGTTAAATAAACTTAGATGGATATGTAGTTAAAGGTGTCCAAGTCTGTAAAAGTTATATGGCTGGGAACCGCCAAGCAAAGATAGTAATGTGCAACAAAAAACACAAGTAAGTGTCCTCGAACATATTGGAATTCACATGTTGGGCTTCTTGGGTGGCTGGACATACACAATGGGTAATCAACTAATCTGGCGAGTCGTAGTAGTTATCCGTACATTCAGCCACCACAGAACAGTCATTACTGCCGGATAGGGTCCCAAACCCATCGAGCGGCCAAGGCCAGAAGCCGGAAATTCAAGGCGGGAGCGGGTCCCTAAACATGTCCCTGAACATAACACATGGCGCGTATTTTGGGGGGGATGGCTCCCTTTTATACAGTACTCCGGCTGGAGACCCGCAAAAGCCCCAGCAAAGTGATTTTCTTTTGTGGCGGGAGAGAGGGTTGGAGAGAAGGCTTCCCACCTGCTCCCCGCCGCTAGGCACGCGGCCACTCGCGCTGGATCTTCTCGTGGTCCGCCCCGAAGGACCGGAACAAGATGGCGAAGGGTCGGCGCTGGCGCTGGAGCTGCACCACCTCAGCGCTCAGCGCTGCCGCCGAAGGCCGATGGGGGCTGTGGGATATGTTTGCTTCAGGAGTCTCGCAACATGACTCGTGACCACCTTGAGGTGAACCCTTGGTTTGTCCTTTTGTGATTTTCCAGCACAGGGAGTCTCGCAAAATGGCTCGTGCCTGTGTGGGGTGGGTAGTTAAAGGTAAAGCAAAAGGAAAGCAACTGCCAGTTTGGGGAACCACTGTTTTACCCGATGGGTTGGTGGGGTCCATGTCAGGGTGAAAGCAAATGGAACAACTTCCTTGTGGGTAACGGGGATAACAAAACCAACATCGGCCTTTCAGCCTCTCCGAACGTTTTGGTGAAAAAACAGAACACAACTGCTTCAATTTGGGCCAGACATCCAAGACCGGCTGAGTCCTGATTGGACATCCTGTTGCCAGCCACCCACATCTTTAAGCAACCGTTGAGAAGGGCATACTCCCGAAACAGGGTATGCCCTCAAAAAAAAGTGCGCTCGAGGGCCCACCAAAACCCGATTGCCTGGTAGTTTGGGTTTGGTCCGTCTCACATGTCTGCCCTACTGTGAAGACTTGCGAAAGCAGCCAACAAATGGAAAATGCCGTATGTTTTTTGTGAGATGTAGAGCAAGGAACAGCAAGAAAGTAGTGATCCCAAGTTTGGGGTGAACAGGCAAGGGGTAAAACAATGCAAGAAAGTTGTGATTTTAGAGCAAACAGTGGGCACTGAAAAAGCAAGAATGAAGCAAACAAGAGACCATAAATAACAAGAAAAATCAATCGAAGCGTGAAACAAAAACAAGAAAATTGTGATCAACATTCCAAAAAGGCAATTGAGTTCCCATTGTGACTTGTAGATTTCTGGATTTTGAGGGTTGTCCCCTGCCAAAAGAAGGCATTTGTCATCTGATCCCTATTTGCACCCATGCCGATAGCTAATATTTTGTTTTTTTCTTGCAATATGATGGACGTGAATCACCTTCTTCTTGCGTTGTTTCTCCCCGCTAGATTTCAGATTGCTTATTTGTTTCTTGTTGCTGCAACCCTCACTCCCAAATCACACAAAGAACAATTACCTCCCTCCACGGTTGGCTGGACGAAAACTCTTAACCCTAGTGAAGGTGTCTCAGTCATTTGCAGTCCCAAAGAAACCTTCATCAGCTCATTTTGCCTTTTGTTGACATCATTTTGGTCGGGTTCATGTCCACCAACCACTTGTAAGGTGGTTCTCTATTAATTGTCATGGCCATAGATACGTTGCATACGACGTGTACCACAAATCCCATACTATTGGCCTTTGCCCTTTGTTACGCAGGGGAACAGGGAAACAAAAAACACGAGACACGAGACCCTCTTTCCATGGGGGCACCTTTGGGTGGACCAAGCGCAAGCCAAGCGGCCATTTGAAATAGTGCCGGAAACCTGCAGCGGCAGTCTCTAGTCAAATTCAAGCGCTGGAACTGAAAACACCGGCAAGAAGCAAAAGAAACGCTGATCCCATACCGGAACTTGCCAAGGGTGTTTCAGCATGCCCAAGTGCCCCTGCCCGTAACTTCTTCCGAATCCCGCAACCTGCCAAGATGAGGCAAAAAGCTGTCGCTGTCGCTGTTGAAATGTTCTTAGATCAAACGTTTATTTGCAAAACCAAATGGGTCTTGTGCTAAGCGCGTGATTCGAAACCCAAACTGGGGAGTCTGCAAAGCCATTTCAAATGAGAAACGGTTCATCTCCAGATACGTTGTTATCCACTGGTCTTCCGTCAAATTGATCCTCGAAATGTCTTCTAGTTATGGCCCTGCTTGTGTTGGTTGGCCGGTCACGCATGAATGCAACTGGAAGCGCTGCCACAGCGATGAAAAATCAAGCCTCGAACCTTGCTAATTTGATACGCAAGCGCCACCCCAATTTGAAGCAATAGACTTCTATCAAAACGTGGTTAGCATCCGCCGAAGATTCAGTTTAAGCTGTGGATCCCAAGCTACACTTGAAGGCGTAAGTGCAAAACAGAAAGCGGCAACCGGCAATCTGATCATCCACCACAGTTTGTGCGACAAAAGTGGGGCACTCAGCAAATAGTGTTTGTCATTTGGATGACCCTGCAAATCTCGCCAGTGAAGGAAAGCATCAAGTTGCTCATTTGTGCGCTGGCGATCGTTAAGCAGCCATCTGTGCATGTGCTCGTCCCAAAAGCCAAGCAGAACCTTCTCCGGGTTTGGGTGACTTGCAAAAGGAATCTCCCCCAATCCTCCTCCCCAGAGTGAGCAAACCTCCACAAGAAAACCCTGATGGACACCTTTCTGTGAAGTATCTGAGAACGCTTTCCAGAACCCGCGTGTCTCCGCCCAACGGCCACGAGCGCCCCAACGACTTGTTCCGACTTTCAAAATCCTATGTGCTGCCCAAGCATCCGACCTCAGGGGTACATGGGCAAAAGTTCTTGCGCCCTGTGCCGGTTGTTGTCCCCACCCCTGAATGTTTCGGGAGAAAGCAGGGTAGGGCTAACCCCTTGATTAAACATGTTCAACATGTTCATTTCAAGAAAGATTGTTCAAACGAACTCGCCCAATCCTGGGGCGGCTGAGCCCCGCCCCCCCCCCCCCAAAAAAAAAAAAGAGGAAGAGAAAAACAAAAAGCCCAGCGCCCTAAGTTTCAGATGAGCCGCATGTTGAAGGTCGGGCCCAACAGCCCCGCTGCTTCGGCCTCCTTGGATTTCCGCACCTGCCAACCGAGCGGAAGCTGCCCCAAAGGGGCCAACCGACTCCAACAACAAGTGCTGCTTTGCTGGTTGACATGCGTCTGGCTCAAAGGGAAGTCCTTTCGGGACGACTTCAGGCAAATTGGGATTGGTTGCAAGCCTCACAAAAAAACATGGAAAGAGAAAATGATGGAAAACCAAACAGACAGAGCGTGAAGAAGGCGCGCTTTTGGTCTGGTCATGCGTTTTCAATGAAGCCGGGCAGCGTGGATACTGTTCATGCGCTTAACACCTGATCGTCACAAGGGAAAGACAGGTTCCTAGAAAAGGAAACCGGGAAGAGAACCAAAACCATCGTTCCTTGGTGGTTTGTCATTGAGGTTCGGTGCAGCCCTTCATCTTGTGGCATCCAACAGTCTCCAGCCTCCGGTCTCAACTGCATCTTCTTCATCGTTAGCTGCAGCAACTTCTTCATCTCCTCCAAGATCAAACTGTAAACGAGCAACCAGCAATTGTTGCAAGCACTGGCTCTCCATTTGCTCTATTCAAACAAATATTAAAAACTCCTCCAAGAGCGGCATTTCTGTTGGAGCACCTTTTTGAAAGGACCTGCCTGAACATCATTTATTTACCTCAAGAGAGATGCTTGTTGGGTGCCATGCTCATCTGCTCTTGAGTTTCCTTCACTTCACCGGTCAAGACGACTTTCTCTCTCTCTCTCTCTCTCTCTCTCCTTCTCCACAGGCTGCCCCTGCACCAATGAGAAGGAGCGTACCTAACGAGGCACACGGATTTTGTTCACCAACCAGGTGGGTCTATCCGGGTATGAGTCAGGTCTTAACAAAAAGGGGTGTGTGTGTGTGTGCAGTTGCTCTATGTTTGGTGTGATCCATATGAGTTGGTCTAGTATTTGGGATGGGTGTTTTCTATAACCGTATAACCCTGCCCGAAAGCTCTGGAAATCAAAAACCTTTTTTGGGTGTGTCCTAGAACTCACAAAAGGAATAAGATCAACCTCCCTTGAAACCAGTTGGTCTCCTTGTGTGTTATAAAACTTCTACCATCCCAAACATGAAACCCTGTTTCGGTCTATTTGGCGATTGAGTATGTTTTAAGTGGCGGGACCCTTTGGTGGACATCATCAACATTACTTATCCCGTGCCGAGCAATCACCGTAAAATAGCAACAACCACACTCCATAAATTCGAGCTTCCTCGGACAACACTCTTTTGCTCCGCGACTTTCCAAAGAATGATGTCCGCACCTTTATATGATTCAGGAGCAAGAAAACAAAGCTCATTTCAGTGGGTTCAATCTAGAAGGAAGGAACCCACCATCCAAAGGTGTTTCTATTGTTTGTCCCAACCGAGTTAGAAGGAATCCCCAAGGGAGCCTCCTAGGGCCAAGCCGGGAACCACTCGTTTTGAGGTGAGATGCACCCCAAAGCCAGGAAGCTCCGAACCCAAGGGATGGTCCGGCCGGGGTCCCCGCAGATTCGGTGCGGGCTGGGGCCATTCCCCCTTAACCCAGTACCTTTACGTACGTGTTGAAATGACTTTGGATCACATCTGGAGACAGAAAACTCTGATTCATAGCTGCTCTACCCTTCTATATGAAGTAGTTTTGGAAGAGACCCCAGTTATAGTGGGGCGGTTCAACCCTTCTTTGCACCATGGTGTAAACCACTATTGGATGCAGGGTTGGGTGATTCAACCCGTCGTGCAAACCATCGTTCAAACAAGCTTTTGCTCAAACACCCTCCTTTCGGGCCTCGTTTCAAAAGGGACCAACATATTTTGTTGCAACCTCCCTTTAGCTTCCTTTGAAAGGAATTGGACCTAGAGGTCGGTTCGTTCGGCAAATTTCGCTTTGGACCTCAGCTCGATCGGAAGGATGCCTTTCATCCAAGGAGCAGCTTCCTTCATCGCTTTCTTGTCCTCAGGGTTGAGATCACCAGCGCTGATTTCACATTGAGAAAGGTCAGGTCGGCAGCTTACACACGGGATCCAGTGCAGCAACTTGAAGATCTTTCTTCAGTATAAGCCAACTGGAGTGAATTCTTCCTGCGCCTATGAGTCACACGTTGCAAGTTGGCAAACCCCAAGTCAAGGGCCTTCGTCATGGGCGAGCTCTTCTTCCCCCAAGGTGAGCTCATTATGATATTCCTAGATTCTTGCAGCGCCTCGGTTGAAGTCCCAACGCCTTGCAATATCCTCAGAGATCTGCAAAAAACTCTTGTACAATGCTCCCAAAGCCTGAAATAAGGGATCCCCCAAGCAGAAGACCTCATCGCTTTTCCTAGTGAGCTCGCCCGAAAGGCAGAGAGATCAGGGTAGCCCTTGAGCCGAATCCAGCATACCTCCAAGAGGAATCCATTCCCGCGTTTGGAAGAAAAATCATACATTTCATTCAACAAGGGGGCCTTGAAAGGACAACCCTGGAAGGCCCCCCTAAGCCCCCAGGAAAGGTTCTGAGAACAGGGGCTCTTGGCTGGGCGGGCTTCCTACGTCTCCCCTTTCACATTTCACCACCCGGAGGGAACTCACCGAAACTTAGCCCTTCCAACGATGCTGGAAAGCACCTTTCGTTGGAAGATGTCTCTGTGCGGTGTTCCAACATTCGCAGGCCGTCTTTCTGGGGTTCTGAAGCCCTTTCTCGTCCAATATATAAGGTGATAAAAACCAGGTTCATCCTCTAAGACATACCGGTCAAATGAGAACTTGAGCCCCGTCCTGGACGAATCGTTTGCACCACTGCGTGTAGTTCAACGGTGTGGTGCCAACTGCCAGGATATCATCCTGCGGAACGAAAGGGCAACAAGGCCGCCCTTTCGGAGGGCTGTGAAAATTGCCTTTCCACTTCTGCGATGCCACTACAAGGATTTCCCAATGGCTAACTACTAACCATGCACTTACAGGATTCCCTGCCTTGCCGCAACCCTGGCAAGGATCGATTTGACCCGGTCTCTGGAAGACAAAGTGGGCCTGCAAAAGGACCTTCTGGTGGCTTCGGAGGGTACTCACCCACATATCTCCTTCAATTGTCTGCCTTTTTTGGGGGCACGATGCCAGGAAAAGCGCGCTATTGCCCTCACAGAAATAGGGGCACGTCTCCGATTGGGATGCGGAACGCTCAACATGCATTTCGCTTTCCCTTTGGCACCTTCAGCCCAAAAGACACCCTCAAACAATTAAAGTCGCCATGCTTGTTCGAAGGACTGGCGAGAAACGCACTCATGACAATCTTAAGCTACTGATGCTGTCATTTCTGCGAATGGCAGCATGCTATCCATCACAAAACTTGGACAATCACCAACAGCAGTTTGACGCTCGTTTGAATTCGTCACACGGTGCAGTGTTCCATGTCGCGTTTGGAGGCGCACCCATGGTGGAACGTCTGTCGAGATTGCCAAGGCTTCCCGAGCCTCATTTTGAGTCGCAGGAACAGGCTTCGGCCCCTTTTCAAGCATGTCATGTTGGGCGTCCAATCCCGACCCCCCCGCCCCTTTCAGACCAGCTCTGACTTAAGAACGGTGACCTATTGGTGGACATGCTTTACAGGGGGATTTGTCCACAAACTACTTTTCGGGTGGCTCCCATATTGCAAGTAGCCGAATCTTGGGAAACAATGTGGCCTCCGCGAGTCACGTTATGCGTGCTATGGTTTCGGTCATGGTCACGTATCCTTGCGTAGGAGCTGTACGTTGCTTGTCTCTATGTGTGACTACCCCTACTAACAAGCCAGTGGCGACATAAAAAAAATGGGCACCATTTGTCTCTCGGTGGTTTAAAGGTGGGTTCCCACCCTAAAAGTAATTTTGAGAACCTCTCGAATCCTTGAAACCCGTGGAACCTCTCAAAGTGGAACCCTCTCAAAGAGGACCACCAATCTTGAGAACCATTTTGGGACGTGAAAGCGATTTCTCTGCGTCCTTGGGCGGCGCGCAGGATGGCTCTGCCTTGATCCATTCCCAGCTCTCGCTGCCTCAGCCAAGCTCGGTGGGTGTATTCTTGAGCAGACCCCTTTCACGTTGGTGTGAAGGGCAACAAAAGGAAAAGCTCAGAAAAGCTCCGTCCAAAACAGACATTCATTTCTAGGGGTCCCCATTTGGGAGTTTCTCAAAGTGGCGGACCCTCGTTTGGCTGGAATTTAAGATTGGTATATAGTGGGAAAACAAAAGTAAACCAGCAATCTTAACGAATGAACCCCTATTTTGAGAAACACCCATATTCGGAAATGAAATAACGATCCCCCAGAATGAGACAACGATCCCCCAAACTGAAGCATCCAACTGGTAGGTTCCGTTAAGGGAATCCCAGGTTCATTCCCAAAGCTTGGGTGTAGACTATGATGCGTTGGTATTGAACTAGGCCCAAAATGGGTGGCTCTCGTTGGCGTCCCCTTCAAAGTATCCCGCAAAGGGTACCCTCAAAACAGACATGCCCGTATGGCTGTGTATGTGTGTTTTCGAGGGCACCCTTCTTGAGGTTGGTTGAAAGTCCCTCCTTTTCGAGACATACCGGAGCCCATCGATTCCTAGAGGCGTCTCCTTTTAGGTGCATCTTGTTGATGCTCTCGCCAAACGAGCTCGATTCCCAGCCGGCGAAATCGCCACTTGTCCAAGGCGCCGCCACTCTTCTGCAAGTTGCCCCAGAAAAGATCCGCGATGCCCTCGCGGATTCCTTCCTCGACTCCTGACGGTGATCGGCACAGAGAAGTTTCTGGGGGAAAGCAACAGCACCCCAGATCCTTGGGAAGAAGCGGTCGACTTTAAAGGGAAACCCCTCCAAACGAATGGGCGCCGCTGGACGTCTAAGAGGCCAAAGACGAACTTTGTACCAAGAGTAAAACTCTCCAAAGGCATGGCAGGGCATCCTTCGAATGTGACACAACCCAAGCAGAGAACAATCCGGACCCAACTTTGGCTGGTGCTTCTAAGGAAGCCAAGAAACACCAATCATTGGGAGGGGTCCCCTGCTTTTGCACACATCCATTCGTCAATCCTTCCGTCCGTCCATCTGTCCGTCCGTCCGTCTGTCCATGGGAACGGATGAATTCCACGGGAAAGACGTTGAGCTTGCGATATTCAAGTGAGCTCACTTGGTCGTTCTGAATGAACATGCATGTTTGGTAAAGTCTTGCGACAAGTCCCCTTCCAAGCAGGGATGTTCATAATCCCAATGAGGAAACGATCACAAAGGCGAGGCCAAATCCTTTGATGCTCCAAGAGCTCTTGCGAATCGCCTGCGAACAAAGCATCAGCCCCAAAAAGATCTTAAGGCAACAGAATGAGGCCGCTTGCACCCACAAAGGGCTCCAGCATGAGCCACAAGCACCTCGAACCGCACCCCACATCTGGGACCAACCCTTCCCAACCCTTGGTATCTTCGCTAAAACCTGGATGGCACTTGCAGCTCCCCACTTCAAATGAACAGAAGCAAAGAACCAAACAATATAAGAGTCTAAGAGGCAAAAGGCGCTACTTTCACAAGGACATCCTTCTTTGGTCGGATGACATTCGGTTCTTTCAGTGTTCTTTTGCCTCCAACAATCATAGAAGTGAACAGGAAGGTTTCGGAACACTGTCATCCTCTTGGCAAAGTCCACTCGAAAACTTGCAGGGTTGATAGAAACCGGCCATCAGCTCAGCTCATTACATCGAAATGCGGACGCCCGGGCCTTTCATCTGCACGCTGTCTGACTGGATGACAGTCTTGTTGACATCAAAGTGCAACAGGAGCGGAACCTCAAAGAATTGCCGAACGACACTCTCATAAATTAAGATCAACCAAACAAAGGACACCAAGCTCCCCTTGCAGGTCCCCTTGTATTCAAAAGAAAAAGAGAACAAACGCTTTGATTGGTCTTTGAGCTTGGGGGGGAATCAAACAGTCCCAGCCTCTGACCAACCCAAAATCGTTGCCAAAACAAATGGGATACCAGAACCCTAGGCAGGTACCATGCCCCTTCTGCTTACGAGCCTCTCCAAGACTTTCCAAACGTCATGCTACGGGTGGCAGCAAAAGCGCCCAACTGATGTCTTGGCACCCTGGCAGCCTGAGAAGTGTCGAACAGGCGCTGAGCTGAGCTCCCCGCTTGCGCCTTGGACGAACCATCCTGGCAAGCACTCTCTGACAGCTCACATGCAGCCGGAGATGTGGATTTCCATTGGAAAGATCGGCTCGCACGATCTTCAGCTTTCAGGCCTACTGTCCTAGCCAGGATATGCCTAGCCTCAGGGGGTCCCTTTATTTCCTTTGAAAGGGGGCACAAAGGCAACAGTGCGGATCATTGGAAACGCTTTCTGGTAGAAGGTTTGCGTTTTTGGGTTGCGCTATATCATTTTACCGCGTCTCCAGTCTACCCCGAAAGCGCCGACATACATGTTTCACCAACTATAATTTGCCGGCTGCTTATGTCTTGTTTTTTCCATTGCGTCTCAGCCAGACTCAAACCCCTCGCCTGAGATTTCCGCGGTGGCTTCGAACCAGATGACCTGAGTGCAAAAAGAGCTTGTTGCCAAGAATCAGAGTCAGCCTGCCCAAATAACCACAAAGGAAAGTCATAGCCATACATTCCCATGTAAGGAATCCTCATATAAGGAACCATCATGGGCATACCAGTCAACGCTTTGAAGCCAAGAGTAAACGCAGTTTTAGTTGCGCTTCCTAGAATGGCGTGAGGGGACTCTTTGGAAAAGGACTGTACAATTGAACACCCTGTCTTCCATAAAACCGGGCATCGCCCAAATGGTGGACCCACTGGTTGACAAGAAACAGCCTGTTTCTAGCGAACCTATGTTCGGCTCTTTCATTGATTGCTCCACAAAAGAATCCAAACCATGGAACCGGAGTGATTCGACTCGTATGATCCCCAACCTGGTACTGGAGAAACCCCGAAGAGCACAGCACGACTGTTTGCAGGTCAGCGGAAGAAAAACAACAGTTGATTCGCTTTTCCCACAACAAATCAGAGACAAAGACTCATGACATCTAGAGACAGTCTTGGGCCAACCAGTTCCTGAAGCGTAGATTGCTTAGATCATCGCGTCAATATATTCTCGTCAAAAAAAGGCTCGGGTCTGCTTTGTGACAACCCATTCTAGCCCACCCCTGTCCAAAAATGCGACCAACACTGCAACAGAAAATGCGACCTCGTGGATAAGCACGGTAGGCCCCCCATGGGTCGCAAAGAGTGTCTCTTCGAAACGAGCGCGCAAGTTTGCGCAACCAGGGCTTGCCTTTTGACCCCTTACAGCAACGCAATATGGCTGGGGATCCTCCTTGAATTTCCTGCAAAGGGGGGATTTCAAGGCAAACTCTGAGACAGTTGGAATCTGAAACTGAGTGGCTTGCTTCGACACCATGAACCTAGCATAAAATTGTTAAATTAAGCGGCCCGGGGCGGAACTCGGACATCCGTTTGGGTTCCCCTCCCACAACTAACATGGACGGTCCCTGGAAGACCATTCTGCTCTTGATGGAGCCTGCTGGTTCCATAGCAACGTGAGAGGAATGCCAGTTGAATATTTAGGGAGCCACAAAAGGCAAAGCAGCCCCCTGAAAATTTGAAGGTTATCGTTGCAGTGCCGCATGTCTCCCTTCACAAAGCCAAAGCCCAGAAAGGTCCAAAACAGTCATAGGCCTTTGGATTCTTTGGGCACGTGCTGCCTTTTTGGGTTGAGCTTGCTCCAAACTGGAACGGCTTGGAGTAATGCTTCCTTTGACTTCCAGGGAGTTTGATGCCAGATACTTCCTCTAAGCGGGTTATAACCCGGATGACTCACCTCAGAGTAATCAACCTGGAAGATAAATAGAAGGTGTTTCCCTGATAAATAGGAGGTGTTTCCCTGCAAAAGCGATCCTGTTCTCCTCTTAAATGAGATAGACACCCCTCCGATCAAATCAAGCAGGGCGTTATGAATCATGGGTTCCCAATATGGTCCACTGGAGTGACATCCTCACTTCCAACTGATGGTTTCAAACCGTCAAAATGTTCAAGGTACAATCACCAGGCGGCTTCGAGCTGGCTCAGGCCCATGAGCCCCCGGCTTCCCCGTACCCGAGGTACAGAACATGGCCTGCGGGGCAACGTGTGTACCTATATATTGCAAGGGGCTATAAGCAACTATAAGCAACTATAAGCAACTACAAGCAACTATACGCACTATTCTCAATCTCTTACGATCATGCTAGTAGGCCTTGAAGCAGACTACCCTAAGACCTCTGGCCGGGGTCACGGATCGCCCAAGCGGAATCCTCATGCTGCTCGCCGATCCCAAATAACCCCAAGGTCTCAAGTTGGGCTCAAGTCTCGGGTAATCAATGACTTGCTCTGGACTGAGTGTTGACTTTCGGTTCCGGGCGGGGGGCTTGGTCTCCCAAAGAGCGTTGTTCGCTTGGTGTATGGGTCCCTGGGGTTTGTCGGGCGTGCTGAGGGAGCCCTAGGCAAGGCCGCAGTCACACCAGAGACCAAGCAAAAGGCAGTCGCATGGGTATGGTGGATTCTTGGAACTAAACGCAACCAGCCACAAACCATGGCAATTTGCAGGGCTTGGCATACATGTCCAACAAAGCAGTCTTTGAAGGACAACCCTCCACCAAACAAGTCTGCTACAGTCTTCCAGAAGGGGTTCGTACGAATTCCGGGTATCAACCGCTTCTACAGAAAAGCAACATAATTCGCAAACTGAACATAAGGAGCAATGAACAAAACTTCAGATTGGGTGATCATTTGTGCACGTGAGTTTCTGTCACGACAGGGTGTTCAGAGGAAAACGCCAAACCAGCGTTAAAACCGCCAGGAAAGGAAACCACCAGGAATATAAACCACCAGCAAACCACCCGGAGACCATCAAGAAGCCAGGAAAGGAATCCATCAAACCACCAGCGGGCAACCGCCAAAAGGAACCACTTCACAATGTCGCACCAAGCCTATGAGCCCCTGGCAACGCTCTCAGTGGGCAGCCACGCAACATACGGCCATGGCGCGGTGGATGTCTTTTGGCGGATGTGCTGCAATTCCTGGTTGATGTCTCGAGTTGGGCGGAGCTGACAAATGAAAGCACACGAGTCAAGGAGTCTGCTGCGCCTCGCGTGTTTTCTGCGAGTTGGCTCTTTGGAGAAAAGGCCCCGCCCTCTAGCGGGAAGGGTCTCGAGCCCAGATCAATGTTCATTCCGGTGACATGAAGTGCTGCCCAAACCAGTGGCCGTCTTGGGAAGACCTAAGGAAACTCCATCCCGAAAGCTGAGAGGGCACCGGCCCGGGGGGGAGTAGCCCCCAGTTGCCGAGGTTTGAATTGGTGCAATGCCATCCGCTTCCAGAACTTGACGGCACTTATGTAGAGCTCCGGCAAGAGCTCGCGCTCGAAATGTCCTGTTTAGATGCCGGTCTCTCGGAAACCTCCAAAAATGGAATATGAGCATTGTTGAGAGATCCCAATGTGTTTTGGTTCCCACCCGCCAACCGCAATGTTTGATCCTCCCGGGTTGCGTTAGCCGCAAGTGATGCCCAAAGAAAGCGCCAAACCCAAAGCACGAAAAGACCCCCGCGGGCTTGAATTCGAGTAGCACCCCTCTTCCGGAAAAGGATAGTTGGACCCCTGTGATTTGGGCATGTCTGTTTGGAGTTAGCACCCCGAAGTTATTGTTCAGAGGCAAACGGGCCTCATCTTGAAGATTCTCTCACTTACAAACTTTCCGGTTCGCGGGTCCCGCTGTTGCTTGTGCCCCTCCCAGATCGACTTCCTGTGTTTCTGAAGTATGACCCTCAACCAAGACCTCATTAAGGCGTTGGAGGAAACCAGGGGGTACACAAATGAAATGGTGAACCTCATTTGCCATGGTCACAACTCCTTGTGCAGCTCATGAAGACCATAACCATCCCGAACGCCAGGCAAAGGGCATGTTTTGACCATGGCACCTTTGGTTTTTGGAGGGACCCCCCCGTGGCCGGCCAAGGGTAACCACGGCTCGCATGGTTGTCTTGCATGCATTCCTGCAGTTCCTCACTTCCTGACTGGATTTGCCAGAAACAGTCCAAACTGCTTTGTTTGCCAAACTGGTCTCCCACAAAGTAAAAACGCCACAAACTCTTACAGTGAGGTTCTGGCAGACCAGCATCGCCGGCCAATGTTTCGCCTTTTTGCTTGCAGTGATCCATTCGAATCGAGTCGCGCGGGGTTCGCGGAGCTCTCGAGCAATGGGGATGAACCTTGCACCTCTGGGATACGTGTATATATATAGCTACATGCTATGAAATCTACTAGGGAACCACCTCAAAGGCGGTTGGTGGACATGAATCCCCTCCCGAATTAGAAACAACTAAAACTCATATCCATTTTTTGTATCCCATTATGTCTGTCACAGGAAGATACAACGCAAATAACACGTACGCATAAGATACACTAAAAGGAGCACAAAAGGCACAAACGTGTGTAGATGTATATGCATCTACCAAGGAAATACTCCAGAGACGCGTGGTTGAGCCCATCAGGAATCCACTCGATAGGTTCTTCTGCTGATGCCAGGGTTCCAACCATGCCAACCTCTCTGACCTGAGTTCGGCCGGAGGGGCCAACTAGGTAAGACATCCAAGAGATGCTTTGCCAACTTGACCCATCGAAAAGGAGACTCGTCAAATTCATCGGCCTTTTCGAAAGAGGATATGCCAAACCGCTAAAAAAGGGTGCTTGAACATATTGGGGAAGCCTGTCCGGTTTCCCCACAAGTGGTTTCCGCACACATGCATTCCTGCGATTCCTGCAATCTAATTCACCTTGGCGTTCTCGGGGAAGTGCTTTGGAAATCGCCTCCTGCCAGGAAGCTGAACACGTAAAGGACTTGGTTAAGGCCTGGGGCTTGGGTATTTGGGTTTTCGGGCTTGACTCCTATTTTCAGGGGAGGGCGGGGGGGAGGGGGGCAAACCGAGTCTTCCAGATTGCGTAGTCTGACACTTTTCTCCCTTGGCCGAACATGCAGACGCCTTGTTTGGGGCTTGTTTCGATCGGAAGCCAAAGGGATTTTCGGGGGGGGGGGGGGGTCAGAAACAACACACCTGACATCAACCAAAACAATGTTTTGGCCGCTTGGAGGAAGTCTTGTAAATAGCTTGCTCAAACCACCTCTTGTTTGTACATCCCGAGTGTTTCCCTGCAAAACAAGGTAAATATGTCTAACGCAACCAGGGGTGCTGAGGCTGGCAGAAGATACAGAGGCGTGCAAGCTGGCACTTCTTCCCCCACACCCTATCACCTGAAGACCCTGCCTTACCGCTTTGGGTGGGTGCGTTTTTGAAGGTACAACTTTGGGACAGTTTTAAAGGGAAGCCAAAAGGAAACCGCCCAGTTTCGCCCGTTTGGGGGGGTTCCCTGGTTTGAGGGAAACTGACACGTGGGCAAAATGTCAAAAACAAAACTCTGCAGCTTCCTACCCGGACCTCCAGCGGCCATGGGGCACCATGTTTGGGGTCGTTGGCCTTGATTAATGCAAGACACTCCTCCCACAAAAGAACGGACATGTGATTCTCCCAAAAGAGCTGTCGACAAAAAGGGAGAAAAGGGAACAACACACTGCTTGATCAGGAATGGTCGGATTTAAATATGTTCGGTGCTCATCATGTAAGTCAAGTGCAAGCATGTCTCAAACGGTCGCAAACGTTCACCCAGGGTCCTGAGGCTGTCCACCACTTGCTTGTACTTCTTGCGCACCGTGTGAGAGGGGACTGACCTGGCACTGAGGTACACTTCTGCAGATTGGTGTTTTCGCCACACACACACACATCGAAGAGCTTCCCTGATTTGGGTGTAGGGATCCTTGGTAGCTTCTGTTGTCCTTGTTTCAGGACATGGGTTGGCCCCAGTATGCCTCCCAAGAACTGCAAGAGCTTGCTTAAGCAATGGATGGGGTTGTAAGAAAACCCCGTGACCTTTTACTTGACCCTCGGCACCGTTATCGATTTTTCGTCCTTATCGTTTTACAGGTCATTGGAAGCATCGGTGTTGGATGATAATTCTGTACTAGTAGTAGCAGCAGCAGCAGCAGCAGTAGTAGTAGTTGTTGTTGTTGCAGGTCGTAGCAGCTCACTGGCAGTACAGCAGCAGTGGCAGCACGGTATTGGTGCGGTACTGGTACTGGTATCAGTCACAAGCGGCAGTGGTGGCGGCGTGGTTTAATTGAAACTATAAAACGTGCAGCAAGCACGTCGGGTAGTTAGAGAATCTATGGCACGCATGCGCAGTAATGGAGGTAATAACGCGCGCGGCGCAGTGATGGTAACAAGTGGCAGAGCAAGCGCGGTACTGCAGGTAGATGGCGGCAGCGTGGCGGCATCAATGGCAGCAGCAGCAGGCAGTAGTGGTGGTGGTACAGCGCGCGTGGTCAGGCAGGCGGCAGCAGGTGGCAGGCAGTAATGGTGCAATCAGTAATGGAAACGTATTAACAGGCGTCATGTAGGCAAGGCATTTCGGGGCTGCAGCATACGTTTCCAATCGTAATAAGACCGTTTTTCAGGCCCTGGGCAAGTGGTTTTTTAAAGTTTGATCCTTTCAAAAAAATGGCGCTCACTTGTCTCGTCGAACAGAAAGTCTCAGGCAGGCAGCAGGTGATAAAGGTGCAGCTTATGGTATCGCGTTATGGCGGCCTTCCGTCGGCGCGGTGGGCTTGTCCGCGTAGTTCCGCAGCGGCAGGCGGCGGCGGTGGTGGCAGTAATCGCAGGCGGCATGTTTGCGGCGGTGGCGGCAGGAGGCGGCGTTAAGCAGTCGCGCAGCAGGCATTGATGGCAGGTGATTGTAAATGGCGTTATGGCTGAGCATGCTGCGCAATCCATGCTAAGCAGCAAGCGCGCTGCGAGCATGCGCTGCTGCGCGGCATATGTTGCTACGGTGGCGGTATGGCGTTGCAGCAAATCGCAGCAAGCGCGGCGTGAGGTGGCGCAGTAGGTACAACAGCATGGATTGATCAAACGAGTGGCGCGCAGCAGCGGTGGTCCTGCAAGCGCGATGATGTTGCGGCGTTACGCTATGGTGGCAGTGATGCATGGCGTTGTGGATTGCAGCAGGTTATGTTATATAAGTTGTTGTTGTTGTTAAGGGTGGTGGTGGTGGCGGCGCGGCAAGTTGTAGTTTGCGGCGAATGCGGCAGTAGCGTTTTCGCGGCACGCGTGGTGATGCTGATGGCGGCGCGTGCGGTTCTGCGGACAGATGTTATATGGCGCGCAGGTGGCGGATCAACGGCGTCGACGGTAACGGCTGCTGCGGCGCTGGCCGTCTGACGGCCACGGTGGTAAGCGCAAGGCGTCGCGCAGTGGCGAAAGGCGTCACTGCGCGGCAGGTGCGGCAGCGCAGCCGCTGTTGTGGTGCTATAGCACGTTATAACGTAGCAGCAAATAAAAGTTGAGCAATGTTCAAAACGGTCCTGTGGTGTTTGGAGGCACTCTGGGCTGCTTCAAGCATGACGGTTTCCGAAACGGTTTCGGATCGTTTGAACCCAGTTCCGGGCTTGACCCTGCAAAAAAAGGCGCGCGTGCCCTAAGCTCTTTGTCGTTGCAGTAATGTTGAACAGTATGCCATTTAGTGTAAGCAAACAGTAGCAACCAAACACACAATCAAGTTGATGCGCGTTGCGCAAAATGCGCGGCTGACGCGTGGCTGCGCGCGCAAGGCGCACTCGGCTGTTGAGGTCTAGCTGTTACAAATGTCGCGGCTGCTGGTGGTCGGTGGTTTTACTGTGTTCCGTCATGCTTGACCGTTGAACGCAGCAGCGCAGCTCTCGATTTTGTCGTGCCGTAATGTATGACGCTTACTATACTGTTGCCTGAACAGCAGTAAGGCAGCGTGGCGGCGGCGCAGGCAAATGCGCAGCCAGATACAGCAGTTGCGGCGGCAGGCGGCGGCGGCAGGCGGCGCAGCAGCAGGTTAAATGGCGCAGGCGCTGCGGTGGTGGTACTGCTGCGCTATGTAACTGGCAGCAGGACAGCAGTGGCATAGTTAGTGGCAAGCAGTGCAGTACAGCAGCAGCAGCAGCAGGCGCAGGCGCCGCAGTGGCAGCAGTGGCAACCGCACCAGGCGCGCTGGCAGCAGTATAACAGCAGCACAGCATAGCAGTAGCAGCAGGCGGCGCAGGCGGTGGCAGAAAAGGCGTTACAAATCGTTATCGTTTTTTTCTTCCTTGTCGTTTTACAGGCGTTCCGCCGTGCACCTCCCCCTCCGGACGAAGCCTTACATAATGTAAAGGCGCGGGGTATTCATACAACCCCGGATGGCAAAGCATGAACCCAACCCTGGCGGATCCACCTTAGAATATCAAACATCTCTGAAGAGCAACAACAAGGCAGCAGGAGCGGAAGTGAGGAAGCCACAAAACACGCATCCAACCCTTTTTTCCAGCGCATGAGACCTCCCACGGAAAAGCTTAGTGGGAAGACACCACTGCGACACGACTGGAAAACGGCCAGCCCCAACATTGATAGATATCTCCACTTCACGGGGGAGGTCTTCATTTACACAACTGTGCAACTACTATGGAATAACCATTGCCGAAAAGAACAAACATAGGTTGGTCAAGCCAACGAGCAACCATACCAAGGGCAAAATGTATTGAAATCATAAAAGTTGAGGCCAACCCTTCCGCGCGGGTGACCAAGGGTCAACGTCAGAACATGGCGCGGGCACCTTCCCGTACAACTACCACTTAGGAGATGGTATTGAGGACAAAGTAATGCGTCAATGAGACATTGTTCACCCTCAAAAGTGGGCTGCTGCATGTTTAAGGGGCATTCTCCAAAGAAAAAGTCGCCCGACTGGAAGGTCTACCTAGGTTGAAGGGGGCTGGCCAACCAAATGTTTAAACAATCACCTCAAAGTGGTCCTATGTAGGTGTTTCAAACCAGGCCCGGGCTCATGTTGTTTTTTGGGTTGGCCATTTTAATTTTGCCACCCCCCCCCCCCCCCCCCCGCCCCAGAGTGGTCGGATGGTTTTTCTGGGCGTAAGGAGTAAACCAGCCAATCTGACTTCGACGGCACCTAGAAGCCAGCAGCTCTGACTTTTATAAAACCTAGACACAAAATGCCCAATTCCATTTCTATGGATTTACCGGCTTCCCACCTACCACGCCAATAGTTGCTGGCAAGGGATTGTTTCTCCAGGTTTCCGCACCTGCCAGAAGCCCTTAGACCATAGGCGATACATGTAGGGGAGGGAAATCGAGGGCAACCAACCATGTTTGCAATGTCTTAAATAGCAAACCCACACTCTTGATTGCACCAGGCGCGCTCAAGCGCCAACCCCCAAACTCCGGCCCAAAGGATGTTGAATCCCAGAAAGAAACAAATGTATATATATATATATGTATATATGTATATATACAAATATATGTATATACAACACAACAAAACGTGGGAGTTCGCGCTTCTCGGTAGCGTTTGGTCGGTCGTTGACCTGTAAACGGAGTGGGCCAAGCAGAAGTCGTCGCCGTTCTTGAAGGCGCTCAAGTGCTCCAGCAGGAACAAGGCCTCCCTCTCCGACCTCGGCAAAGGCACGACGTGTCCAACCGCAGCCTACATGTCTTCTTTGGGCAACAAGCCTTGTCAAGCCACTAAACCAGGAGAAGACAACAAATGCAACCAGGCTTTGCAGCTTGTGAGCCACCCCTCCCCCCATTTCGAGCGCATTTGTTCGCCCGAGCGGCAGCGTAGTGGGCGCCAGCGGCACCTGCGCCGCACGCACGCGCAGAAGGTTGAGCCTGGCCACCGCCTGGCAGTCCACCTCGCGCTTTCGCGCGTCGAGCCGTTGAAAGGGCTGGCGGCGGGATGGGTGGATGGGTGGTTGGGTGGATGGGTGGTTGGGTGGATGGGTGGTTGGGTGGATGGGTGGTTGGGGGTTGGGGGGGGAAGTGTGGTTTGGGGTTGCTTGGGGGGTTTGGGTTGTTTGTCTTTGGCTTCCCCCTCAAAAACGCACGTCTCGCGGGTATGGGGAGCCTAAATCTCCGACCGCAACAAGGGTGAGGAGTATCAGTATCGGACCCTTACATTCTGAACGAGGGGGCATGTTCAACCTGACCATGCATGGTTGTTGCGCCAAACAGGGATGTCCGTACGCATGGCCATGATCTGCCAGACCACAGTTTTACCTTTCTCAAAGTCCCCCTTTGGGTGGGAAGGCACCAGTTTCTGCTGAAACATACTGAAATGTCAACATTGGATGAGCTTGCTATCCAGTGGTGGAATCCCTTCTGTCAGGGGTCCATCCATTTTGAGGAGGCTTCCTCCGATCAGTAAGTTTTTAAATTCGAGATCTCATCAGACACATGGCGGGGATGCGATGCCCCGTCTCGGATATCTTGCACACACGCGTTGCTGTTCAGTACCAGCTGTTCAGCTTGCATAACGTAAGGCAGGCCATACAAGGTCCAGGCGAAGCGTGCACTGAACCGTTTTCTGCGTGAATCAGGTGTTCGCCGTTTATTAAGAAAACGATCTGCTTTCTTCCGCGGGGGGCCTCTGACTAGTAGGAACCTCCGGACTCATCCCATCCCTCCCTAACTCGCCCCCCAAGAAACCAACCAAACCCCCAACCAACCCACCAACCCACCAACCCACCCACCCACCCACCCACCCACCCACCCACCCGCCCGCCCGCCCGCCCGCCCGCCCGCCCGCGCACCAACCAACCAACCAATGCACCATCCAACCATCCAACCAATCAACCAACCAACCAAGCAACCAACCAACCAACCAACCCTCCAACACGCCAACCAACCAGCCAGCCAGCCAGCCAGCCAGCCAACCCACCAACCCACCAACCCACCAACCCACCAACCCACCAACCCACCAACCCACCAACCCACCAACCCACCAACCCACCAACCCACCACCCACTCCACCAACCCACCAACCCACCAACCACCAACCCACCAACCCACCAACCCACCAACCCACCAACCCACCAACCCACCAACCCACCAACCCACCAAACCCAATTTGTCAACCAACCAACCCCAACCAACCAACCAACCAACCAACCAATCCAACCAACCAACCAACCAACCAACCAACCAACCAACCAACCAACCAACCAACCAACCAACCAACCAACCAACCAACCAACCAACCAACCAACCAACCAACCAACCAACCAACCAACCAACCCCAACCAACCAACCAACCAACCAACCAACCAACCAACCAACCAACCAACCAACCAACCAACCAACCAACCAACCAACCAACCAACCAACCAACCAACCAACCAACGAACCACCGCTCGAACCAACCACCCAACCCACCCACCAGCTTGGCTGAAAACCGAAAACTAACATCCAGCAGAGAAATCCGCTTGGCCACCTTTACTGCCCATGGACTGCATCGACTTTGTCAAAAAGGGCAATTTGGGTTAGGCCCTTGCCCCCTGCACCAACAGGTTGAAGCCAATTGCCGACAGCAACGGCCAAGATGCATTCGCCCCACTGCCCGCAAACCCAATTGGCTAAGACCCTTATGCCATTGATGTTGGGCAACAAAGGACACCAGCTTTATTATAAAAAGAGAGTAGAACCAAAGTAAACCAGGATGCATCTATGTTCAACGAAGCTGATCCTAAAGAGCGCTCCTCCTCCAAATCAGTGGGTATCCGTTGTTCACTGGCCCACATTTGCATCCTTTAAGACTTTTGACAGCAGCCCAACGCGGTCTCTGGGTCCCTGGGAACCTCCCAGCGTCCGCGCGTCCGCGCGTCCGAGCGCCCGAGCGCCCGAGCGCCCGAGCGTCCGGCCTGCTGGGGCGGGTGTGCGCGAAAGGCCTTGAGCTGGTAAGTGACGCCCAGGTGCGCGAGCTCCACGAAGCCGAAGGCCTGAGCAGATCTGGGAAGCCATTCTTGTCTGGAGCTCTCAAGAGCGGGACCGAAGCGAACCTGGAACGCCCGCAGATTGGTCAATGTACCGAGTTCCGGTGCGAAACTCTTGGAAGTTCAAAGAAGTTGGAACAATCACTTCTGCCAAATGTCCAACCTTCAAGCATCACCCCTACAGAATGCTCGCATCGGCCTTCCAGAAGGCGATGTCTACGATTCAAGACCCGCCTTTCATGGGGATTTAGACGGGAAACCACAGGCCAAGCAAGAATGGCTCCCCGGTAAATGGAAAATTAATTGAAGGGATTGCTTGCTGATTTCCCTCACATGCTCCCCGACTAATTACCCCTTCCGTAAGATGATGTTGAAAGTCCGGCTTTTCAATTTACCGACCGGCTCCAATGATCTAGCGCAGTGGTCCCTTCAACTTGAAATTGACTCTCCAGCGTCAGGTATCCTTGGCTCTCAGGAACCAGGGAACTCCCTATGAACCAGGAATGGGCATTGAAATCCATCCATAGCCCTTGCGTGGGTCCATGACGGGGTCCAGGGACTGTGGCTTCCAGGGGATCCCCAACCTCCTTCCCCAAAACCCCAAGGCAATTCCCCGAGAAGCGACCAGCACGCTCTTCCAGCGCTCCGAGCGCCTGCAGATCCCCGCACCGGAGCTCCACGAAGCGGTAGTCCATGCGATAGTCCTCGATGTTCCTGTCAGTTTTGGTCGAATGCCCTGAAGAACCCGACCAAAAGCCCAGTGGATCCCAGCGGCTTGCGGCAAGAGTCGGCAACCCTTCGCCACCTTCAAGTTTGGCTTCTGAAGCGAGGTTTTCCCTTGAACACCTACCAAACCACGGACATGGAACCACCGGGAAAAAGCGTCGACATGCGACAGCTGAGCATCTTGCGTCTACATGCGAACCGAGGGAATCGGTTGATACCGGAATACTACTACAACTCAGAATCAAAGAATCCTCAAGAAAGGCGCGTGCTTGCCGGAGCTCCCGCCTCACTATGACCTCCTCTGCCCGCGGGAAGTAGTTCTTCATTCCTCGGCTTCTTGGCACAAGGGCTCGCATGTGTTCGTGGCGCAAGAGCTGCTCAAACTGTTCAGATTCCTTTTAGGTTTGCTTTTACACACCATCCTAAAAGGGGGGGTTCCTGTTGTGCGGGCGAGATGTTTAGGAGTCCGTCAGCTAGGCTTGTGCTATGCTTTTTGGGGCCGTATGGGTGGCCACCGAGGTTACTAAACACCCGAGTGGGCAAGCAGATGACATTGCGGGTGAAAAAAAAAGATCGAAACAGTATGGGATCAGGTTGGGCCCAAGTAGATGAGATGGTTGGGAAGCGGCGGCGCGCAAAAAGAAACACCCTTGACGCCAATCACTAGGGTCTTGCCGAAAATAAGGGCCCTGTAGGGATCTGTACAAAGGGCCTGTCATTTCATGTTGGCGTGTTCAAACAAGTCCAAACAAACTGACGATTTGGTGCTCCCCTCAAATACTGTGACAGCAAATATATTGCTGTTCTATAGTAATTGGCCCACTGCAGGATCTTGGGCTTCGTTGATGACTCAGTTTGCTTTCACCAATTCCATGTCAACCTGTAGGAGTAAGGTTCAGCAATTCGAAGCCTTGTCCATGGTTCCTTCTAAGTTGCCAACTCATCTGACCAATGGGCCGCCCAACACCACAACCAGCGCCCCCAGCACGCAAAGGTTACAGGGGTCCTTGGCCTTGCCAGGGAGGACCTTGGCAAAATAACGGGTGTAAGGGAAACCATCGGCGCCAAATGCCCCATATCTGCCGGTGGGCCAAAACCTAAGACTCTTGATCTGGTCTAACTCCTAAATATTGCCAGTACACGAAACACAAACCATGGCAATCTCGCGCCAATGGCTTGTTCCCCGCAGTGTAGGCTTGTCTCCAAATGCCGGTACTGTGGGGGAAAAAACACCCCAATGGAAAGGTACCCCCCAAGACACAGATTTGACAGATCGGATGTTGGCAGCCCCAACACCTGCACTAGGGGGGTGCCCTTGAAGCACCTTGGTTGAAGCTGTGTCTGTTGCGGACTTGAAAGCTGGATCCCCTCAAGTCTAGGAAGGCTTCCACGGAAAATTGGAGAGTCAACCTTTACCGACTGGGTATGTAAAGGTATACATCCAATGTTCTCTGGAGTGGACCATTGGAGTTGACCGGAGGGTGCCACACTGGGCGATCCTTGCCAAGTGGCGCTTCAGCAACTCGTCCAGGGGATCGGGGATCAACGCGGGCAAGGGCCTTGGCGCCTCGTCCTCCGTGTCGCTCACCGGCTGCTCCACCCGCTCCGGGTCCTGAGATCTCCGGAGCTTCTTTCCAAAGGCTCACCACGTGGTAAAACTTGGAATGTGAGCAGAGGACCTGGGCCCAAGAAGGAATATGGGTTGTGGACCTGCAACCAAGTCTAGTCATATGTTAAGAGAATAACTTGATTCGTACGCTCCGGGGCTTCCAAAAACAGGAAATCTGGCCGTGCTCTTTGGCTTCGAGCCGAAGAGAAACCCCGAAGGGAAACCGACACTTGGTGACCAAATTGTGGCAAACCAAGGGGAACCAAAAGCAGGTTGGGATGGAAACCCTAAGGGTCTCTTAGGGTTTCCTGGGAGAGAAGCCAAAGGAAAATTAGTCACGGACGCTCACCCAGTCACCCAGTAGAAAAACAAGATTCGTAGCTGAAGAGAAATCGAGAACCCAAAAGGAAACTCGATGTATGGGAATTCCTTGCCAACAAAACACCAACAAAACGATGACACAAAACCGGGGGGCCGAAGAACAACAACTACCAAAGCCAAAGAGCAAAACAGCAACGCCAAACAAACACCCAACACCGAGGGGGCGCGGGGGGTGGGGGGTCGGGGGTGAAAAACCCAAAACCGAACAACACTAGTTTACAAAAACACAACAACGGATACAACACCAGGAATCTGAAGACTCCCCCCCGACACAAATGCGCAAAACAAGATTTGGACCCTAAGAATGGGCTTGAATTTTCCTTTTGGCATTTTCCCTAAAACCCACCTGAACAGGGCAGCGAGCTCCAAAAACAACAAACACCATTTTCTTGCTGGTTCTCAGATTCCGGGAATAAGGGCCAACTGCAGACCTCATTGGCGACCCACAGGGTTCATTCCTAAAATATTCAAACAGACACACATTTCCATGTCTCCTTCACCCCAAATTCCACAAGCAACGCTAAAGACAAAGAGCATCTGAGCAACGCCCAAACCCAACTGGTTTGGTACCAAAATGGTTGTAAAAACCGGTACATATATATATATAGATAGATAGATAGATAGATAGATAGATAGATAGATAGATAGATAGATAGATAGATAGATAGATAGATAGATAGATAGATAGATAGATAGATAGATAGATAGATAGATAGATGGATGGATAGATAGATAGATAGATAGATAGATAGATCGATAGATCGATAGATAGATAGATAGATAAGATAGATAAGATAGATAAGATAGATAAGATAGATAAGATAGATAAGATAAGATAGATAAGATAGATAAGATAGATAAGATAGATACGATAGATAAGATAGATAAGATAGATAAGATAGATAAGATAGATACGATAGATAAGATAGATAAGATAGATAGATAGATAGATAGATAGATAGATAGATAGATAGATAGATAGATAGATAGATAGATAGATAGATAGATAGATAGATAGATAGAGAGAGATAGATAGATAGATAGATAGATAGATAGATAGATAGATAGATAGATAGATAGATAGATAGATAGATAGATAGATAGATAGATAGATAGATAGATAGATAGATAGATAGATAGATAGATAGATAGATAGATAGATAGATAGATAGATAGATAGATAGATAGATAGATAGATAGATAGATAGATAGATAGATAGATAGATAGATAGATAGATAGATAGATAGATAGATAGATAGATAGATAGATAGATAGATAGATAGATAGATAGATAGATAGACAGATAGATAGATAGATAGATAGATAGATAAGATAGATAAGATAGATAAGATAGATAAGATAGATAGATAGATAGATAAGATAAGATAAGATAAGATAAGATAAGATAAGATAAGATAAGATAGATAGATAGATTAGATAGATAGCCTTTACTATAATCGCCATGAAACCCGGTAAGAACCGAACCACCTGCAAAACAAAAACACCTTTTGGAAATCGGTTGTGCACATCTGAAGACCCCCCCCCAATTCGCCAAAGAAAAGCAAGAACAGCAAGCTGAAGACTCTCTGAAAACAAACGACGCGAACCATGCAAAGCAAAACGAAAAACAAACAAACAAACAAACAAACAAACAAACAAAAGCAAAACAAACAAAGCAAAACACAAACGCAACATCAACACCTATAAACACCGAGTGTCCATGAGCACGATGTCCAGCTGGCGCACCTCGAAGAAACCCCGGGGGAAGCGGCTCTTCACCCGCTGCCGCTCCTCCGCGAAGTAGCCCAAAGGATCCCGCTCCTGGGCCAGGGGAGGCGGGACCCCGAGGCGAATTTGACCGTGTTGGGCCCCAAAATGGTGGCTTTTCCCTTTGGATTCGCTTGAAAAATCACAACACACAAAGGAGCCCTCGAAAATAGACACCAAAATGGATTTCGGGGAAGCCGGATCAGTTGGCACATGACAGCACTTGTGCGTGTGCCATCTAGCGGTCACCCGGACTCTAGACACCTGAGCCATGGTCAAAGTTAGTTTCCGCTTGGCAGAAAGCGCAGAATTTTGTCTCGTCCCCTAGTTTTGTGTGGCGGCATTCAGTGAGTGCGCCCCCTTTAACCCACCATCTAGAGGGATGTTTTGAGGAACTTCACAAAATCACACCAACCCATTAACCCATGTCCCTGTTCCTAAACCCCTTTGCCCGGGTCTCCTTCAGCAACCGCAGCAGGCTCCGACAAAGCGCCTGGTCCACTTCCAGGGGCTCCCAGGCCGCGCGCTGCTGCAGGGCCTAGCCGCGAGCTGGGGCTTGGTCACGCCCAAACCGTGGGAAAGACGTCAAACGGCACCAGACAAACCAAAGCTTTTTGGAGGGTCTTGAAAGGCTTCGCGGCATGCAAGCGGCACATGAAAGGAAATCACTGGGATTCAAGCAAACATACATTGAACGGCACAAGGTGTCTGACATTAATTGCTCTTTTCAAAGGCATATTAAAGGCAACGCAACAGGAAGGTGTGGGCCGCCGGCCCAACGAAAGCGCACCCACCCCCCGCTCCCTGCCTCCCGCAGCCCAGTGGAGGCACAGCTCAGAGTCGCCAGCTTGGCGCGGACGTCCAGGAAGCCCAAGACGCAAATGGCCAGATCCAAGTTCAGGCCCTCAGCGTCGCCCCTTTCAGAACCGAAGAAAAACAAACGCAACAAATCCCACTACGCAACATGCATGTGTGCAAAATTCCAATCACAAGGACAAAAATGCGAGGGTGTCCGCTACCACCAAGCCGGGACCGACGGGAAGACGAGAGAGATACCGGTGGGAACTCGAAGGTCCTAAACAACTGGGCAAATTATCATGATTCACCAGCCGGTTGCAAGATCTCCCTATAAAAGCACCCAAAAAAAACATGGGTGACGTCGCCCCCCGCCCCCGCCCCCCCCAAATGGGTGACGTCGTCATGTTTTTCTCGGTCACCCCATCGAACACTTTAGGACGGCCTGGCCTTGCGGATAACAGGGAGGCTCAGGACCCCCTGAAAATGTTGCAACGGGATCCCCTGAAATGCTTTCGGTTTCCCTTTCGCCGCCTCTGGGAAGACCATGGCCAAAGGTTGGGATCCCGACTCCTCGGTCACAGAGATCTGGGTTGAATTCCAACAATTTCACTCCATGGTGGGGGGTCCAAATCCGGCTGGAGGAGATCTGCTTTGTTCAGATCAGGGCACTCCCAGGCTGGTCTGGCGGCTCGAGGTCAGTTGAAGGCTCGACCCACCGCGCTGCTTAAAGCCTTGCAAGTGGCGCCAAGTGAGCAGTGAGATCAGCGTTTCTCGGTCCCTTGAAACGTACCTCACCTAAAGAGTGAGGTTGGTCAAAAACGTCCAGACTTGTTTGCCACAGAATTGGCTAACTCATGGTTAACTCAGAGAGTGCGCCACAGTTGCACCGTACCTAGAATTGTAACCCAACCTACATCCAAGTAGCTCTTGGTCAACCTTCGAGGAGTTGAATCTGTTCTACCACCGTCATTGGGCAATGGCGTTACCAAACGTTGACCCAGAGCGACGGGTTGTGTACGCCCTCTTCCAGAAGCCGCTATTAAACTTGTCGCTAGAGGGTTGGATGCTGCGAAAGTGGCGTGGCCCCTGCCAGTTGGTAGAACAAACAAAATTATCTCAGCCTAAAGGATCTTGGACCGCACCTTGAGCATGCATCAACATTCTTCGGCAGCAGGATCGCACTCCAGTCAGGCAAGAAAAGAGAGCCAAAGCTTGTCAAACAAGAAAAGAGAGACATTCAAAAGCACTCAAAGTGTCAGTCCATGGGAAAATGGCTCCACCTGCGCCGAGGGGCGCAGGCGGCGCCGCAGCTTCCGCGGCGGGGAAGCAGGGGCCTCCTCGTCCGGCGGCGTTTTGGGCACGTCCTGGGCAGGGCTCGGGGGTCCATGGGGTGTCCCGTCTCTCAAATCCAGCATGCACAAAGAGCCACATGTTGCAAAATCCTGATAGTTGCCGCTGTAAGTCATGTAGTGCCGCATGTCTAGCCGTCTTGCTACTGTGGTTGCAGAGCGCACTTGCCCCTGGCGGAAGCTTGGGAAGGCCGACCAGATTACAACACATCCTAAGGTCGATGTGTGTTGCTGGCACCGCCCGGAGCACAGCACGGCAGTGGGCTAAGCCTTTTTTAAACATTTGAAGAAAAAACAACTCTTTATGCCTCAGAAAGCCAGCAACAACATCTCACACGTTGACTTCTGATTAAGCATCCCCTGTGTGGCTTGAACATCAGAGAAACACAAACCTTGATCAGCTGACCTTGTCGAGGTGACGTTTCAAACCTACCTCAAGTTGGACATCTTCAGGATTTGTGCGTGTCTGTGTAGTGGGGTTGTTTTAGCGGGCAGTTTGGTTTTCTACTGTATCTTGAGACAACCCCACTATGAATGCGCATAAGCAGTGCCCAAACCCCAGCAGTGCCCAAACCCCATTGACTTTTGGTTCCATGAAGCATTGTTGTAGTGGCTTAGGCCTTACTCTAACCATGCGACCAGGTAGAAAACCGAACCACCTACGCCAACGGAGGCCTTGAGCGTCCCCTGCACCTCGCATGCCCTCCGAAAACGGCCAAGCCACGGCGTAGGTGTCCTCCTTCCTGGGTGTCTCTTCCAGCACCCTGCGGGCACTCCCCAAAGTCCTCGGGGGTCGAGTCCGTTCTCTTCTTTTGCATCGTTCTCTGCATAACAAACCGCTCCCCTGGGAGTGTTGTGGTTTTAGGAAGAATGGTTTCCTGAACCCTCACAAGCGGGGAAAAAGAAGAATCACCTTACGAAAATCGGGGTTGCTCACAAAAAGGAATGCTGGAAAAGGAAGGCACATCAACAAATACTGGCAACACTCGCTACACAGGCCATGGTCTGATTGCATAACTCTCTGGGTCACGCAGAACCCAGGACAGTCCTTATACCTTCCCAAAGTCTGGACGAGCATCCCGAAGCCAACATGGAGCCCCACTTTTGGCTTCTGATGTTGGTCCTGGGTCTGTAGTGAACGTCAGAGACCTGGGCCCTGGAAGCGGAGACTCACGGATTCGAGCTCGAACAGAAAACAACCAATCGGGTGTTGCAACTACGCACCTGAACTCAGGATGGAACACCTCCAAGAACCTCCATTCGATTTCCACGGGAAAAATACAACACACACACACACACACCTTTTTCCCCAACAGCTGAAAGCTTTGGGGGGTCAGCCCAGATAGGCTGCGGAGTGGTCCGGGGCGGTCCTGAAGTAAGGTTCCACAGGTTCCACGAGGGTGCCACGAGGGTTCCACGAGGTTCTGCGAGAGCTGCGGGGTGGAGCAAAAACGAGCACCGCATGCTGTTGGGGATAGATAGTCAGGTTTCAAAGTTCCCCCCTCCACAAAAAGTGCCACAAAGGGAAAGCACCACTGGAGGTCGGGGGATACTTGCACTTCGAACATGGACAGAACCAAACAAGCCCCAAATGGCCAGCATGAAACAAGAACCCCACTGTGTAAACAGCCAGAAGAAATCCCATCAAATGGCATGACAATGTGATGTTTGATCCCTTCAAGGGCACCTTGTTGTTGTGTTGACTAATCCGGGCCAACATTGCGATTGTATGATCGTTCCGAACCTGAAATCAAGGATCCCCCAGTGACGAGTGACGTCGCCCCGCTTGACGAAGTCCCCCGCCCCCCGGCGGAAACGACGCGGAGGGCTGCGCCAAGTCGTCGGCTCCTGGGCGTCGACCCGGTGATGGCGCACAGCGCCACCGCCGCCGCCAGGCCGCGGTCCCGCTTCACCCGGGCAATCAGCAGGCGTTGCACGTACCTGGAGTAATGGGCGCAGTGTGCCTGGCTTGGGGTACCCCGTGTTGCGTTGCAGGGAACCCAAAGGAAACCTGTGATCTCGACAAACCCATTTGGGTGACCCTTTTTCGGTTGGTTCAAAGGGACCCCAAAAGGAAAGCCAGCCGTTTGGCTCTGTTTTGACCGAAAAGTCAAACGGGAAGGTAAAGGACACTGAGGCCTTTAGCTACCGCCTCAGGGACCGAAGCGGACGGTTCCAAAAAAATAGGGCAAGGGCCCAGCCTGGCTCATACTGTTATTTGGTCATCGCTTAAAGACTCGGGGCACCCCTCTTCATGTTGGACCTGTTGGTAGGACCATGGGCTTCTTCGCTCTCGGTTTGCCACTGAAGGGGTGGCTCGAATCGCTCGCTCAGCCCTCCCGCACCTGGCAACGGCCGGGGTTCTCACCAGCTCCTGCCACTGCGACGCCTGGGCGTTCTGTAAAAAGTCCATGGCCACGTCCTTGAAATCCTCGAGGCAAAGGGCCTAAGGGGCCTTGAGACCCAGTTCTACTGGCTCTTCCCCCAAGTCCAAATACAGGGAACACTGTCTTGGGGTTTTCAGTTGATTACCTTGCTGATGCCCCCTGGCTTGCAGTGGGAAACGAAAAACAAATCCCTCTGAATTGTTAACGAATCCCCCAAAAGTCGAAGGGTATGGCTGGAACCGGCAAGTTTCGTGACCACCAAAACTGTTTGATGTCAAAAGCCTATTTGAGTTGCTCTGAACATGTTGAATTGTTCGCGCAACCCCCTAAGAGGTATGACTCAATGACTATCATACAACCCAAAATCCGCACGTTCCAGCCAAAGCTCCTCTTTGAAGAACCCTTTCCTAGGCTTGCATGTTGTGTATTGAAAAAAATGGGAAACAAGTCATAGAGAAACACGGATGAAGGAGAGAACGGATAAAGGAGAGCGTGTTTCCTCTCTGACGAAGAGATACCATCTCAAAGATACCCTCTCAAAAACTAACATGAACCCGGAAAGACAGTCCCTACAAATACCTTCTCTTCCAGGGCTTGACCTTTAGGTTCCATAGTTTTGGGCGTTTCAAATGGTTGCATCCCTCGCTGTTCGCCTTCCCGCCTGGCCGTCAGCGGTAGCGTTTCGCCGCTGCGCCATGGGAACGAATCGCGCGACGAGCGAGGCCTGCCGATGCAGCACGGCTCCCTCGTCGCTTGAGTTGATAGCAGAGAAATGTCCGGTGCCCTTGATTTTGTAGGAGTGCATTGGTTTTGTAGGTGGTGGTGGTGGCTTTGTAGCTGCTGGTACGGGTCACGTCACATTTGCGGTTTTTGTAGGTTGTGTGTGTGTGTGTGTGTGCATTCCTACCTTTTGGCTTGCTGGATAATGCGCTGTCTGCTGCCAAAAGCGTTCGACTTGCCCGCGACTGTGTCCTTCCTGCGTCGCACGTTGTCCATGAAGTGTCGAAAGCCTTGGGGTTGCCAGGAGCAGCCTTTGACAATTTTCTGGTTGTCCTCTTTCCAACAGTCATAGAAATGGACCGTGGGCCTTTCCCAAAGGACTGAAGCCCTGTTGGAGAAGGGGCAAACTTCCCTGGTGGCCGGTCTATGGTCCTTGCCAGAGGAGGTTTCATTGCTTGTGTCCTGCCTTCTGGCTGCTAAGATGGCTGAGGCACCTCCGAGTCTCACACCCAACATGCGCTTCAATTCATTTGGAGTCCACTGACTGCGGGAGAGTACATCCTCTCACTCTCCACAAGGCAATTGCTGAAAGCCAAAACAAAGTGACCTTCCCCACAATCATGGAAGCTGACAAGAGGGCTCTGGAGAACAGTCCTCTTAAGGCAAAAAGCTGCCGGCTTCCAAGTCCGAACGGCAAATGCGGCAGCGCGCGCCCTTTGCAACGCACAGCCTGGCAAGCCAGTCATGCCTCAGCAATGTCTACGCTGACCAGGGCCCTCACGTTCGACACGATGAGCTTCGGACAATGGCTTCACAAACATCGTGAATCAGTCAGTGAGTGAAAGAGATGCCAATCCATAACCACCAAAATGGTTTTTAAAATGACAGCTCGTTTGCCCAGCGCCCGTATACCTCCCTTCATCCCAAGCCAAATAAAAGTGAATGGCAGGCACCCTTTCGAACACAACGCAGAACCCTTTGCTCACCCAAGATCCATGCATTGACAACGACCAGAACATCAGAACTAACCAAGAGACAGAAACCGCTAAATATATAACAAACATCACAAACACACCAATTTGTCCTTCCTCCGCTAACCTAGCACCTGTGGGAGAGTACCTGGAACAACACGTTCCCCTTGAATGGACCCTTTGTCAGGCGCCATTGGGTGGGAGGGAGGGAGAGTGCAGTTGGGTGAAAAGTAGATTCCACCACTTGATTGTCATCCCTTTGACCACACACAGGGCATTGTGCCATCTACGTTCACACCGGTGTGGAGAGATGGTGCTCACTTTTGAACAATCATGTCAATCTAAAGCAAGTACTACTGTGGCTGTAAAGAAGTATTACAGTAGTACCGGTGTACTTAGAGAAAACAGGGCTTTTTGGACGAAGGAAATCACCAGTCGGATGCTTCACTCTGGGCTCGCTGCTGAAAAACCAACTCTGCGCCGAGCCGCCGAGGCTGCCGCCTTGTCCAACAAAGGCTTCTTCTCCGCCTCGGTGCCTGCGGTGCTTCCGCCAAAAAACAGACGGCCGCTGAAGGTTGGTTGAGCCCAAACCCCGCCTAAAGCACCAGGATGAGCTATGTTCTTTACACATGTCTACTCCTATTTGTAATATAAGGGGCTATCTAATTGCACACAGTGCTATCTTGTGATGCTGACGTCATTTGGAATTTAATGTATCCCACAACCCCAGTAGAATCATATGGCTGAGGTGTCTGGGGGCGGTCCCTTGCAAAGCATGGATACACACAGGAGCTTGCCGTATGTTACCCTGAGGGATGCGGATCATGATGTCAGAGGGGCTGCAGAGTGACCCAGAGCTAGTGGAGGATGGTTTCAGCCAGAGGCGGACTCGTAGGTCCCCGAGCGAACGGCCACGGAAAGGTTTATAAAACCAGCCCATGGGGAACATCCTAGCCAAGTAGCCATAGAGTTCTTTGGTATCCAATTTTTACCCATCCCCCAGTTAGGCCAAACTGTTGCAAGGGACAGTTGGCTGTGGGTCAAAAATATGTACCCAAAATGGAATCCTGGTAAATGGAAACACGGACTAAAACCTGCGGACCACTGGTTGCTTAATTTTGACCCATACCCAGTTCACATTCATTAAGGGCTCCTTGTCCATTGGTTTTGAGAAAGGTCCGTTTGGGTGGCTCGTCCTTCCGAGTACCTTAAGGGCTGGCAACGTCCAACTTGCATCATATTTGGACCAGTTTATCCCGGTTGCCACTACCGTAGCAACCGGGCAGTCTCCATGTTCCAAATGCCGGCTTCCCCAAACTGCCAACTACCGATAGGGCAACGTCACCATTTTGTGTGTGTGTGTGTGCGCGTGTATGTGTGGGCGTGTGTTTTGGCAGGTAGCGTTTTTTGCTTGGTTTGCAAAGGGAAACCAACAAAAACATATATTTCTACTTTGGAGGCTCCCCCTGTTTTGTCACCTTCCCATTTCCCCAAGTGCCCGCTGTACATCTTGCCTTCGCAGGTCTCTTCGTCGAGGCCATAGAAACTCTCGTCCGAAGGCCAGGCTGGCGCATCGGTCGCATGGGTGACACCAACGTGGGGAGTTTCCACCGACTTGAAAGTGGCCCCAGTGCTCCACAAACAATGCCCAAGGGCTCGCACAAACGCCCCCAATACTCGATCATACGCCAGGTTTGTCTATCTACCCTCCCGTCCACCTTGCCACGGAACGAACCCGCCAAAGAAATATTACAGGTGTTCAACTTGTTCCGCACTTGTTTGCATTTGCGGAATCAACAGTCCTGGGTCATGAGACCCACCGGCAGGCATTAAGACAAAGTACAGGGTTTCGCCACAGGAAAAAAGGAGCCCATGTAGCAATGCTATGCACCAATCAAAATCACATCGGTCCCTCAACGGAAACGCGGGTTAAAATCCCCAGATACCTGTGGAGCTGCTAGTTCGGCCGTTGCGCATTTGGTTCCATATCCAGCGCTTCCCGAAAAAGAAACCAGTGCGGCTTTGTGGTGCCTGCGTCATTCTGTTGGACGAACAGAAGGAGTCGAACGTCGATGAATTCTCAACCCCTGCCCTTTCGCTGAAAAAGGGCTGCACCTTGCAGCCCCCCAGTAATAAAACGCGGATAACCGTTTTGACCACTTTCAAAAGGCGACTCGAACCCAACCCCCCCTCCCGAAATGTTCCATAGCCCAGCAAAGAACAGGTGTGGCCTCGAATCTCACACTTTGGGATTCTGCAGAGCTTTCTGATTTAATTGCCTTAAAAGGACAACGCGGTCATCCCAAAGCGCCACGCCATCAAGTCGCCAGGCGCGCCAAAATAGTGGAGAAACACACCCAAGACGCACTCGTAGAGTATGACGGAGGAGTAGAACAGGTAGAACCTGATCCGATTTAGGTGGTGTTTGGGCCAGATCCTGCGTTGGAAGAATGTATTATATATATATATATATATTATAACATAATGTGTGCATTAATACATCTACATATATATTGATTTATCTATTTGTGTGTGTGTGTGTGTATTATATATATATACGTATATATATATATATTACAGTTGGGTTCAATACATGATTCCGCAACGGTAGTCTAAAAAGGCCAATTCAAAAGCTTCACTTTGTGGAGGAAACCATATTCCGAACTAGTCAGTTCCAAACGGACCACCCTGCATCGAAAGGCGAGAACCTTGCATTGCCATCGGCATCTTTAAAGGCCAACCGTGCATCCCATGTGCAAACCCACAGGTGCGATGTTTCAGCCCCTTTGGTCCAAACCCATGAAAGATGGCCCAATGCACCAACATAGCATAAGGCTATCTCTCCCGTGGGTTAAATAACTTCCCAAGGGGGCCCGAAATCATTGGAAAAGCTGGAATTGTTCGAACAATCACAGACCAAAAATAAGGAAATCGTCTAGGAGGAATCTTCATCATGGGTGCCGTCACACCCCCCCACTCCCCCCCCAAAAAAAATGTGATGTCGCCAGAATTTGCCCAAATAATCGTAGGGAGTTGCAAGCCTTTAGGCTGCCAACCCGATGCTCAAGACCAGCGGCTCCGTCTCGCCCATACCTTGAGCGCACGAAAAAGCCGAGCAACATCTGCCCACCGACATGCTTTCCTGAAGAGGAATCCTTATCATGGTTGTCTGTAATCCGTGTGGAGGGGGCATCGACCATCCTTGCCAGTCCCAAGCAAAGGGATTTTTCACCATGGCACACTTGGGCTTGTTTTTCATCATCTTTTGTGTCTTGATCCTCACCATCTCTTTTGGTAAATTGACAGGGTACCAACATGCTGATCATTTGGAGAAATGGAAACACCAAAAGGACACCAACCATGCTTGGGGGAGGTCCCCTCCCACGCTACAACAACACGCCTGAAAAGTCTGTGCAACACTCGCCTGCCATGAAAATTACCACCAGGAAATTGGAAGTCCACGATAAACCCATACCTGCATTTACGGCGCCCAACAGACCTGACTTGCACAACGCCCACAGCCACCAACATGGCTGACAAGGGTAGAAAATTGGGTCCAAAGAAGACCGTTTACGAACTTGCCGTGGGTTTGCTCTTGGAGAGCAACCCTGTAGAAATCCTTAAAACGAGTTCCAGTCATGTGTTGGGGGACCGTGACTAACTCAACCTCCCCCCCATACATGCCACACTTGGAAGGCTTGCATTTCTTCCTTGCCCATTCATCCAGCAGGGCCGAGCAAAGGCGGTGTTTGTAGCTTGTGTTTCTTGGCGTGCTTCTTCTTGGGTTTGGAAGATTTCGGGGCTTTCCCATTTGGAGACAAACCCAAGGGCCACCTCTCAGCCGGGCCAAGCTGCCTCGCAAGAGTTGATGGAACAGGTTCCACTTCAAAGGCCAGCCAGTGTGGCGGAGAACCAAACCCGCGTCAGGGTGCGCTACATTTCCCTTTGAAGCATCACGTCAAGGGGAAACTCACTTCAAGTGGCCCCAAAGGGTACTGCTCAAAGCCATCAAAATGGGAACCTTTGGGAACCTCACGCTTTGGAAGTGCTGCCAAAGTGCTCACCAGCTCCTTGACAAAGGGCACTTTGCCAATGATGCTTTGCAGCAGTCCAGGCAGCGAGCGGTTCACCGTCTGCAGCACGTAGACGCAGCCCTGCGGTAGACGCCACCAAACAGTTGCCTTAAACAGGATTCCCAACAATTCCAAAATAAATTCCCTTTAAGTGGCCCCAAAAAGGCGATGTCTTAAACCATAAAAATGAGGAAATCTCGAGGGCCCTCCTAAATCTCCACGGAAAAAAGGTGGCCCTTTCCAAATGCTATATTTCCTTGCACCCAAAGGAACGGAACATGCACAGGGAAGGCTGTTCGGGGGGAGTACGCCTCCCCCGTTTCCTTTCATAAACCCATAAACCAGGGGGAGGGGAATGAACTATCAAGTCTGTGCCAAGTTGGTCTTGGACCCTCACAAGTTGTTCCACAGCAGAAGGAAACCAAACGGTTGGTCCTCGACGGGCTTTTGTTCCGCTAAGCACGATGTGGCCTATTGAGAGCCACGTGCATCTGCAGAGAAAGACACTTTTCAGAGTTCGTGGGAACACAAGCATGTCCTAAACGAAGTAAGCGGCCGCATCCGCGAAGTGGATGGAACTAATTTCCAGTAGTTGGGCATCTCTATATAGTGAAGGAAAAAAGGCAAGCTACTCGGCTGTTGAACCCACGGTTGGGGGGGTCAAGCCAAACTGTCGGACCGTTGAGGTCTGTGAAAGGTGTTTGCACTCCAAAATATAGCTCTAAGCAATTTAGACACCAAATGCAGGTGTGCAATGTACCTGTTGTTCCCTTCTTTCAGCACGCTCTTCACCCCCTACATGTGCTGATCCGCAGTCACAAACGAGGGCTCTGCTGCTCTTGAACCCGGCTGCTCTCTCCGCCGCGATCTGGATGACCCCAGGTCACAACAGCCCCAGATTCAAGAAAGGCGGCAAAAGCACCATTGTAAGCTGCTTGGATGCGCTCAACGTTGCTCAGCTGCTCTTGCACCTGGCTGCTGCTTCCGCCACAGTCTGGATCACCCCAGGTCACTGCAAACCCAGACTCAAGAATGGCAGCAAAAGCATGGTCAGTTGCTTGGATGTGCTTGACGTTCCTCAGCTGCTCTTGCACCGGGCTGCAGTCTCCACCTTGTTCCGGATGACCCCACGTTGCGACATCATCCCCGTGGCCGTTGCCATGGAATGCAAACGCCTTGTGCGTGGCAGCCAGCTTGCCAAGTTGTACAACCGCAGCCACTACGTCGCCAGCTCGCAAGCCAGCCTCACTCAACGTGGCTGTCAAATCCAGCCGCTGGCCTTTCGCAATAAGCTTCAAGGGGCGCTGGAAGTGCTTCTGTGCCGCAGCCTTCAGCTCACTGATGGGCGTTGCCGGTGAGACTTCTACAGAGCAACCATCTCCATTGGGCAAGTGCACATCCACCTTCATGGTGCAGGAAAAACTATTCCCTGGTTTCCCCCTTAGAAAAGGACACCCTCAAAAAAAGTGGAATTCAACAAAGATGCTCAACATAGGCCACTGTATCAAACTGGCCGTCGTGCCCCGGCCCGGACTTCAAGACAGCGGGATGCAACCAAGATCCTCCAAAACCCGCGGGATCCCCTTTTTTTCTCTTGGGATGGTGGAAGCCCGAAATATTGCAAGTAAACTAACCACAAGATCATGGAAAAGGACGGTACATTGGGGTTCTTTATTATCTTGCTTGCGATACGACAGGGGCATACACCATACCCCGGCCTGCTCTTCCCCTTAAGCAAGTCGAACGAAGACATTCTGTCCAAGGTCACACCAGCCAGGAAAATCAAAAGAATTGAACTGGGGCCCGCAGCCTTCCCGCCTTCTGGAAGTAGGCCAGCGACAGCAGAAGCTTCACCGTCATGAACTTCAGAAGCGGCCCATAATCTGCCCAAACTCCCCGCATCCAGCTGTCTCTCTTTGGTTGCATGTGGATGGCTCCGGAAATTCTCAGCCTTTAACCTGAAACAAACACGGACCAAACAGGAGCTGAACCACACTTTATTATGTGAAGCAGGCTTGGCAAACGTGTTAGTCTGTTCGTTTGTCTCATGTTGGAAGCTGATCCCCCCCACATCCCATCCACATCCCCCCAAACCAAGACAGAAGGCTTGAACTCTCGGCACGTTTCACCCCGTTTCTCGCATCCGCTCCTTGGAAGTAGGTGTGGAATTCCATTTCCACGGTGCTGAGGTTGTAGATGGCCGCCATCGAAGCCACCAGCCCCGCCGCCTGGAACTTGCCTCGGAGGCGGCTCAACGGGCTCCACCCGGCGACCGGTGGTCTCCAAAGGGGAAAAACCGGGGGAAGCCGGAAGCAATACCCAGAGAAGGCCAAAGAGGTCGAACGAAGGAATCCAGGTCTCTGAGTGAGTGCGTTTAGGGGAGTTGGTGGCCAAAGAGGTCCCGAAACAAGGGAAGCCGGAAGAAGCCAAGCTGTCACAAGTATATTTTGCTTGGAAAAGGAAGGCGAAAATGAAAGGATGTTCGCCAGTTTCGTCATGGAAGCACACAGAAGCTTGTGAATTGGGGTCGATCTGGCTGAGCCATTTTTACCTTCAAAGCCCACCTCCAGTCTTAAGACAATGGTCACATTTGTTTGTTGGATAATTTTGAAGGGAGCCCCATCAAAGTCGGGTGAAAGGGGGGGGCACGTCTGCAGGTCTGGGAAAGAACCCGCCAACCGCTGGAAACATGCAAGCCATCGATGCTGGGCAAACCGACATTTCTCCCCTTGAGTCGGCTTCCGCTTGCTTGGTGGTTTGGATTGGTGGTTTGGGGGCTATCTCATGGTTTCCCATGGGTTCAAATCCAAATCCAAACCACCAAACCCCCTTGAGGCTGCTGAGTTTGGGGGGGGGTCTGCGGAGGTTGAATGGAACTCTTCAACTTGAAAGGAGAATACTATTCTGTTTGCCAATCAAACATTGTACCATGTAACGACCCCCCCCCCCCACCTCATAATATTGTCTTGGGATCCTTTTTTCCAGTTTCTTCCAGGGGCCAAGTTTGTGTAGTTGCCACCGACCAACGTGGAACCCGGGCGGGTGCTCGCAAGCGTTTTTCTGTGGACCTCAGCTGTTCCGCCCTCCTTTTCTTGCCAGCCAAGCATCCCATCTGGCTGTTGTAGTCAGCCCAGTTCTCCTGGCAAACTCGCGATTTCGGTCGGGCCTATCCTAAAAAGGGGTCACCGACCGCCGGCGCAGACAAGCCGCTTGTGGGTGCAGGAACCAAGCTTGAATGGGTGTTGGTTTCCAAATGAAACCTTGGTGTCTACCCTCCTGAACATTGGCATGTGCCTTTCGCCCGATCCCTTTCTCTGTTGGAAATCAAGTTGGACCACCCTCCAATAAAGTCTCCAAGCACATTCAGAGAGACCTGATCCCTCTTTCAACCAAACGGGGGTGAGGGTTCGCAAAGGCCAACAGGAATGTGTTCGAGCCAAAGCGAGCTCGCCCACATGCCAGGTTGGCATAGCTTGACCAGGTTCAGGAGATGATGGGAAAGTTACATCTGCAACTGGAAATTGCTGGGGGCGCAAGAAGAGATGTGGAAACAACTAGTTGATTCAAAGACCCAGGTTGGGGGGCGGCTTCGTTGGTCCATATACCATTATGCCAAAACCATCCTTTAAAGGCGGCCTATGTATCAAGGGTCAATGGAGCGTTTTTGGGGCATACAGATTGCCTCAAGCCCTTTATATACTCATGATGAAAACAATTACCAGGAAAGTGCGTAGACAAGCTTGCTAAGTCAACAGGTAATGAAACAAATGGACAATAAATGACCAACCAAACAAACAAAGAAACAAACAAACAACTAATCGAACAAGCAAGCAAGCAAGCAAGCAAGCAAGCAAGCAAGCAAGCAAGCAAGCAAGCAAGCAAGCAAGCAAGAAACAAACAAACAAACAAACAAACAACCAAGCAAACAAACAACCAAACAAGCAAGCAAGCAAGCAAGCACACAAATACAAACAACCAACCAACCAACCAACCAACCAACCAACCAACCAACCAACCAACAAACAAACAAACAAACAAACACAAAACACACAACCAAGCAACTAAGCAAGCAAGCAAGCAAGCAAGCAAGCAACCAACCAGCCTACCAACCTACCAACCTACCAACCTACCAACCTACCAACCTACCAACCTACCAACCTACCAACCTACCAACCTACCAACCTACCAACCTGCCAACCTGCCAACCTACCAACTAAACAAACAAGCAAACACACAACAAACAACCAAGCAACTAAGCAAACAACCAACCAACCAACCAACCAACCAACCAACCAACCAACCAACCAACCAACCAACCAACCAACCAACCAACCAAGCAAGCAAGCAAGCAAGCAAGCAAACAAACAAACATCAAACAAACAAGCAGGCAACGACCAAATGAAGAAGAAGAAAAAAGGGCTCCTCTGGGTTGGTGAAGGTGAGCAGGTAGAGGGACCAGCCCGCTTCCGCGCAACACACCACCAGGAACATGCTCACCTGAGTGTTCCAAAGACCGGCTGGTCTGGTTGAATGAATGTCCTCGCTCAAAAGCGAAGTCCCGGGCTGTCGAACTCTGGTGGGCCTAACCGACACACAGCTCGGCGCCTCACAACAGGTGGCTTTGTAGAGCATGATGAACACAGTTAGAACACGCTTCTTGTGTCAAATATTTGGTGAAGCTCGGTGCTGACAAGGCATCTCTTTCTGATAGGGCTGGTACGGTCTTGGTTTAAAATTGGTTAGGGCTGGTTTAGGATGACTTTTAGGGCTTTACTTTGCCAGGTTTGGGGCTACTTTCGCAATTGTCTTGAGGTTGCTTCAGGGCAGGGTGGCGGGTTGGGAGTTCAATCAGAGAGGGGCTTGGGATTGCAGTTGTCCCTGATTCAGCCAAACATCATGCCGGATTCTGCCTGAACCAAGCCTGCACCTCTGTGATTGAACTCCTAACCAGCCAGCCTGCCCTGAAGCAACCTCAAGACTGCAAAAGTAGCCCCAAACCTGGCAAAGTAAAGCCCTAAAAGTCTCGACTCTGAATCCCTAAACAGACTCAGCAGAAACCAACCCTAACCAACCCCAAGCCAAACAAACAACCAAGCAAGCCGGCCGGAATGAAGGCCTGTGCCTGGGGCTAGCCCGGGCAAGTCCTGCGTGGAACACCCTTGGGGGGGTGCTTGTTGGTTTAAGGGTTCTTCTCACTTCCTGAGTGGGCCAAAAAAAGGTCAACGTGTTGTCTACCACTTAAATGGTCTTCCCAAGCAAGTGGTTGCAAGGTCCAAGAAACCTGGGAGGTGAGAGCCTGGGAAGTGGGAACACGGTCAACTCATGTCTATCAAATTGCTGCCAAATAGTGATGGAAAAATGGGCCCTGCCCATGTCCGAGTTGGGCTGATGTTCACATCATTCTCTTCAGGCCACGTGGTGAACGGTGTTTGGAAGCCTCCCGAGCTGGCTCATGTGCTTGTTGACGTGTAGCAAAAGCACAATCCCTGCACATTTGCTTGTCCTTGACCTTAAAACGACGACCAATATTGGCACACAAAGTGGTCCAGAAAGAAGACCTGAAACTGGGAGACATTTGTTGGGTCCTGAGAATTGCATGTTTTTTTTTCATTGCATTGTACCCGAATGCGTGACACTGAAGCGTGTGATCCTTGCAGGGAACTGTGCGCACTGCGCTATGGTCCGTGGTCACTGGGCAAAAACACAAACTGCATCGTATCACGTTGGCCTCAAGAAACGCTGAGTCTTTCGAGGGCCATACAGGAATCTGCTGGAGCGTTTGGGTTTGTCTCAAGTTTCAAATCGGGGAACCCACAACGTGAGTGCTCTATGTTTGCTTTCCCTTTAAACTGTCAAAAACCAGTACATACCCCTTTTCAAAACCCGCAAGGCTTTCGACATTGTCTACAATCTTCCCCAAATAACATGTCCCTTAAGCTTGGCCAGACGACGACTCCCCAAAGGGCCAAAGGTCAAAGAGGTGTGTGTTAAGTCTGGCAATCTTTCAAACATGTCCCTGCAAAAAGCGGCCCCCTTTGAAAAACGCACACAACGGCGTAGGGGTTTCTCATGGTTTCTCCATCTCTTGAATTAGTTACTCGCCCCCAACAAAAAGTCACCCCCCAGGCCCTTCCGAGCCCATGGTCCCGGATGCCGGGCCGGGGGGCTCCCGTGTAGGCGATGTCCGCCAGGGATTTGTGGGCCACCAGCAAACCGGAGGCCACCGTCTTCCTTTCGCTGTCGCTTTTTTCCTGGCGTCCCGACATTCGTCACAAACCTCACTTTGAAACCCAGCTTGACATGTCTCCATGTATCCAAAAGTGTTCCTCTTTCCTGGAGGTCCATGGAAAACCAGGCAACATCGATGCCAACATGGCCCCATCTTTTTGCGGAAACAGGGGGTTCAGGTTGCCTGCCACTTTCTGCAATACCCAGTTGGATTCACTTCAATATTCCGCCCTTCACCGGGCGGTGAGGCGCCTGCGTTTAGCAACCACATGTCTTGTGTGGGTGTTGCTAGGTGCTGATAGGTGAAGCCAGGCGCAACACTTCGACACCTGCAACCAGGGTGACTAGACCATCTTTGGGTGACCCAGTATCTAAAGGGGTTATCCTTCCTTTACACCCAATGCAGGATTTTGTCCTCCCACGATGCCTCACTTTCCTGCCTAACATCACCCAAAGGAAACTCATGTCAACAGGGTTGCTCCCAACACCGTGGCACACGAGAAGACATGTGGGTCTGGGAAAGGAATCAAACTGACCTTCTCCCCCTGGTGCTTTGATCAACGGCCCAGAGCAACGATAGAGTCCCAAAATGGTCAAATATGCTCATCTGCTAGAGTTTTAGTGACCAGTGAATCCTGCTGTCTTGAAATTGAGGACTTTGTGAGTCCCGGACTCTTGAAGTTGGGTGTGTGTGTGTGTGTGCCCGTGTCAAAATGCGAACACATGGCGCCCTTGGGGCCTAGAAGCGCACGGACCCAAAAAGTGAACCACTTGCCAGAAAGGTTAAAGCAACAACGAAGCCACAAATCCAACTGCGAGTTGACCTTGTCAGGGGTTAGAACCAAAAAACAAGCTGGTAGAAACATGGGCAGCTGAAGGAAGCCGTGGCCAAATTTCTGCCAACTTGAGCGTAGAATCCCTGAGGGCAACGCAAGTTGCTTTCACGTTCTTACAACTCAGTTTCGATTGCAATGCGTTGCTGCATGATGCAACATGTATCGCGCTGTGAAATTTGGCGGCCAACTGTATCTCGCTGCCAGCAAAGCAAAATGAAGGGCGGATCCTCTGATGGGCTAATGCGGGAACCCGCTACTGTGAGGCCCGGTTTCCCTTTGGCGTCCCTCCCAACAAGGTACCAACAGCAAAAACACAAATACAAATGCACACATACACACAAACATGCAAAGAGACAAATGTCAAATGGGTACATGTCAGAACAAGGACCGGTCTTCCTTTTGGCTTCCCTTTCAGCCAAGCCAAAAAGGGTATCCTCACCATTAGCCAGAGCCCTGGAACCGGAATTGCGGATATCAAGCCTTCCCCAAAGGTTCGGAAAGTGTCTGAAACCGGACTTCCCACGACCCACGCCCCACCCAAATCGAGTCCAAGACGCTTTGGCGACATGTTCCAAGGAATTCTTCAGGATCTCCAGTGTCATCTTGCAGAATTGGTACAACCTGGGATCCCGCGGAAACTGCAGGTGCGTTGAGCTACCAAAGGTCATGTCGATGAGCTCAAATTCTAGAAAGGCTTCAGGAGCCCCCAGAACTCTTCTGGGAATCCTCCCAGAACCCCGCTCCAAATCCTCATTCCGACAACTCTGACAGGAAACAATCATGATGGAACTTCAGTGGGTCCCCTCTCGCCCCTCAAAGCCCAGTTTCCCAGGTATCCATAGTATCCCAAGTCGACTGAACATCCACTGAGCCTGAGCAAGGCTCATTCAGCCTGGCCCCAGAAGACGTCCCGTGAGATTGGGCCAATGCCGAGGCACGCCCAGGCCTCGTAAAGATCGCCCACCTGAAGCGCAACTTGGGCCAGCCAAGCTTTCAAAGCCAACCAAAGGCACTTGGGGCTTCCCTGGGAGCCTCCAAAAGGCTATCCTAGTTGGGTGTTCAGCCACAAACTCCAAGCTAATCACTTGGCGCACGAGGCCTGGTAGCAGGTTTCCACCTGCGCCATGTAGAACTGCTCGGTGTTCCTCAAGTCCAACTAGGCTAGCCGGACCCTCCGCAGTCATTTCAGGAACTGCTTCTTCAGAACATGTGCCAAGCTGCGGGGACAATGATTGATGTCTGAAGGCGGCGATGGGTTAAGATTAGAACTTTGTCATCCCAGATACAACCAGTGAAGTGTTCGGTAGACATTTGACTCGAACCCGTTTTGTGGTCGACTCCATTCTTGGCAGGAACTCCCCCTGTTTAACCCCCTGCCCACTTGTCCCCCAGTGAGACCACCTCCTGCTTGTTTGTTCCAACCTACGTGCTGCCGACCTCTTGCAACTATGAGGTATCAACAACTTACCCGACCTTCCAAACTCCTGTGCAAGCAAACCTTGCTTTTTCATGATTAAAGTTAGGCCCAGTTATAGAATGTATATGTTATTGTTTGCTTCCCACGGAGTCACTGGTAAAATGTAACATGAAGTCCTAAGTCGACCCCAGTTTTGTTGAAGAAAGACAAAAAACAAAAACAACTAACACAAAGCCCAGGCAGCACCCCCCTCAGCAGCCCCCCCCCAACCGCTGGCGCTGAGCCGCGTGGAGTTCGAGCCTGGGCCCCCGGAGGGGCCCTCCGGGCCCCGGAAGCCCCGAAGGAGCAAGGACGGGGCGGCAGATCTCTGCGGGTCCTGCGCCGAAGGACCAAAATCCGAGCCATGTGGATGGTCGCGAAATCCAGAAACCGCTCCACGGGGGGAAACCATGCTTGAAACCATTGCTTGTTGGCATTTGCAGGGGAATCGAATCATTCCAGGGTTTCTTAGGTGGTGCGAAATGGATTTCGTCCATCCACAGTAGCTGGATTTGCTGGATGGACGGACGAGATCCACACCTAAGCCTGGGAAGTCAAGGTTAGTAGGGGACAGTCCCAGCCGGAAATTGACGCGGCATGAGCCCCTTGCTCGGCATGGGTAGACCCCTTTAGTATTGCACGCACGAAAGGGTGCCCTTGTTTTCCCATAGCCGGCCATTTGGATACGCATAGTTGTTGTGCTTTCTGCGTTCCACATATTATTCATTTGGTTTTACAGTACCCCGCAGCCCCATACGTTTGTTTAGGCCGTCAGACTGCGGATGGACGAATCCTGCCCCAGTTGGAATGGATGAAGCCAAACTAAAAAACTGGTGGACAATTACACCACCACCAACTGGTGTTGAGCAAGTGGCTCACATGTTCTGTTGTTCTTGTCTTGCATTTTTTGCGTGCTTCCGTTTTTTTGGGTGGAGTTTCTCAGGCCACGTAGAAAAGGGAGCTCCAATATGTACAACCTAAAAACCATCACCCCAAAAGAAAGCTCACTTTAAAATGGCTCAAAAGGTGATGCTTAAAACCATTAAAGGGAAAATAGGGAACCCTGGTTGAGCTGGTAGATTTATGTGGTCCCGTTCGATACGCGCACAAACAGCTTGGGGCAGGCACCATTGCCCAAAAGAGTAGCCCTAAGCAGAAGCACCTTCTCTGTGCCACTATCCTTCATGAAGTCAACGTGGCGATTGCTTCCAAACAATCCTTGTTGGGACGGGGGGCATTTGTAGTGAGGCTTAACTGGCTTGACTCCCTCTCGGTTCCGCATCCGATTCCGTGCGTTTCACCGCTTCCGCCGGGCTCATGATCTTGTCAGCAAAGTCACCCCCCCCTCCCCCAGACGCTGACTTTGAAAACCCCCAGAAGCAATCAAAACACCCCAGTGGCGCGCCTCTATGTTGTACCTTGCAGCGCTTTGAAAGACCTTTGTCAAAGCCTCAGCCGTAGCTCGACGCAGCGGCCGAATCATTTCCGGTGCCTGGAAAAAGACACGCCCCTACAATGAAACCGGCGGCGTGTGATGACCACTTTGTCCCAAGTTGTCCTGGACATTTTTGGACACAACATTAGGATTCCCTAAAACCAACAAATCTCCACAACCATGCAGCCTGGGGCACCGCTTTCCCATGAAAAGGGTGAATGCGACAAAAGATCAACCACACACTCGAACGGTCCACCCGAAATAGTGGCTGGTGTATGCGACCCGCAGTTGCCCCCTGAAGCTCTGCGATTCTTTCTCGGCAAGTAGGCCGCTGAACAACTCAATGTGAAAAGTGGTCCTCAACCTAAAAATGATCCCCTTGTTGAAGAGTGATGAAGGGAAACCAAACCGGGTTTCTGCTTTTCTTTCACTCTCTCTCTCTCTCTCTCACTCGTCTCCCTAAATCAGGCCCTTTGTTCTACCACCATCACCATATGCTAGTTCCTGTCGACTTCGACCCGTGTTGACAAAACCAACAATCCCGGGCTCAAGTACTTCTAAGGAGGTACGCTGGATGCCCTCCCCCCCTTTCCTGCCCATTTGTACTTTCTGGTTTTGTGTGTGTGTGTGTGGGTGTGCTATTATTTGCGGTGTGTTGTTGTGTGTTGTATTTTGGTGTACTACCCTTTTTCGGAAACATGCATTTGTTATGAGTCAAGGATCAAGGATGGCTGTACAGCCTCTCTTTCACCTGCTCTCACCTGCCCTCATGTGCAATGTTCTATCACTATCGACATTCTTCATCTGCCATGGACAGCATGCGCCACATGTCAGCAACAAATCCAAAGATCCCTCCCCTAAGCGAAAATAATTGAAGGACTGGACGCCGAGGGGCGTTCATGGCCATGCACCCGAACACCGCCGGCAGCGCTATGATCTGCACGGCGCGGTCCTTGTGGCAGGCTGGGTGGACAGTTTGCTACTGAAACCTGGGCCCCCGTAAAGGGAAACCTAAATGAGGGGGGGGGATTTTGTGAGGGTTGGGGAAACGAGGTCAAATCTCGGTCTCAAAATTTGGAACACGCTTTTCAAGTGGCAAGTTTCACGGAACTCCGATTTGTGGAGGGGCTCTTTGATAAACACAACTCACGCCTGGTGGTTTGGTTGGCTGAAATAGAGGCGAGCGATGTGCTAAGAACCGGAGGGGGCCTCCCCAAGTCAACCCGAGATCAAAAACCCTTGCGGATTCATGCTGAGCCGCAGTCCCTCTAACACGGGTTATAATCAACCAGGTTTAAATTGTCCTTGCCCAGGCTGTTCTAACGGAAAAAGGGGTTTGGTTCTTCAAAGGTTCAAAGGGCCGCAAACTCTTCAGACCCCCTCGCAAAGTGTGCCGACTGAATCTTCATGGTGGCCGAATATTGAGGAACGTTGCGAAGGAAGCTTAGGGGGTCTGATCACGGGGCTCTGATCATAGCTAAGACAGTCGCCCTTTTGACACCGGCCCTCAACGAGAACCGGCCTTGTCCTGAGCCTCATGGAGTTTTCTCATGGGGAGACCCAAAGAAAATGAGTGTATTCCATGTGTTCCTGTAGAACTCAACGTGTTGTTGAGGGTACGCTTGTCCCTTGGTTTCAAAAAGAAAAGCAGAAACACCTCCATTTGTGGGGGTCCCCCCAGTTTGGCACATACCCAAAAAGCCGGCCCCCCCTCATCGACTTGTCCGCTAATTCATCCATGTGGCGTGCTTAAGGGTTCCAGCACCCCGGCGGATCTCGTTCACATGCTGACAGGTCCTTGCATGGAGAAAAGGCCCAGGGCCGGGAAAAGGGAACCAACCTATTGACCATTAGTGCGCATCCACCAAAGCAAAATGGGTTTAGGCCGTTGGTTCAGAGGCTTCGGGTGCTTAATGAAAATGCGGGTTACCATCTCCCCCTTTGGGGGGTGTGGGAAACCTGACCAGTCACACATGAATGTCCGCGGACTTTCCATTCCCAGACCACGCTCAGTGTCAAAAGGAGTGGAAACGGGACTGGCAGCGCGAAAGCAACAACTTGGAGCTATGGATGGACGAAATCTACTTTGCGCCCGTTGGAACGAATGAGACCCCAAAGTCCTTTTAATCGGAAAGTAGTATGTTTGAAACTTTGAAACAGTTCTGTGTTTTCTGGGGTTTGCTGATGATTGATGGGCCCCCCAAAAGAAGCCGACACACCAATCCCCAGTTGCGCAGTGACCCATCAAGGGAAAAAAGGTACTGGCTCAACAACGGTCTACGTTCAAACCCTGTTGGGAGAACTTCTCCATTGAGGGCACTTGACATGCTTGGCATGAATCGGGAGGGAGTCGGATCCCCTATTCTTGACTCACAAATAGGGGTAGCCAACCCAAACTATCCCTAAGGCCAGAAACATTAAGGAGGGGAGGCAAAAGGAAGGGTTCGAGCCAGGGTTACTGACTCCTCAGAAATACTCGAACATGGCTCAACCCAAAACCAATGCTGGAAGAGTGTTCCTTCTTGGATGGTCCTTTTTGGTTGGAACCCACCAGGAAACCCACCGTCTGGCTGGCTATCCAGCCGCTGGATGAAAGCCAGAATGTAGGTGAACACAGCGGCAGCAGGTGTGCCCAGCCTTGGTTGTGTTCCCGGAATCCCGGTGGGGGAGGACTTGTTGTTGCTTGCGGGGATCAAATACAAGAAATGGCCCCAAAGCACCCTAACTAAGCTGCTTTCCTGTAGATGTTCCTGTAACCGGGGCCGGGGTTGCTGTTCACAACAACAGCTTGGGGGAGTCAGAGCCAGGGTTGGGCCAACGCGGTTGACCATTGTCTAAAGAACCTCCTTTTAGACCCTTTGAAGGAAACCAGGTGTCGGTTTTGCCACATTCGTGGCCATATTCGAACCTCGCATCCCCGTCCGTGAACCAGGACAGTACGAGTACCACCTGGCCGCCCAAATCTCCAGCGGCATGGGAACAACCCCCAAGTCTATCAGGCTTGGTACAAGATTCTATAGTTCCCCCAACACAACCCATGCCAAGGAATACCCACTTTGGATGGGCAAACAAGACGATGTCTTGCAACCAACCATTTTCCACAATGCGGGCCCTCGCGGACTCCAAGTGGGCAAAAACTGGGACAAACTTTCCCCATGACCGGACCCCTGTAACGCACCTCTGAACATCCTTTGGAATTGGATCGCCGCCCACCAACAAACAGGGCTCCCCATTCCCGTTCAAGAATCATCCCAAAGGAATCCACAGGAAGCTCACCTTCGGATGGCCTTTCCGACAGGTGATCTTCAAAGCCAGCCTTTGAGGGGACTTGGGGGCTGTCTCCAAATCGAAGGATGCACAAAATGGCGGTTCTCCTTTAAGTCTCCTTCTGGTTTTCCTTTACAACCAACCAAAAAAGGGGCGGCTCCCCAAAAAAAGACACACCCATCGGTCGCCAAGGCTCACCATAGGTCGCAGCCATCTGGGCAGGGGCTCCCAAACCTGGCTGCCTGCGTGCATGGAAAGCATCGCCATTGCTGGACCATGGCTGTCTGGGCTTGACTGAACTTAGACCCCTGCAACATGTGAGTTCACTTTTTGCTGGCAAGGGAACAGGCAGGGAAACACGAAAGGCCAAGCGCCAATGGGGTTAGTTGCGTCCAGTAGAAGCCATCCCTATATTGCTTCACTTTGGGGGATTCCCCACCAACGATTTGTCCATTCGAATCTTCCCAACCGTGGGCTCCCTTGAGATTTCCGCCAAATGCGCTGCACACCCCTTGAAAACTAACGGGGAAAACCGCCCCGTTTCGGGGGTTCCATGTGGAGGCAAAATAGATCTTTCGTAAGACGAAGCCTGAAAGGAGATCCTTTAAGAAAGATGGCAAGAGCGACTGTTAGCTGGTGCGAATGTCTCCTTTCTAGAATAAAGGACCCTTATCATATTCTGAGAAGCTTTGGATGAAAAGGAAGGGCTTGGGGGTGAGTTCTAGCCGCCCGAATCGGGATTGACAAAAACAGTGACCCTATTTGGGCACCTCACAAAAGGCGGGCTCCACTTAATGGGCAGTTCAAAATACCTGGTCAATGCTTCATGATGTTTATTGGGAATTCACTAAAAGGGGCAGGCAGGCTCTTTTGCAACCGGCAAGGACTGCAAATGACCAGCCGAATAGTGCTTCCCCTTGGTTTTGGCGACGACTCGAAGGTCCAAAGGTTCGGAACCCGAGGACCCGCGTCAGAACTTGAGACGCGGGTGAACGAAAGCTAGCCTAGCCAGCCCAACGACGACATGTATGACTCAGGAGTGGCTAGGATATTTAGGACTAGCAATCCTAAATGAACATCTAGACATGTCTAGAAAGACAGGTTCCCCAGCTGCAAACACGTGGACGAGATTATGGGAGTACGCCGTTCCCCCCTGTGGTTTCCTGGAACATGGTTCAAACAAACTTTGCAACATACATTGTACATATCCATCTGTTTTGGGTTCCCAGAAAAGTCAGATCACACAAAACACATATCCTTTTGCTTTGCCGGCTAAGCCAACACCACAACCCCTCACGCCTTCAGGTCGTAGGGCTAAGCTAATGAAGGAGTAGATGGCCCAAGCATTGAGCACCAAGAGCAGCATGTAGAGCAACCTGAGTCGCATAGAAAAAAAAGTTCGAAGGTAGCAAACAACCTAGGCTAGGAAACCCGCACACTGACGGCGCTCGCTTTCGAGGTTGGAGCGGAAACGCCTGGGGTCCAAGTGGTAATGACTGCCAAACAAATATAATATTGATCCTTAAGGTCTAAGATCGCAGAACAACACACGGAATCCCGGTGTAAAAACGTGGTTGAATGGTTGATGTTATGTTGGCAAAACCCAAGCTCAGGCAGCTTTTTGGCTCGTCGTTTTTCTTTGAAGCTATCCCAAAAGGGGTTGAGCCTGCTATTGAAGGCGTCCTTGTAACTACAAGCAGCTACATCCGAAAAAGTCACTAATTAGCTCGGGTGTCTCAACAGCATGAAGCGCGTGTTCTTCACCCCGCCGATTGGAGCTCGTCATCCCCGCTAACCGGTCCCCGGTCTACCGGGCCCGGTTCCTTTCTGCCTTGCGCAGCCTCGCCCCGTGCCTCCCCAGAACCTTGCTCAGAACCGCCCCGCGCAACCCTCCTGGCAAACGCCCCATGACCCCCAAACCGCGCCGTGCATCCCCAGAACTCCACACGTCGAAACCCCCAGAGCATTGCTCGGGTTTGCTCAGCACTGCGGACCGAGAGCCGCTCCGAAGCCTGTGGGCAAAGACCCCATAGCCTTCCAGATGCTGGAAAAACAAATGATAAAGAGACGAAACCCAAACGGGCAACAGCACAAAAGTGCGCGTTAAGTCTGTCATGCAAAGGGTCCCCAATGCGGAACTCATGACTTTCTGGGTGCGAGAATCCTACTATGACACATACCCTCCTGCGGCAAAGGCCAAAATCGGCCCGGGCGCATGCAGTAGTTGGCATACTCCATCCAAGCCCCGCAGAGCCGCCAACCGGACAGAAAGCGCCATACGAAGAGCACCACCAGGCCCAGGTACAGGACGAGGCCTCAACCCAAGGGTCTCTCTGGCAAGAAGAACTTACCGAGGTTTTTTTGGGGGTCTTCTTGAGCTTCCTGGTTTGTGGTCAGTGTAGCTTCAATTGCAAGCCCTTGGCAAGAAGGCTAATGTCCACTCAGGGGAATCCTTCGCACCTGGGGCTCAACGAGAACAAGCACCTTTTGACATGCTTGGCCATGTTCTGCTTATGACGTGTTCCATGTGGTTCATGTGCATTTATTTTACTTGAGATGCGTTCCTGTGTGTGTGTGTGTGTCATGTGGTTTTGTGTGTTATGTGTCTTGTGTGTGTGTGTGTGTGCTTGTGCGTGTGCGTGTGCGTGTGCGTGCGCGTGCGCGTGTGTGCGTGTGCGTGTGCGTGTGCGTGTGCCTGTGCGTGCGCGTGCGCGTGTGTGCGTGTGCGTGTGCGTGTGCGTGTGCGTGGGCGTGCGCGTGAGCGTGCACGTGTGCGTGCGCGTGCGCGTGCGCGTGCGCGTGTGCGCGTGCGCGTGCGCGTGCGCGTGCGCGTGCGCGTGCGCGTGCGCGTGCGTGTGCGTGTGCGTGTGCGTGTGCGTGTGCGTGTGCGTGTGCGTGTGCGTGTGCGTGTGCGTGTGCGTGGGTGTGGGTGTGGGTGTGGGTGTGGGTGTGGGTGTGGGTGTGAGTGTGGGTGTGGGTGTGGGTGTGTGTGTGTGCGTTGTGTTGTTTGTGTGTGTGTGTGGTGTTGTGTTACGCTGTGCTGTGCTGAGCTGTTGTGTTGTGTTGTGCTGTGTGGTGCTGTGCGCTCAGTTGTTCATGTGTGCCACCATGGTGCCATGGTGTTTCGTGTTGCTTTCACGTGCTTCTTCACGCCTTTCATGCCGGCATGCATGTTTGCCACATGTTGCTTCGTTCTAGTTCGGGTGACCACCGACAGAACTCTCCGGGTCTCCAGCCAGCATCCAGCATGCTGACGTCCAGATTAACCTGGAGACGGAAAGTTCAAGGCGTGGGGCTAACATAACGGAACAGGGTTCACTAGAGTCAGTCTGAAGAGTTGAGTTTGTCGCCCTTCGATTACTTGGGGAATCACCTTTTGGGCTGAAAATCCCAGCCCAAGCTGGGGAAGGAGATTTGAAACCAGTGGACCCCCAAGTTGGATTATTTTCATTAGGCGTGGCCCATTGTGGAGGGGATCCGACTCGAAGGGGACCAAACAAGTTGTGTGGCTGCCTGTTGGTTGGTGTTGAAAGTCCCCCTTCAACGAGCATCCGCTTGGCTTCTCAGGCCCCCGGCACACTCCCAGTTCTTTACCGGATATGTCGATGCCTCGGCCGATGCGCTCGCTTGCATGGACATCAACCTTGAACCCCCGTGATTCCGTGCAAAGTAAACAACGAACACGTGCACATTACAGGTGGGGGTCCTTGTTGGCTGCTTGCAGCTGCAGGATTGTTCAAATTGATAGGTCCCGATTTTAGATTCCCTAAACAGGGGATGATGACCAGTCCTGCCAACCCCAAGCAACCATATAGGATCGTAGGGCATCAGCGTTTCTGACGCAAGTCAGAAACAGACCCTGTTTCTTGGTCCAAGTGACGCTCAGAAAATGATCCGTCAGGATAAATGTGCGTGTCTTTTTGTTCTTTTCGGGGCTGGTTAACAGGGAAATCAAGGAGAAGCACCCTTTAAATAGGTTCCCCGATTTACAGCATAGGACGAGGAATTGAAATCCTACCCTAACATCAATTGGGAAAACCCGCAAAAGTTCCCTGCAATAACTGGCCATTGGAAAACCCGGCAGCCGTTTTCGGCAGCATTCAAAAACAACACAAAAAACGGAGAATCGCTGGAGGTTTGGGTAGCTGACCCAGTGCCTTTCCAGTCGAAAGGGGTCTTTGTAAGTCCCCCTTACACATCGCAGCTGCCAAGGTAATGCTTGGCTCAAGGAACCATGCAGCTGAGCCGCCCATGGGGTGAGGGCATCGCTCCCGTCGGCAAGAGCCAAGACGGACTGGCGGCCCCTGAAGTGAGCCCAGGACAAGGTCTCCCCAAGAGTATCTGATCTATTCAATTGTGTCTTTCAAATGTGTCTATGCTCAAAAACACATGCGCGCTTGTTGTCCTTTGCCATATTTCTATCCAACATCTAACAGCACACACAAACAAACAAACAAACAAACAAACAACCAAACAAACAAACAAAACACGTGTAGCAGGTGTAATTAGTATGCACATGTCCACCTGCTCGGTCATTAGAAAATATGTTCCTCCCTTCTTGTCCTCCCCAAACCAACATCTAAGCTTAAACAAATAAAGAAACAAGCGCAGGATATGCTGGATGCAAGTGCTTGAATTGTTCTAGGAGGTGGTTGTCTCCAAACAGGGAAAGCCCAAAGCGTGCGATTTCCATTTGGTTTCCCTTTTCAAAACCCCGGAGAGGGTACCGCCAAACACAGGGTCCATTCTTGTGGTTTATGGAGGATTCCCGGATGCCACTTTCCTTGTTGAACAAGCGCTAGGTTCACGCACATGTTCTGGAGGGGTGTCGAGAATCAAGGGGCTCTTTCCCACACACACACACACACACAAAGCGCTTTTTTGGGCCGAGCTCACCTCGAGATGATCCTTACGGACCCTTTGGGTCCATCGATTTAGGACAGCCCAAAATACTTTCGTTTGAGGGGTCCCGAGCACTTGGGGGCGTGGTACATTTTGGAATCCGTCCTCCATACTAAGCGAAGCGACATGCGAAGAGGTCTTGGACAAAGTAGTCTTCGTTTGGTATTGAAGGAGTAAGTCCAACAGAAGGCTTACCAAACGATGACACGGCAGCAGCTTTGTCTGCCACGGCAGAATTTTGCCACCGAAGAAATCAGAGGGCAAGCCGAAATCAAGCTCGAAATTGGATCACTTCCCTAGCAGACGAGTTGGCGTGCCATTTCCAAACCTTTCAGGCAACCAAAGGCAGCCCTCTGACGCTCGGAGACTTTCCGGAAGGATCGATCTCTCAGAGTGGCAGCGGCGGAATGAAGGGTGGCGACGGCTTGGCCTGCCATGCCACAAACACTTTTGAGCTGTTCCCTCTGAAACTGAACGCCAAATTGGAATCGCCTTATGGGTGTTTGTGCTTTTTTGAGGCTCGGTGAACTGTTTCCCTTGGTTTTAGACCATCTTCGTGGCAAACAAAATGCGTCTGAAAGGGTTATTTACCCTTTAAGGGGTATGCAAGAGGGAGTGTGAGCAAACCCGAAACTGGGCTCACTGGGGGGCGACTTTTGTCAGGCTTCCTTACCCGAAATGGCCTTCGGCGATGTTTCGGCGTAGGGTTGTCTTCGCTGGGGCCACTCCAAGAAGAAACATACACTTGCAGAACACCATACATTTGAGCCATGGGAAAAATTGGGCGGGCCTATCTTTGAATCAAATTGTCAGTTGTTCATTGTTCCAACAAGGTAGTCGAAAAAGGGCTCTGCGTTCGACCCCACTCAAACTTGAGGGCTCCCTAAATCTTCAAAACCCCGTCAGTACCGTGCACGTGAACCAACCACAAACTATGGTAAATTACAGGGTGTGCACCTTGTTCTCCAAGGGATCAAGCATACGTCAGCCAACGACACGCTACATAATCGTGAACAGGCAGCATATGAATAGCAACAAAGAGATGTGCAGCTTTGGTACCTGTTCAAGTAAGTCCTTATCTACACCCGGTCTCAAAGGAGTCATCCCAATCATGCAACCAATGATTGCAGAGAGAAGCCGCGCCTATCTTTGGTTGGGATTGCCTCCTGCTAAGCTTTAATCGATCAAGTTTGGGTATTCCAGAGGCGGGCATCTCTCACTGCTAATTCGAACCATCCAGCGTAGGTTTGGCGCGCGGGCATTCACCCTACAGGAGCTGTGGTCTCCTGGCAGGTATCAACCTAAAACCAAAACAAACCAATTTGCAGAGGCATCCCATTTTGTGTTCCATCCTGCACATGGAACACAAGCCAACATGTACACGGGAACCTTCTTTTGGCCGTTCGGGGCAACCCCCCTGTTTGGGTTCCATGTTCGTCTGCAGCTGAGTGCTCTTCCACAACAAGTCGCCTGGCCACGGCGAAACGAGGGCACTCTGCTTGGCTCATTTTCCCAGGGCACCTCTAAAAATCCAGCACCGGCCCCGCGTTGGAAAATTGCACCTCGGGTTTGTGGAGCATCAGGTAATCCGCCAGCTCGCCCAGCACGCAAAAGATCTGGCGGATCCAGCGGAACGGAAAGTTCCTTCCGATGGATTCCCCTGCCGTGTGGGTTTGTCTCAAATCGGGGACCCTCAAATGGTAGGCGTCTTTTCAAATTCCGACCAAAACTAACCTAAATTGGGTAGCCTCAAAAAGACACCCCCACATTCCATGGGTAGGAAAACAAGGAAACCCCTTACCACAAGGCTTCATGGCCTTTGGAATTTTGGTACCTCAACGGGTAAGCGTGCAGGCAGTAACATGCTTCGTAACCTGCGATTTGGTTTGCGACGTGCCGCAGAGGTTCCGTTTGCTTACAACAACTCCACGAAGCTGGGACTTACGGGTGGGTAAGCTCGAGGAACGGTCTGAGAGCTGTGCGCAATCCAACAAACCATCAATCCAAGGAATTTCAGCGTCTTCAGCTTTGCTCAAAAGGGGTCAGGGGGAAGAATCCTTCAAACCCGAGAACAATACATTGATTCCTTGAACATCCCTGAAAAACAATAGAACAAATACCCATAGAAAAAGAGGTAATATTTTCAGAGAAACAACAGTAGACAAAATACCACAATACGCAACAATGCCTCTAGAAAAAACAACTGCCAACAACGGTCACTTCTCTGGTTTAAGGATTGCGGACAAACAAACAATTCCCAACTCGCCAGTAAGGCGGTCAACCATACTCTTCCTTGAACCTTGGGAAACATATCTCCCTGGCTCGGAAAACTACGCATAAGGCAATGGGTCAAAACTGGCAAGTAAGCCAGTGTTGTAATTCTTTTAAAAGTAAGCTTTGCATTACCGGTAATATGAATTCTTCATTTGGTTGATGACCATGAAAACCGCTGTGGAAAAATCAAACTTTATGAGCGAAGCGCAAAACAGGTGTTCAGTTCCTTTTGGTGCCCCAACCCTGAAAAGAGACAAAGCGACATATTCCCAAAAGACTGGGCTAAAAGTGAAAGCTCCAACCGAATCGCCAAGCTAGAGCCCTTTCGCCTGTGGATCCAAGAAGAGGGAGCGACAGCGCATCCCAAGTGCCATCCAACGTGCATCCTGGAATCTAGAAGAAAAAACAAGTTGCCAAAATTTGGGAATGCGGCTGAACTTGTAAATGCTCTACAAGCTTCTCAAACAAGAAATGTAAAACACTTAGGGAGAAACTCGAATCATGCAAAGCTCGTTAATTCTGATCGAGGGGTGCCATATTTGAGAGAAATCGAATCGCCTATTGGGGGAGAAGCACACCTCTTATGAATCACCTGCTTCGATACTCTAGGGTGGAGATGAAGCAATCAGCAGTGTCCCCATGTGAGGGATCCATATCATCATAATAAATTTGGTGTTAGATACTCAACGGAACTTCCTTCACGACAGTACATGAACATTAACATTCACAAATGACCGTTGCTCATGTGAGCGAAACATGGGTTTCCTTGAAACGAACCTTCTGACCTGTGATAGGTTCTAAAAATCCCTACGAATGATGACCACCCCTACCACCTATACCAATGTTAAATAAAGAAATGGCTAGACAATGGCACATGCAAACAACCAGTTCAATCTAGCATGATTGCACTTGTATGCCTTGTTCCCCACCTTAACCCAGTGTTGCTAAAGGAAATCACTTGCCATGCGCAAGGTTGCCATGCGCAAGGTTGCCCCGCTGGAGTCCGGTGCAGCGATGGCCTTGAAGCCAGTGTAATCCACCAGGGGGAGAATAGGTTCATTGACTTTCAGCGCAAGCTTGTAGGTCCAGTCTTCGAATTTCACCTCACGCCTTGCTGTTGGTGCCAACACAGGAACCAAGGCTTGAAGAGCGTCCTGGTTGAATCCGCGAAATGACGTGCCCAGTGGAGCCACGGAGTTTGCGCCAATCTCGAATCTGGTTGGCAGATTGCAGGGCCAGATCCCGGGAATAGAAATCGCTGAATCACTCCGAACACTCCACCAGCAGTCCCGCTTAGCCAAAAGGCGAAAGGGCAAAGTGGTTAATTGCTGAAGTCTGCAAAAGCAACTTGGAACCCGCCAACCAAGTAGCGGGCGGTTTGCTTTCGGATTGCCTTTCAAAACCCATCGTATTGGAATTCGAAAATCCCGATTGGCACTTTTGGGCAATGCAGCAACCCTGGCTTGGAGGGAAACAAGGAAGCCAACCCTTGGTCGGTCATCTTTCTGGAACGGGCAAAGGTGCAAGCCTGCAAGGGTGTCTCCGAATTGGACCCCACTGGCGCCACCCCGCTGCCTGTGCCTGGCGCCACGCCCAGAAGTTCTTTAGGCAACCCGCCCACCCCGCCATCCCCGCGCCGTGTTGGCGGGAGTCCAGTTCTCCAGCGCGGAGAGGCGCGCCTCTGCTCGCCGGGCCGGCGGCCCCAAGGTCAAGGTGCTCGGCCTTTGGACGGCCTTTCTCCCCCCCCCCCCCCGGTTTCTGGGCGAAGAACACGAAAACGAGAAAAGGGATTGGGTCCAGGTCTTTTCAAAGCCGAAAAGCAGTGGAGAACCCGCCAAACAAAGGATTGAGAGGGATTGAGGGTGTCACTGAGCAGCTGGCAAATTATGCAAGCACTGCTTGCGAACTGCACCTCTGATCTCTGATCCCCTGCCATTTGCGTGAAGGATGGTTGCCGATGAATGGTGTAGAAACGCCCAACCCTGGCAGAAAAAGTGATGCTTAAGGAAGCCGCCCAAGCAAAAAGAACCAAAGACCCTTCCTCCTCTCCTCAAACCCCAACGGCCTCGCAGCCCTCCAGTTCAGGTGGCGCTACAGGATAATCCGCCTGCGCGACAGGCGACGTTTTGTTTGACGCTTTTTGCAGGTTGTTGGTACTACACCCAGGAAAATTACCTGGGATGATGTGCTTTTTGTGTGGGTTCTGTATCACATCAAGGGATCCCAAGTTGGATCAGCTTCAAAATAGACGTTGCCTTCGATAATTCTGCACGCCCTGTGAGTAACAGAAACTGGTCCGACTTGGCAAAGGTTTGCTTGTGAATCGCCAATGGGTGAGTACTTCCTCGTGGACCCACACAAAATCTAGAATCTAGAACACCCTTGCCCCAACCATGTCCTTCCTTCCAGGTAGCCCCTTGGCTCCCT